AAGGAGCACGTGCTTTTGTTTGTGATACTGTTTGTGAGCAGTTGACCTAGCAATGAATGGAAAAGGTGTGGCTAAATGTTCCGCTACGAAAAACCGGAAAGGTCCATTATGATTTAAATCGGCTGTTAGTATTTAAACCATGAAAAGCTTAGAGTTATGCATGTGCTTTATTTTAAGTTGTCTATAAGATGTGAACAAAGCAATTCATTGTTTATTGCATTTTTGTATGGCCAAAAGAAGTGGGTTGGTAGGGAGGGAGGAATTGGGTGTGTCTGTAGGATTCCAAGTATATGATTAACAAGAATCTTTCTTCATCCTTGTTTCCATTGTAATATAATATTAGTACAAATAGGTGATTGCTGTTGCTAGCCTGGTTACTTAGATCTCACTTTTGTTACCTCATCATTCCTAGTTACGAGACATCTCCATTTCAAGTTTTGCCACCCCTTACACTGCTTAATGGATTTGCCCAGCTTCCATTTTGAAACAGTCCATTATCAATTATAGGGATATATTATATAGAACGTTTGGATGTCAGACTGCACATACGGTAAAATTTCTAGTAAGTGCCCCTCCCATAATAAAGGTCTCCCCCAGCTTTTTAGATAATTAGGAAAAAATCCACACTCAATAGTAAAACTGTGTTTTAATAAACACCCCCCCCCCTTGGAAAATGTTAGGCCACAGGGGCATTCAATAGGAATTTTACGGTATATGTGTAAATGACATTGTATGTGCAGACTTGCCTGGATCTATACTAAAGGATGGTAAAGGCCTTGCAGGTTTAGTTAAAGCATTGATAGAGCATTGATAGGGTTATTTTACATATATTACATGTGTATTTGTCTGATTTGACAGTCTATAACTTTTTGATGCATCTTTAATTTTGTTTTCATTTGTTTTTCTGTATAACCATGACTGTCTTATATTTATTTATTGTTAGTTGTTGTGCCAAAGAGTTTGTTAAGTTTATTCTTGTCCAGTATTTATATTTTTTGCCAAATTTTGTTGTTGCATCATTTTCATGTGTGGTAAAAGGTTCGTGTCATTTAATTTATTTGAGCCGCGGCATGACAAAACCAACATAATGGGTTTGCGACCAGCATGGATCCAGACCAGCCTGCACATCTGCGCAGTCTGATCAGGATCCATGCTGTTCGCTATCAGTTTCTCAGTACTTGTCAGAGGGTTTGTAAGTGAACAGCATGGATCCTGATCAGACTGCGCGGATGCGCAGGCTGGTCTGGATCCATGCTGGTCGCAAACCCATTATGTTGGTTTTGTCATGATGCAGCTCATTTTTTGAATTCTATTGTTTTTGTTCTCCAATTAGTTTCATTAAAACTTCCACCCAAGCAAATGAAACTGAGTAAATTGTCATTTACACATGCTTTGGTCATTTTTTTTTTTTTTTTTTTAAACCTTATCAAATCCCTTTGATATTTCTTATCTGAAAGTAAAACTTAATAAAAAAAGTATAAAATTGTTTTTATTTAAAGCATGTTTGAACATTATTAAACACTGATACCAACATAAATTTAGGAAAGATTAATTATGAAATTATAATACTATTTTGGAATGAACAATAATTAAGTGCTTTATTTTATAATTCATATGTGATGACTTGTGTTGTGTTTTAAAACTGTTTTCATGTGTACTTTACAGGTCCTATCTTTTATGTTGACACTATCTTTTCATTTTGAACACTCAAGTACAATATTAAAGATTGTGTTCATTTTTGTGATTAGAACTTTTTGTGACTGTAAGACATATAAAGCTATAATTATAGAATGTTTGCATCTTGATATAAATCATGCCTAAGAACTAAAATTTTGGAATTTCAGATATAAAGCAGGTGGTGCGTTCTTGTTGAATATTATTTTGTTAGGAATTGTTTTATTCAGAATTGTTTTCTTATATTATTCTTGTGAAAAAAATAACAGAGTCACTTTTTATTAAAACTCTCTTGCAATAACATTAAAATTACATGACAACAACAGCATTTTAAAAATTGTTTAGTACATTTTTTGGTAACTTTGCACCTATTTAAATGAATTAAATTAATATTAACATCTTATCGGTACCTTCAAAAAATTTAGGGCTATATATTAAATTAAATATACAAAATTTGAACAACACAATGTTTTCATTCAGTTTACTGCAAGAATGGCAAATCGTTGTTTTAATTTATATACATTAAATATTTATAAATTCAGTTATCATTTACATTATGATAATTCAGTTATCATTTTCATGACACACATGCTTATTTATTGTTAAAGGCTTTGGTGTAAAACTGTATCTACTTTGTGAAATATACCATGATAAATTAGACTTAAATTATTGTGAGACTTGTCCTGTCTTTGATTTTAGAAATGTCTCTATTATTATTTTATATACAAGATAAAATTGAGCAGTCGGCGGTAAAGCCTGGCATACAGAGGCTGGTCAGATAACTCTGATATTGAGGGTTGACCGCAAAACTGCAGTAACTTGTATGAGATAAAAGAGGGCTTACAACAGTTTTGCGGCCAACCCTCGATATGTGAGATGTTGCACCTACCATTATCTTTCATAGTCAGTCTTATCCCTTACCTTGCTTGACCTGAAAGTGATTGAACTTTGCCTTAAAGCCATGCTACACTACTGTTGTTACCAGCTTTAAATTTTCATCTTGACGTTACCCCCAAAATTAATACTGAAAATTCCCACTAATGGAAGGTGGAAAAGTCCAATTAAAGAATTTGGCAGGGTAAAGGTCTACCATTTTCAACTTTATATTTTTTTCATTGCTATTCAGGTATCTTTTGAGATATTTTTAGGTTTTATCACAGGCAAGTCATTATTGCAGACTACCAAAAAGTCATTTTTTGCAGCCAAAAATAACTATAATTTAGAACCTTAGTACATTGTACATGTTTCAACCACGCGAATCTTTTGTATTTGAATATAAATATCATTTTATACTTAAAGATTATAGTACAAGTGTGGCTTTTATGAAAATGTTTTTATCATTTACTCGTGTCATTTTCAGTTTGTTTTAAAACTGTTGTGAAGAATTGATTATTTTTTCACAAATATCTCATAATTGTAGACTGTTAAGTTTCCATAATTGATTTACAAATGTACATGTAGTTTATTTTTAGTTATACAATTTACCTTTGACATATAATAGAGTTTATATTTTTTATAGATGAATACTTTTGTTATCAAAATAAAAGTTTCAAAACTCAGATGTTTGTTGTTGTTGTAGATGTAGTTTGTTAGGTCTGGTTTTACCATGCAGTTTATGATTTGTTGATGAATTAAATTGTTTATTCAGTTCAAAAATATTGTCCCCCCCACACACACACAAAATGTAAACAGTCTCAAGTTCAAAGCACAACTGGTCATTTGGTCATTTTAACCTCATACTCCCTTAGTCTTAATTTTAATGCGCCCAAAAACCTAAGCATATTATGGTATGTAGATGGCCGTCCGTCTGTCAGTAGAAAATTAGTTTTCACAGCACAACTTTTAAGGATTTTAAGTGATTGTGTTTATATTTGGCATATAAGTATTGGTTGTATCAAAACACAGGTCAAGTTCAATTTTGCTGCCTATGAATAGTTATGCCCCTTTTTGGGCAATTTTTAAGAGAAGCCATCAGAGCCATTTACAACATAGAGGATATTGAATGAGTTTAGGTTTATTGCTAAATTTATTGAACAATTCAGTTGAATAAAATCCTATGTGAGCCTCTGGCATGCATATAGTTTTATTCAACAAGTTCAATAAATTTAGTGTTGAATCTACACGATATATAATATTCCATTTATCACATACATAAAATAAGAATGGTAAACTGTTAACAAAAGACATTTTTCATTGACATGCCTATAGTTAACACTAACATTAGCATGCTTTTACACTTATAATGTTTGTATATAACGCAAATGATGTCCGTCAAAGTGTTCCCAGCAAACATACCTATATCGGGCCGATATCGGCTATATGATGGAATATCTGTGTCGGCTACCATATATCGGACCGATGTCTATCCGATATTGACATATTTCACTGATATAGGTCCGACATCGGTCCGATTTATATTCGTTTGACATGATTTAAGTTTTATCATGGTAACATTTTTTAGCATACAGGACCATGAAACCGGGAAAAAATTTCCGAATTTTAACGCGTTTAACCATTGAACGGATATTTATCGTAATTTGCACAATGTAAATAGTTACCTACGCACCGTACATCCGGGCACGCTTACATTTGGCGCAAACTCAACAAGGGACAAAAGTTCGAATATTTACAATCGCTGGTAATTTAGCATTTTCTAATACCTTTTTGATAAAATATCATTAAACATAATTGTATATACTGGTTGAGTGCTATTGAAATTTTGAAAAAATATATAAAAAATATATGGACAAGATGGCTTTGATTTTATAGTCATACAATTTCGCGATCACGTTAAATTGGGTTGGTAATAATTTCTTTTAAACCTATAAGACCTTAGCAACTTGTTGACATAAATAAGAAATAATTTGTTCTTAAGTTTAAGCAAGACTTTGCCATTAATTGATTTATAGATTTTAAACAATAATTGGTCTTTCATTGATAAAAGATGTGCTTTTTTTAATGTCTGAATGGGTATTGTGTTATTTCCTTCCACTTGAAGAACTTAGGAGACGTAAGATGTCAGTATTAAATGAAATTATTCAAATTATTGGTTCATTCTGTGTATAATGTTTTTATTTGGTTAAATATTGTTGGTTAGGGTTTAAAAAGATCATGGCATTTCTTTTGATGTTCTTGTTAAGAAATCAAACTTCTAAATTTAATAGCAGTTTGTCCATGTCTCTTCATTTAAGGATGTTCACTTGGTCTGGACATTGCAGGATGATTTAATTAAAAAGAATATTCCTTTTGTTTTTTTTACTTCAGTAATTATATTGAAAGTTGTTTCTCATAAAATAATATTTTTGTATTTTAGCACGAGATATCCGCATTTTTACCCTATTAGAAAAAATGTCTCGACAACAGACACAAATATTGGACACTGTTCATTAGGTATTTGGCGTCTTGTCAAAGTTGGAAAGTCAAGATGGTGGTAGACCAAATGAATTGCCTGATGATATTCATTTACTAGTAACAAGCATTGAAGAACTGGAGTTGGTTGAGACAGGTTTACAAGAACCTGGTTGTTTCAATGGCTTGGTAAATTTATTTTCATTAGTTAGAAAGATGTTAATTTTATCTTTGCACGAAATGAATTTATTAGTGTTTTTGCTAAACTTTTTTTATGTCACTAAAATTTTGCACACTAGTTTTCTGTCCGTCAGACTGTTCTTAAAAGTTTTTGGCCTGTCATTAGTGTGCTTTTGTTTGTAACACAAAAGACATTATATTATTACTCTAGTGTAATATGTAAACATTATATTATAACTAGTGTAATATAATTTCTTAAATAGAGAATATCTGTTTGTTTTGCATGTAAGATTGAAAAATATTTCACTGAGCGAACACCAGATGCAATATTAATTTCATGACTTGCATTGCAAACGAATGAAAATAAAATACCTGGTGTTCACGAATGAAATATTATTTCACTCTTATATGTAAAACAAATAAATTTTCTTTTTATTTCATGCTTTTTTCGTGATTTTAAATATTTTTTACTGATTTGCTGCCTGACGTCGCGCATTCTCTTTATGAAGTCATAACATCATGATGTCACATCATCAATTTTGAAATATAATCCTGTTAAATACTCCAATTTTGTTACACTTTTAACATGATAAATGATGACATCGACTTTCTTTTCTTAAAGAAAGAACATTTACGTATGACGGCATTTTATTGGGCCTGTTATTCATTTAGTTATATTTTTCATCTGCATTCAGATATAGTCCGGCTACAGTGAAAATGATATATTATAAATTTCAATAGTGGTTTATCAAAATTATTATCTATTACAGTGAAACACTGGAAAAGCATGAAATATAATGGCCTTATTACACTCCTGTGAATTATGTGTCAAATGCTTTTTGAAACGTTAGAAATGTGTTAAGAACAAAAATCATATATTTCAGGTCACATACCTGACACTGCAAGGAGGTATCACAAGAAGCGATATGTCAAAAAGAGTCATGAAACACTGCATGTCAAATCAGTTGGCACTTCAGTTCAACTGGTTTGGCAAGAAAGGCCAAGGGAAGAGAGCGTTTGGGAAACTGAAGCTGGCCAAGGCAGTGCAAAGTAATTATTTTATTTTCATTTAAAATTTTATGGATAACCAAACACATAATTGTTACAGACAGTAAGAAACCTGCATATTTGACTTAGATATTTGATTAAAAAGAAGAAAATATATCACTATGTTCTGACCTCTGCATAGAAAAGGATATTTCATAAAAAATAATATATCCCAAACTGTGATTTTATTGCTTAATTAAATGTTTGGAGTTCAAATGCGAGGAATTATATCAGGAGGGAGTAGCCTGATTGATATAATGATTGTATTCGAATATCATAGTGAATTTATAATGCAGTGAAATCACTTTTTTGGATATATTATTTCGATTTTAACAACAACAGATAAATACTGCCGTACCTAGTATTAAGGTACACTGCGTCTGATTTGTTTCCATACTCATTTTCAGCGCCTCGCATTTTTAAATGCTAATGTCACATATCTGTAAATGGTTTCGTCACATGTTTAAATACAGTGATTTTATTGCATAATATTAAAATAACACACTTCAGGTCTTTCTGTGTTTAATAGAGGAAAATGCGGGTTGTGTTAGAATATTATATAAATTTTTGATAAAGTTAATATTTTTTATGATGTATACCTTTACTTGATGTGTTAATTAATAAAAGCATAATATTCAGTTTAGAACACTTGAATGTATGGAGAAGTTAATATTTTAATTAAGTATATCACAAAAATTTAAGGAGTATATATAGTCTACCACTACATGTGTCTATAAAGTTCTGCCAGAACAAATAAGTAGGTAGATCTTATTTTCTTTTTTAATTATACTTACAGAAGCAGTCATGAAATGTAAAAAATGTACAGCAGCTGAAGTCAAATTAGATTGTAGAGAATGGTTTCAAAGTGCATGTGACAGAGACGGGGGCCGTAAAAGAAGACAAAAAACCAATGAAGGTGTCCAAGAAACACCCACTGAATAGAACTTTTTAATATATTTATAGCGATATTGAAAGAAAAAAGATGGCTCTTTTAAATTGGAAGTAATGTAAAGGACTTGTATCATTCTAGCCTAATAGTTCAAGAACATATAGCCTAAGAAGAATAAATCATACATAAATAGTGATATAGTTAAACTAAACATTATTGAGATATATTTAAGAAACAATATCAGTTTCTGTGTTGTTCATCGGCTATTTAAAATCAGCTTAAGCTTGTGTGTCAGGCAGGATTATATATATTGTGCTTACATCGTTGCTGGATTAATGATTCTTCAGCCCCTGACCAGTTTAAAGTGACGCCATTCTGGCACTTGTATGAGCAAGCTGCATACTTGGGATGACGTTTTTATGGTGCTTACGAGTTCGCGTCAATTTGTCTTATAAAACTTATATCAATCTGTTGGGTCGGTGAATGTGAGATGTTACTTTAGCATCATATGAAAAGAAGAAAAAAAGTGAACTGAAAACATCAGAAAAAGTGCATTATTATTTTTGCCGTAAAAAGAATTTGAAAACTATTTTATTGAGGGAGAAAAAAAAACAGCGGCATATTTGTGTAGTCCATAATCAGTGCTTATTGGAAGTTTATGCCGTTAAAATCCTTCTTTGTTATAGAAACAAAATCTCAAGGAGTGTTAGATTTACATAAGATGTACATATTGTTATTGTTTTTACTCATTCAGTATTTCAATCGCACATATCAAATATTGAGATTATGGTCATAGCTTCATGATAATCAAAATAATTTTTACAATTATAATATACTAAATCCTGCGATTTGTGAATCTATATTCAATTATTGTTTTTCGTTATTAATTTTTGTTTTTGCTTTGTAAAAAATATTATTCTATTAATCCAATTTAAAAGTTACCAATGCCTTGGCCCAATGTATAGCTCAAGTCTAGTCTTTATTTTGATTGTTTTTTTACATTGGTTTTAAAATTCTTAAACATTTAATTTTCTTAAATAATTCTGCATAAATTGCTGATCATTTTTTATTTCTTTTTTTCTATTTATTGCATAATAGCTGAATATAGAGAAAAAAACACCCATACAAATGCAATTGTTGTAGATTCATTCTCATTTTTTAAATGGAATTGCAAATCGAATAGCTTGAACATATTATAAGTTATTATATGCATTTTTTAATTTGTTTGTTTTATAAATGTTTACCAAAGGAAGCAGAACTAAATTAATTATCTACTAAGTCTTTATTATCTTTTTTTTAGTCAGGTATCAGTCGGTTACACGATTACCGGAATGGCCGAATTACCGAATCGACCGAAAATCGGCGCGAATACCGAATCGACCTGTAAGTTACACTTAAAAACTTTAATTATTACAAAAGTTACAAGGCTGTACTTTGTAATAATTCAACTTTTTTAATTTTTTTCTTGCAATTTAAAATAGTAAACAATATCAATAATTTATAAAAGATTTTATAAATAAAACGTTGATTAATTTAATAAGAAATCTAATATCGCGACTACTGGCCAAACTCCCGTGACGGAATCGCCCTGTTATTTCTTTATGCAACTTTTAATGTCTTTTGCATGTTTTTATTAAAAAACCTAAATATTATCATTAATCTTCATAGAAATTTAGGAAAAAATCCTTTAATAATGATAAAATAAACAAATATTTTATGATTCAGACGAAAACGGGCAACCAACTGCCGGATCGCAAAGATTTACGTGAAATCGGCTCAGTATTGCTTATCTTAATACTTAAACAAAAATGGTTTGCACCCTTCGATTATAAATAAACAAAGCATGATTTGTAATAACAAGATAATTGTCAATAAATCATTTATTGAATTAAACAAGATATTTAATAATCGGTCGATTACGGCCTCTGTCGGAATTCTCGCGAAGATTACCGTCGTAATCGACGTATAATTATCTATTGTACTTTTTTACTTTTCGTTGCATTGTTAATATCTCCTCTTTATAAAATAATAAATAGATATGATAAGATATTCTTAAAAGTTTCTTTCTTTCTTTTTATTTTGTAAATTCATTGCACTTTGGTTAATAACGCAAGAGAATCGAGAGATCGAAGTCGAGTTTACATATACTCGTCATACAGCCGAAAAGGCGAATGAATACCGGAACTCGGCCCTGTATTCATTGTAATCATGCACTTTTGCAAGGAACAATGCAACCACAAAAATAATTAGATATCTTAAAAAAGTATTTCTGTAAATGAAGAATCCTTATTTAAATAGATAGCTAGAGATCTAAGGTAGGCAATTACTGCCATATCGATAATTATATCAGTGCCAGGCCTATCCGAACATACTGAATCGGCTGTTTTTCCCCACAAATGTTCAACTTTACAAAAATAACTTGAATATTTTATTAAATACAACTAATTAAACGATTTTTATAATTGTTGTTGAAATCGTAATCAAATAAGAAGCAAAGATTATGAAAAACGCTGGTTTATATTTACATATAAAAGATTTATATTGAAGATCGGTCAAAAAACGGGAAACCGTTCGAATTAGGCATGGATTACCTTGGAATCGACCTCGTAATTTGGTTATTTGTGAACTTTTTAAATATTCTTTTTATGTTTGTATCAAGAGATAATAAAATTTTCAATGATATTGCATTTTGTAAGTAAATTTGCTTTTATTAATAAAAACAAAGACCTAAGATCGGCGAATTACTGTCATTCTGCCCGATATAGGGGAAGGATCGTGGACGGGATCAGCCTGTATACTATAGTTATTTTTATGTTTATTTTATTAAATGCAAATAATATCATTGATATAAAAAGATTTTTGGAAATAAAGATCACTTCTTATTATAAAACTGGATGTCTAAGATAGACTAATTACTATCATAGTGCCTGAATTAACAGGGAAATACAGGAATTAGTCGTTATGTTTGTTATATTTCAGCGTTTTAAAAAATATCTTGCCATATTTTTATTAAATACAAACAATTCAAATGATATTTAACTTAATATTTATTGTAATCGCTATTACATAATAAACAAGGTGATCTATGATTTCTTCCATACTACCGAATCGACGAGCGATTGACCGGAATCGGCTTCACTTCGTCTAGGATTACTGGAATCGGTTCTAATTTTGTTGATGAATGTGAACTTAATATAATTATTATCATTTATTTTTGCATGTATTTACAAACATAATCATTGATCTTTTATGGAATAATGCAATATCGTCTTTACATTATATTTTTTCAGGTAATTGCTAACAGAGGATTGTTTGAAATGACGGATAACAATAGGTCAGTTCAGTCTTTCTTTATGTTTGCATAACTCAATTCTTGATTTCATAAAGTAGTCGATTCATAATTACATGCAATAAGTTTTATTTGAATCTTTATTTAAACAATACAAACCTCATAAAATATTCACATGAAATCAATGTTTTACCAGGCAGTTAAATCGTACTTACTTGACAGTTCAAGGTCATTCTGGAGTATCAAATCAATTGTCGTCATTTGCGTTTATTGGTGCACCATAAAAAATATTACAAAGATTGCGAATAAGTCGATCGTTGAAACATAGATTATTTAGTCTTAAATAGTAAACAAATCATATATACCCGTAACGTATAAAACAGTGAGATATGGATGTTAACTATATACGCAACAGATGTATACTGTCACTTTATTGGAAGTAAACGAGCTGTATATCGGGAGCTGTGTATTGGGAAGTGTGATATACTACCAAACAGTGGGGTGCAATATACAGTATGCTGATATATTTCATAGTGGGAGGGTCTGTCTGTTAGAGAAAGCGTGTTGTTAAGCAAGCTGTAGCTGGAATCCGGGGAATGATTACCGGAATCGGCCTGTTATTTTTGTTATATTATGAACTTTAAAAAAAAAATCTTGCATCTTTTATAAAAATATAAACAATGCTAATGACATGTAAAAATATTTTTTATAAATAAAATCGCTTAAGATTAATTAAGCAACAATACTTAAGATCAGCTAGTTACTGTCATACTGCCGGAATCGAGGAATGATTACCGGAATCGGCCTGTAATTTTGTTATTCATGAACTTTTAAACTTTTATATAAATATAAACAATTAATGACATGTAATTTTTTTTATAAAAAACACATTTGATTCATTAAACAAGAGATTTAATTATGATCAAGCAAGTTACTGTCATCTGATATTAGATCTCTTGTTAAATTAATCAAAAGCGATTTTATTTACTTCTTTTTTTACATTTCATTGATATTGTATAAAGATGCAAGAACCTTTTTTGTAATCTTTATTAATAACCAAATTATACGCCGATTTCGGTAATCCTTCGTCGATTCCGACAGTATGGCAGTAACTCGCCGATATTAAATATCTTGTTTAATTAATCATTTATCAATGAGATTTTATTTACAAAAATCTGATTACATATCATTGATATTGTTTATATTTAATCAAAGATGAAAAAATATATATACATCACATTAAAAAAACTATTGTGTGTTTATTTGGGATGTTCGCGGAAAATGTCATTATTAATTCAGTGTCATAAGTAACTACATGTATATATCATAGTCCTTTACTTAAAGGATCTTCTTCCATTTTTTATTAATAATTAAATGGGTCAAACGGTTAGAAATTATGCTAAACTTTGAAAAGAATCTTAAGATCTATACAGGGTGTTTATATTGTTGTTTTGTTTTTACATTGACTAAATCCTGGGATATACGATATCGTATGTCCCAGCTAAATCTTAAGTCTTTAAAAATTATGAAGTTCAATAAATCCTATGACTTAATTCATCTACAGCTTGCTGAACAACAGGCATTCTCTAACAGATAGTCTCTCCCACTATGAAATATATCAGCATACCGTATATTGGCACCCCACTGTTTTGTAGTATATCACACTTCCCAATACACAGCTCCCAATATACAGCTCGTTTACTTCCAATAAAGTGACAGTATCATCTGTGCGTATATAGTTAACATCCATATCTCACTGTTTTATACGTTACGGGTATATATGATTTGTTTACTATTTAAGACTAAATAATCTATGTTTCAACGATCGACTTATTCGCAATCTTTGTAATATTTTTATGGTGCACCAATAACGCAAATGACGACAATTGATTTGATACTCCAGAATGACCATGAACTGTCAAGTAAGTTGGATTTAACTGCCTGGTAAAACATTGATTTCATGTGAATATTTCATGAGGTTTGTATTGTTTAAATAAAGATTCAAATAAAAATTATTGCATGTAATTATAAATCGACTACTGTATGAAATCAAGAATTGAGTTGTGCAAACATAAAGAAAGACTAAACTGACCTATTGTTATCCGTCATTTCAAACAATCCTCTGTTAGCAATGTCCTGAAAAAATATAATGTAAAGACGATATTGCATTATTCCATAAAAGATCAATGATAATGTTTGTAAATACATGCACAAATAAATGATAATAATAATATTGAGTTCACATTCATAACAAAATTAGAACCGATTCCAGTAATCCTAGACGAAGTGAAGCCGATTCCGGTAATCGCTCGTCGATTCGGTGGTATGGAAGAAATCATAGATCACCTTGTTTATTATGTAATAGCGATTACAATAAATATTATTAAATATCATTTGAATTGGTTGTATTTTATAAAATATGGCAAGATATTTTTAAAACGCTGAAATATAACAAAATAACAGACTAATTCCTGTATTTACCTGTTAATTCAGGCACTATGATAGTAATTAGTCTATCTTAGATATCTAGTTTATAGTAAAAAAGTGATCTTTATTTCTCAAAAAATCTTTTTATATCAATGATATTATTTTCATTCAATAAAATAACATAAAAATAACTATATTACAGGCTGATTCCGCCCATCCTTCCCCTATATCTGCAGAATGACAGTAATTCGCCGATCTTAGGTCTCTTCTTTCATTAATCAAAAGCAAATTTACTTACAAAAATGAATATCGTTCAAAATGTTTATATCTTATATAAAACATGCAAAAGAAATATTCAAAAAGTTCACAAATAACCAAATTACAGGTCGATTCCGGTAATCTATCGCCTATTCCGACAGGTTTCCCGTTTTTGCCGATCTTCAATATTAATCTTTTTATTATTTATAACAGCAATTTTTCATAAATCTTTTGCTTCTTTTCAATAAACATTATAAAAATCTTTTAAATTGTTTGTTTTTAATAAAATAAGTCAAGGTTATTTTTCAAACGTTGAATAAAACAGACCGATTCCGGTAATTGTCCGATAGCCCTGACACTGCATATAATTATGCGATATGGCAGTAATTCGCCGACCTTAGATCTCTAGCTTATTATTTAATAAGGATTTCTTCATTTACAGAAATCTTTTTAGATATCTATTATATTGTTTGCATTTTTTTCTTGCAAAGTCCATAAATTACAATAATACAGGCCGATTCCGGTAATCATTCGCCTATTTCGGCTGTATGACAGTATATGTAACTCGCCGATCTTCGATCTTTTGCTTTATTAACCAAAGGCGAATTGAAATTTACAAAATAAAAGAAAGAAAGAAATTTTAAAATATCTTTCATAATATTTATATTTTATAAGATGAATATTAACACAATGCAACAAAAAACGTTAAAAAATACAATAGACTAAATTATACGTCGATTCCGGTAATCCTTCGCCGATTCGACAGTATGGCAGTAACTCGCCGATATTTAAATATCTTGTTTTAATTAATAAAAAATGATTTTATTGACAATAATCTGATTACATATCATTGCTATTGTTTATTTATAATCAAGGGTGCAAACATTTTGTTTAAAGTATATAGATAAGCAAATTACAGGCCGATTTTCGGTAATCCTTTGCCGATTCCGGCAGTTTGCCCCGTTTTCGCTGATCATAAATATTTGTTTATTATTATCATTATTTAAAAGCGATTTTTTTTCACAATCTCTAGCAAGATTAAATGATAATATTTAGGTTTTATAAAAAACATGCAAAAGGAACATTAAAAGTTGCATAAACAACGAAATAACAGGCCGATTCCGGTCACGGGCAGTTTGGCAGTAGCTCGCCGATATTAGATCTCTTGTTAAATTAATCAAAAGCGATTTTACTTATAAAAATCTTTTCATAAATCATTGATATTGTTTATATCTTATAAAATTGCAAGAAAACACTTAAAAAGTTTAATTATTACAAAGTTACAGGTCGATTCCGGTAATTCACCGCCGATTCCGGTCGATTCCGGTAATTCGGCCGATTCCGGTAAGTCGTGTAACCCGGTATGTTTTTATTTAAAGTGAAGATGTATATTTGTTTAGAAATGGAAGCATGAGAAAAGAATTAACAGTGATGTTTGTACAATATATATATTATTTATCAACAGAAATAACAATTGAAGATGGCCATAAGGAGTTGTTTACCAATTAATGCAATCTAATGTAAAAGTCAAAAAAATATTATTTAATGTGGGAATCTGAATATTAGTTATAGTATGATAAAATGATATAATGTCATCAGTGGGGAACTTTCTCAAGAGTGAATCTATTATATTCTTTAAAATTTTGATTTCTTAAATTTTTATGTCTTCATTATAAAGATTCAGTAACCATGACAATTTATTTTCTTATTTACTTTCAATAATTATATATTAACAAAATTAATATGAGTGTTATTCTATTACCAGTATATTGTCTTGTGATTTTTAAAGGAAATTTTTGATTTCATTTATGAAATGGACTTAAATGTCTATTTAATAGATTAATGATACAATTAGACTTCCTTAAACACTAAAAAAACTATTACAACATTAAATAACATAGATTGAAGACTAATATTGTTTTTTTTTTGGGGGGGGGGGGGGGGTTTTGTGCACTTTTTCTCACATACTTCTCAAATATTTATAACAAAACGATGAAAAATGGATTGTTTGCTGTTATGTAATTGTTATTGGGTTTTATTTGCAGTCTGCGATAAACAATTTAATTTTGATAAAGCAACAAATACTAGTTTACAGTACCATTGTCCTTTAAAAATACAACTATATTTTTAGCTCGACTATTCGATAAGAATAAGTAGAGCTATTGTAGTCACCCGAGCGTCCACGTCGGCGTCGGCGTAATCACTTATGTTAAAGTTTTTGTAATAGTTCAAATATTTTCAAAGTCCATTGACATATGGCTTTGAAACTTTGCACACTTGTTCACCATCATGACCCCCACCTGTAGACAGGAGGAGGTAACGGTATCAAACATTTTGACAGAATTATGCCCCTTTTTCGACTTAGAATTTACGTTAAAGTTTTTGTAATAGTTCAAATATTTTCAAAGTCCATTGACATATGGCTTTGAAACTTTGCACACTTGTTCACCATCATGACCCCCACCTGTAGACAGGAGGAGGTAACGGTATCAAACATTTTGACAGAATTATGCCCCTTTTTCGACTTAGAATTTACGTTAAAGGTTTTGTAATAGTTCAAATATTTTCAAAGTCCATTGACATATGGCTTTGAAACTTTGCACACTTGTTAACGATCATGACACCAACCTGTAGACAGGAGGAGGTAACTCTATCAAGCATTTTGACAGAATTATGCCCCTTTTTCGACTTAGAATTTACGTTAAATTTTTTTGTAATACTTAAAATTTTTCAAAGTCCATTGACATATGGCTTTGAAACTTTGCATACTTGTTCACCATCATGACACCAACCTGTAAACAGGAGTAGGTAACTCTATCAAGCATTATTTTTTACTATTAAGCACTAGAATAGTCGAGCGTTGCTGTCCTACCGACAGCTCTTGTTTCCAATCTTTGTTAAATTCTCTTTTGACTGTGATGTTAACTGCTGTACACAATTAACATACATTTGTTAAAAAAAAAAAATATTGATTCTATGATATATATGATGTATATTTGCCAAATGAAAATTAAAAGCTTATATTTAAGCTCAATTGTGTTTTTTGTTAATTGGAATGAAAAAATCAAAGTAAAATGTTTTATTAGAAGAAAAATTAAAGGTTAATTTATGTCGGTATGACACCGGCTTCAAATCGATCTAATGATATACAGCCGATATCGGCCTGACTTGTAGCCGGGTTGCACATCCGACATCTGTCCGATATAAGAAATCGATATCGGGCCGACATAACAACTGATATCGGGCCGATATTGGACCGATATAAAATGTTTGCTGGGTTATTACACTAGCTGATCCCATAGCTGTAACCTGTCGAGGTCTTGTTGTAAGATCCTTTCTTGGGAATTGTTATTGACAGCTATATAAACAGCAGTGTCATCGGCGAATAACCGGACCTGTGAAACTAAATTTTTAGGCATGTCATTTATATACATGTATAACAGGAAGAGAAGGGGACCTAGGACAGGCCCTTTGGGGACGCCAGATATTACAGGGACCTCGTTTGACGTTTCCCCATCTACTTCAACGGACTGGTGGCGACCAATCAAGAATGATTTGACCCATTGCAATGTGTTGTCTCAAATCTGAAATTTAGAAATATTGATAGTTTCTACACACTCTTAGTAAATGTAAAATAAACATGTCTTGAGTACACGTGTACACAGAGTATATATTTTGCATTTTAAACTCCATACATTTTTGATTTGACCCATTGCAATGTGTTGTCTCAAATCTGAAATTTAGAAATATTGATAGTTTCTACACACTCTTAGTAAATGTAAAATAAACATGTCTTGAGTACACGTGTAACACAGAGTATATATTTTGCATTTTAAACTCCATACATTTTGGGTAAATACAGTATGAATACATAGTGTCATTAAAAAAAAACAGCAGTTCTTTTAAGAAATGACCAAGTTAGCTTGACCATGACCAAGTTAACTTGACCTGTAGTAGGGAATGCAACTTCCCATACACAGTTTGTGCATTTCCATATTCAAATTAGACATATAAAGTAAGAATATTCTACATTTAAACAGATTTCTGCACTAGAAATATTTAACTTAAAGATGAGCATAGTACATCTTTAAAATATGAAAATATACAAGATAACCACAACTAGAATATGCGAGATATTGGTGGGTCGGTGGGTGGGTGGGTGAATGGATGGACTAGTGGCGAATCGACATAAGCATCTCAAATAATAAAAAAAAACGACAGTAAATAAATGAAATTATGTATACCAAAACTATATTAAAACACAACAAGGGAAATGATTTTTTATTCAGAAGCTAAAATTAACATAAAAGATATTCGGCAATAATAAGACAACTCAATTGTCAGTATCCTATTATTGATCAGTAGACGCCGTTGTCAGTCAGTACATTAGCGTCTGCCTAACCGGAAAAAGCGTGCAGTCAAAATGGCTGCGCCCGTAAATTCTGTTGGCAAACGGCAACATGCAAGAGCTAAAAGACCTGTCTCTGATGCGTCAGCTGAAAATGTTTCGCGGAAGAAACCAAGAGTTAATAGCTTTGACCATATTGAGTTCAAAAGTTATCTAAAAGAACCACAAATGGCGAGTTTAGGTAAGATAATTTATGCTGGTTTTGTTTGTTTTCATGTCATCTTTTCATGTCATTCATCTTATGAATTACTGTTGTAGGTGAATCCAATACCATTAAGTCCATTGCTTACAAGACGTTAGTCAAACACCAGCTGGAATATGGTTCCGAAGTATGGTCTCCCCACATCCCATACATCACAAGACCTGTATGAAAACTAAGACACTTGGGAGGGATGTGGAGCTCAAAACGCCTTTAAAATCCAAAATAAAATGTCTATTTATCAATCCCAGTAGATGTAGATCTACTGATCATTATACATATCCAAAAAACTTAATATTAGTCGTTTTGAAAAAAATCGTATTTCAACATCCATAACACTGTTTAATAATTTTAGTCAACTTATTGTACTTGGTGACGAGATATTGTGCTTATTTGTGTCTGGGCAATATCTCGCCTCTTATATTTGCAACAGGCAAAATAAACAAAAAGATTATCACAGTTTTACTCCATTAACAATATCTTTCGACAAATTCAAAACATTTTTATTTTGTGTTTTATTATATTACAGGGTTTTACCAACCCTTTTTATATTAGGGGTCCATTGGACGCAGGATCTATAAAAACAGGGGTCCACCACAAAATTTTGAGGGTCCACTCCCAGACAATTTTCGAAATTGCTGATTGCTCACAGAAGAAGTACACTAAGATTGCAATATAAATGACTATTGTAAACAATTTTAGATTTATTTCTCAAACAAAAACAAAAAACAAGTTTTTAGTATTTTGACTAGAAACATTTTTTCATTCGAAGCTCTAATCACTTTAGTCATTTATTGAAAGACATCGCATTTTCTTTATTTTACAGTTAGACATTTATCGGATAATGTGAAAAAAAAGCTTCAAATACGTCTTGAGATTTAGACTATAATCACTTGTATTTATCTAACCAGACTGGCCGGAATGTTGTGTCTGTTTTGTGGATTGTTAAGATGATGTATTCGTTCAGTTACAGGCGACGAGACAGGCTCATTGTCACCTCATTTTCGTTTCGGACCACCCCCACCAAAAATTTCTTGGGTCAGTCTGTTTTGCCGTCATTTAAACCAAAAGTACTGTCACAGATAACGGTAACAACTGAGCGCTCCGACTGATAATAATATCCGGGACACGTTGGTGCTCACTAATGATTGGTCGGTATTTTAAATGCGAACATCAACTACCCAATAAACTGACGCGTTACTATAAATACCAATTGGTGATTCCAATGACCTTCACTGCTAACCAAAACATTTTTATCGTAAAAATACGGAAAGGAGTGTTACTCTAAACAATATTTGTGTGGTCACGATACTAAGTATTTATTTCAAAATATGGAAATGACAGTTTCTTTACACAATTTTTCTGCGTCCATGTGTACGCAGAATTTATTTTTTGTGCGTACAGGATGGCATTTTATGCGTATATGACGTAGGATCCTGCGTCCGGTAAATCCCTGATATTATATATGATTTGTTTTCAAAACGGCTTATATTAAGTTTTTTAGATATATATGATCAGTACACGTGTTGGAATTGACAGCCAAAAGTTCTACTTGTTACGTATCTGAGTCAAAAATGGGTGGCCTATACACACTAGGTGCTCCTCGTTTAGGGCACTTGAAAAGTAAAAAGCAAAATAAAAAAACATTAAACAAACATTGCAAACTTGTTAGTCCGATATATTAGGCTTGTTGTAGTTTATGATGGTTGTTTTGTCAAGAAGTAAAAGATATCCCAAAAGCAACAACATATTTATAGGTCTAGCAAACTTGTGTGTGTAGAAGAAGACTTTATAAAATATAAATTTTAAATTGCTAGTCTCTGCGGTGACTGCAGAGGCTGAGTGTGTATAGGCTAGCATGGTAAAGTTGAAAACCTTTTTGTGTTTACAGGATTTGAAAAGTTTGTGGAGGCAGCAGCTAGTCATACAGATGGTGGCGGTGAAGATATTGTCTTGAAATTCCTTCATTCATCACCAGAATGTTCGGAGATATTTCATGTACTGGAGGTACAACAAAAGAAAGTACATGAGGTATATCACTCTCTTGTTAATTTAATAACACAGAAACATCTTTTTTTTTTAATCACAGGAAAATTCAGCTTGATTTGATATTGTGCAGGGTTTCTATTGACGCACATTTCCTGCGTCCTTGACGCAAAAATAGTAACCTAGGACCCTTAATTACTCTAAGTCTGCGTCCACGGGGACGCAAATTAAATTTTCTTCCGTAAATGTCATTTGGTAATTCCTTCCGCTTCTTTAAAGGAAATGACGTAATTTGGTAGACAGCAGAGTTATCTTTCTTTCAATTAATTACAGTTTAATACGGAATAAAATGGCGCACACTAGAATTTAGTCAACCTTAAAAAAGCGTCCCAGTCTATGCATTGCTATGAAATAAATCGTAAAACATGTCGGCTGCTCCCCGAAATAAATCACGTAGTTTTAATGAAAAGTGGCTAAGTACTTACCTGTGGCTCGTGCAAAACGAGAAGACCACGAGTATGAAATGCAACCATTGCGTCTCAACCAAAAAATGTGATCCATTTGACTTGAAAAATGGATGTCTGAACTTCCAGAATAGTACATTGTCCGTCATCAAGGGTCTAAAGATCACTCGGACGCATTAAACAATTGACCAGATGTGAAAGATCTTGACTTTCTGCAAGTTTTACAATTATTCAGCCAAATGAAAGAAAGGAAAAAATAAAAAGTAACAATAAATGATGATTATGTCATTGTGAAATGTATTTCCTGAGTTGACAAAGCAAAAATAAATAATAAATTTTATTTAACAAAGTCAATAAAATGCATATGTAGTTGAACAATGTATATAAATGTAAAGAATTAAACCTAGACAATGACAATGACAAAAGATTTATTTGATTTTGGCCTCCGGCCCATATCAACAAAACATATACATTACAAGCAGTAAGCAGCAGCATAGACAATATATATAAGTAATACCTTACATTGAAGTAATAAATGATTAGGACCCTCATATTTTTCTCTGGGACCCTCATATTTTATGAGCACGAGTCCCTGGGACTCTTAAATCAAAATTCCTAGTAGAAACCCTGTTGTGTAAATACCGAGTGCTATGGGATATTGTCCCTTGTGTGCAATAATCAGTCTTCAGATATGCTATTAATTTTCCAGTCAGGCAGTGAGTATTATTTATGACTCATTTATTTTTGATTTATGACTAATTTTTATAGATGTTTTTATAGGATTTCTTATGTTTTATTTTGTTTTCATTATATGTTGTTCTTTCAAATATGGACAAATTTTTATAAATGGTGTCTTCATAATTTTCAGCTTCAGTTAATCTTCAAGTGTTTAGAGACAATTTTGTTGAGGATTGCTGATGATCTTGGACAGTTTTATAAAAGTGGGCAAAATATTGTGAAGAAACTCCTGGCTGGTCATGTACTATCCATCTTTAATACACTCAACATAAAGAACAAGTATGAGAATTTTAATTTTAACACTTGCCATGCTATATAATCTCAAATGGAATTGTCCATCTTTTAATTTGGAAAAAAAAATCATTCTTTATAGGGATATGTACTGACTGAATAATAAAACAGTGGAGACCAAGATCTGGTGGCTGAGTTTGGTCTGCACTGGTCACATATGTAGTCTTTGTTACCATACAGATGGAATGAGTTAATGTGATTATATACATTACACAATTTCTATATGGCTTCTAAAGGTAACTAGAAATTTGAAACAAGGATGTTACTTATACATTGTACTTTATTTCTTCATTGAGTTTTACAAATAATTCACTGTCACCATTGTGAGGCAAATACTATGATTTGCAACTATGATTTTAATTTAATTACAAAAGGTACATATCTATCTCAAAAAGACTCAGAAGAAGAAGAAATAACTACTGAAAATAATGTCTGGGTTATCAAGTTGTTTATTGTTTTTCTGGCAATACACTTTTTATGACTGATTTATCTGACAAGCTCTCAAGTAAGATTTGATAGTAGGTTAGAAGATAAGGGTATATTGATTCTTCTTGGCTTTAAAGGCTAGCTTTATAGCACAGAGGAAAAATGACTTATGAGGATGTAAAAGGTTTAAAGCTCAATTTTGAGGGAGTTTGTATTCTCCAAGATACAAAGAAAATGATGTAGTTTTGGGTGTCTTCACCTGACATAGCGATTCTTTATGCATACATGTATAAGCTGTGACAAATTTCAGAAATTAGGCACGATTTTAGATATATTTCATTGATGAATATTAATTGATGCATGTTAAATTAGACTTTCAGAGCTATAATGCTTTGTTGCTTTTTGTTACAGATCAAACCAGATAAAAACTTCACTAAAGTTATTTATTGCCATGGTAATGTTAGGAGGGCCAACTACAAAACTTGTGTTGAACAATGTTGATTTATCTCACAAAGCAATGGTACCATTGCTACAGAGGAGGGATGTGAAGGTATTACTTTTGTAATGATAATTACCCCTAAATTTTGCTTTGTTAACATGCCTGAACATAAATTAGCTCTAACCAGGCAGAAATAGACTTGTCCATCTTTCAATCTGAACTAAAGCATTCATTATTTTATTCTGTAAATTTCAAAATAAGTACTGAATGAAAAGCAAACAGTACAGACCATGATCAGATGACACACAAGTCTGTCAGGCTGATCTTGGTCTGCACTGGCGCCATTGGTGAACATCAGACTAAGGTTAGAAAATTAATGGGTAGCGAAACTGACGATATGTACTGCTTGGGTCAACAGTAAATTGCTTAAAATTGTATATAAATTTAGCAGGTTAAAGGTGAAGTGTATAAAAACATTGTTTTTATATATGAGTGGTATTGTTTTGCTGATTGTTGTACCTCGTGTTTTGTTTCTAGGATGAAGAAGACGTACGGACATGTTTTATACATCTCATTGTGGCATGTTTATTGGCAGGAGATAATGACGCCATAAAGAAACTTGTACAAACTAAAGGTACTGTATAAGGAATAATGCAAAGGGATAGATGCAAATGAATTTATGATGACAAATTGTTGAATGCTTTTTGGAATCAATGCTTTTTCATAAAACATCAAGGAATAAGTTAAGGAATAAGAGTGGCATCCGTGACTGAGTGGTTAAGGTTGTTGCCTCTTAACACTATAGGTTCCAGCCGGACCAGCGTCTTTGGATTCTTTGTGTGAGAAAGCTATCCAGCCAGTTCATGGAATGCCGATGGTTCTGCTCAGGTTCCTGTTTGTGCCTGAAATAATGCACGGAAGGGTACATGAGGTCTTCCCTACCAGTAATTATACCCCCACCACAAAATGTGGGGGGGGCTATAATGGATTCGCTTTGTCGCGTCGGTCGGTCGGTCCGTCCGTCGGTCCGTCCGTCCGTCGGTCGGTCCGTCCGTCTCCATTTTCGTGTCCGCTCTATAACTCCTATACCAATTGAAGGATTTTTCAAACTTGGCTCAAATGTTCACCTCAACAAGGGGATGTGCAGAACCCATATTGCCCGTGTGTCAGTTCAAGGTCAAGGTCACAATTGAAGGTCAAATATCAAACACTATCAAAATATTACACAGTATGTCGTGTCCGCTCTGTAAGTCCTACACTTCTTGAAAGATTTTCTTCAAACTTGGCTCAAATGTTCACCTCAACCAGGGGATGTGCAGAACCCATGTCGCCCATGTGTCAGCTCAAGGTCAAGGTCACAATTGAAGGTCAAATATCAAACAATTAAATATTACACAGTATGTTGTGTCCGCTCTGTAAGTCCTAGACTACTTGAAAGATTTTCTTCAAACTTGGCTCAAATGTTCACCTCAACAAGGGGATGTGCAGAACCCATGTTGCCCATTTGCCAGCTCAAGGTCAAGGTCACAATTGAAGGTCAAATATCAAACAATCAAATATTACACAGTATGTTGTGTCTGCTCTGTAAGTCCTACACTAATTGAAAGATTTTCTTCATACTTGGCTCAAATAATTACCTCAACATGGGGATGTGCAGAATCCATGCTACCCATGTGTCAGCTCAAGGTCAAGGTCACAATTGAAGGTCAAATATCAAACAATCTAATATTACACGGTATGTCATGTCCGCTCTGTAAGTCCTACACTAATTGAAATATTTTCTTCAATTTTGGCTCAAATGTTCATCTCAACCAGGGGATGTGCAGAACTTATGTCACTCATTTGCTGGTTAAAGGTCAAGGTCACACTTTAAGGTCAATAATTGACTTAGAAAATATTCTTAAATTTTAACATTTATTTGAATATTTCTAAATCTAGAAAAGGTATTTGCTTGAAACTTAAAATATTTTGAAGGGTCACAATTCTGATATGCTGTTTGTTCAAGTTTCATAACTCTGTATTGCATTTTACCAAAGTTATGCCCCTTTTTAAGTCTTCAAATTTACATACAATCAAATATTAGACAATATGTTGTGTCTGCTCTATAAATCCTATATACTAATGGAAGAATTTTCTTCAAACTTTACTCAAATGTTCACCCCAACAAGGTTATGTGTAGAATCCATGTCACCTTTGTGCCGGCTAAAGGTCAAGGTCACACTTGAAAGTCAAAAATTGACTTAGAAAATGTTCTTAAATTTTAACATGTACTGGAATAATTCTGAAACTAGCACAGGCATTTGCTTGAAACTTAAAAGATATATGAGGTGTGGCAAATAAGATATGCGGGTCAAGTTTCATAACTCTGTATTGCATTTTGACAAAGTTATGCCCCTTTTTAAGTCTTCAAATTTACATACAACCAATACTAGACAATATATTTGTGTCTACTCTATAAATTCTATACTAATTGAAGGATTTTCTTCAAACTTTACTCAAATGTTCAACCAAACTGGGTGATGTGCAAAACCCATCTTACCCTTGTGCCAGATTAAGGTCAAGGCCACACTTGAAGGTCAAAATTGACTTATAAATAAAATGTTTAATACATTGGGAAAATGAAAGGTTATTTGTAACTGTTTTGAACATGATTTGATAATATATATTTATACTATTACCTGTACAATTAGTCTTTTTTTCACCAGAGATAATTTCTTTTTATGTATTTGTGCGACATAAGTTATTCCCTTAACCACCTTTCCAAGTGGTCTTCTGTCAAGGACATTGGTGGGGGTATGAATCGCATTCAGCGATAGTTCTAGTTCTGAAAGTCGCCATATGACCTATACTGTGTTGGTGCGACATTAAACCCAACCAAAAACAGGAATCAGGGCTTTTTTTTCACAGGTTGGGGAAGCAGCCCTGCCCTTAATTTTGGGGAAAAGTTACACAGTATATTTGCAAAAGGGGAAGAAAAAACTTGATGTTAATTCAGTTTTTGGCCAAAACTGCATGATTTTAAAGATTTTTTCTTTGGGGAAGCAGCCCTATACCGGCCCCTGCTATAGAAGGAAAAAAGCCCTGGGAATAATTAAATGACAATGTAATATTACCCAAACAAGCAAATACATGTAAATATAGAGAAGTTATTGTACTGTTGGTAATGAATGAATTCTAGTAGTAGCCTTAAAGTACAGACTTTTCCCAATTCATATTAATTCAAAACATGCCCAAAAACAAAAATTTGGTTGGTTAAAAAATTTTCCAAACCAAAAAAAGTGTTTGTATTTTTGGAATGTCATATCTCCCATTTTTTGTTTTCCTGATTTTACGGGTTTTGTTAAAAAAATGTATTTCAAGGTTAGAATTTGCCCGGGTAAATCTTTAAACAATTATTCCCTTCAAACAATTTTAAAAAAGGGTTAAAATTTAAATTTATGATTATTTTTTTATTTTTGTTTTTTTCGGTGGTTTATATAAATATTCAGGGGATTTTAAAAGGGGAAATTTTCCCACGGGTTTGAAACAGTGAAATTCCCATTTTGAAAATTTTTCACGGGTTTTTTTTTTTAAAACCCCCTTTTAAACGTTTTTTTCAGAAAAAATACCAGCTTGCAAAAGTCGGGTTTTAAATTTAAAATGACTTTGACGTCTTTAAATGACGTCAATTGAAATTTTTTATTTGGGGGCGTTTTTTAAATTCCCAGTATTAGGTTCAATGTCTTTTTAAAACGTTTATATGCATATAATAAAAAGAAAATTTGTTTAGTTTAGTGAAAGATCGAAATATATTTCACCTTGTGAACACCAAAAAATCATATTTCACGAGTGGCTGCGCCACTCGTGAAATATACCTTTTGGTGCTCACTCGGTGAAATATATTCCGATCTTACACTAAACTAAACAAATATCCTCTATAATTATAATCATGAATTTATACAAGACATGCATATTGTAAAACTGAATTTTTGTCTTGTTATATAATGCAAAGGTAAATATTTCATTTATGTATTGAAGAAATATATTTACATATTTCAATTTTGAGAGCATTGTATAAATCATAGGGTGTAAAATGTGTAGGATGTGTGATATTAGACTGGTTCATGATAGTGTGCGGCTTTGCATATGTCCTCTTAGTTTTCTCAAGAAATTTCAGCTGAACTTTCATAGAATGATTGTCATCAAATTTGCTAGCATAGATTGTCTGATTTTGTGTTTTTAGCTCACCTGTCACAAAGTGACAGGGTGAGCTTTTGTGATCGCTTTTCGTCCGGCGTCCGTCCGTAAACTTTTGCTTCAAATGACATCTCCTCATAAACCACTAAGCCAATTTCATCCAAACTTCACAGGAATGTTCCTTTGGTGGTCACCTTTAAAAATTGTTCAAAGAATTTAATTCCATGCAGAACTCTGGTTGCCATGGCAACCGAAAGAAAAAACTTTAAATATCTTCTTTTAAAGAACCAAAAGAGCTAGAGCTTAGATATTTGGCATGAAACATCTTCTAATGAGTGTCTACCAAGTTTGTTCAAATAAAAGCCCTTGGGTCAAAATTGGCCCCGCCCCAGGGGGTCATTGATTTTCCCTATATGCATATAGTAAAAACTGAAAAAATCTTCTTTTAAAGAACCCAAAGAGCTAGAGCTAAGATATTTGGCATGAAACATCTTCTAATGAGTGTCTACCAAGTTTGTTCAAATAAAAGCCCTGGGGTCAAAATTGGCCCCGCCCCAGGGGGTCATTGATTTTCCCTATATGCATATAGTAAAAACTTAAAAAATCTTCTTTTAAAGAACCCAAAGAGCTAGAGCTAAGATATTTAGCATGAAAACATCTTCTAGTGAGTGTCTACAAGTTGTTCAAATAAAAGCCCTGGGGTCGGAAATTGGCCCCGCCCCCGGGGTCATTGATTTCCTTATATGTGTATAGCAAAAACTTAAAAAACCTTCTTTGAAAAAAACCCAAATAGCTAGAGTTAAGATATTAAGCATGAAACATCTTCTAATAAGTGTCTACAAAAGTTGTTTCAAATAAAAAGCCTGGGGTCAAAACTGGCCCCGCCCCAGGGGTGTCATTGTTTTTAACTATATGTGTATAGTAAAAACTTAAAAAAATCTTCTTTAAAAAACCCACTGAGCTAGAGCTTAGATGTTTAGGCATGAAACATCTTCTTATGGATTTTCTACCAAGTTTGTTCAAATAAAAGCCCTTGGGTTAAAATTAACTCTGCCGCCGGGGGGGGGGGGGGGGTGAGAAGGTCATTGTTTTTCCTTATATTGTAAGCAAAAACTTAACATATGAAACATCTTCTAATGGGTGTCTTAATTCCAAGTTGTTCAAATAAAAGCCCTGGGGTTTAAACTGGCCCCGCTCGGGCCTATATACAGGTGAGCGACCTCAGGCATCATGGCCGCTCTTGTTACATTGGCAGAACATGTCCTCTTTGATATTTTTCACAAATATAAGTCAGAAAAGCTGGTTTGTGATCATCAATGAACTTGTTTATAATGTATTATTTCAGGTGATCAATGAATACAGCAATCAGCAAGACACACAAAGGTTCACCATGTTTTCTGAGAAAAGTTTGAAAGAACTGGGTCGCTCTATAACTGGCATAGGCTCGGCAAGTGGAAAACAAAACTCTGAAACAGAAAGGAAAACACCTATACTCCCATATGTTATGTTTATCAATTTATATTTAAACCCTTTACATGTACATTTATTTATTTGTATAAAAGATTTTCTTTGGTATTCATTTGAATGTTTTAAGGGATTTCAATAACAAAATACAGAAATGAGGTAATAACCTCATTTGAGCCTGGTGCAGCTGGCATGATTATGTCTTGTGACAAAGGTTAGTCACTTTTGTTTGTGGCAGATCAAGGGTTAACAGTAAAGGCTACTTTGATTTCTAAATAATGTAACAGGAAAGTGTCCATTGAATTCATATGGGGAAAAAATGCCATAAAGATGCATTGAAAATATTGACATAAAGTGTATTTATATGCATTATACATGTATACTTACTATATTTAGGAGATAATGTAGTGATGTTTTCTAAAAAAAGCCAAATATATCTGTACATCAAATATTTGTTAAAGGAAATATTCACTGTTTTATGGAACTTTTAAGATTAAATTGAGAATTTCTGATAGTTTTATCAACTTGAATATAAAAAACATTGTTATATTTTTGACAATATTAAATGACAGCTGTTTATGTTTGGTTTTAGATGGAAACTGATGATATGAGAGAAGACAAGGTTATTGTGGCTGAACTTGTACATAAATTTCTAACTGAAGTGTGTACATCCTTCAAGCATGGTATAATATTCCATGATAAATCATATGGTCAGTCCGCAAGGTATATAGATTAATCTGAAATTATCAACCTGATAGTTATGTGAGAAGTATTTGCTTGCATTTGTTCTGTTCAGATGTTGTGTTTACCCTTAACCCGCTGAATTTCCTATATGGACTCATCCAGTTTCCATTTTTGGAACAGTCTATATCAATTTTGGGGCTATCATGATGAAAACAAGTTGGTCAGCCAATAGTATAGAGCCTGGTTTGTGCTGCTGGCCTAGCTTGATACTCTGGTGGCAAGGCTGATGACTTGTTAAAATTAAATATGTGTGTGTATTTATGCTTCTCTCAGAAGATGGGAGAGCATTGTTTAGTTACAATAGAGTGTAATATATTTTCATATTTGTTAGCTTCATTTGTTAATTCCTCAAGGGCATTGAAAAGAAGATGCATTTTAAGAAGGATGCATGGGGGGGAAGGATGTGTATAGAAGGGCTGGAGGATTATTTAGTTGGTTGGTTCAATATTGATCCAAGCAGAACTATGTCTTGAATTTATCACTCTCAAAATGCAAGTAAAAAAATGAGACTTCATTTTCCATAACAAAGAAACAATTTGCAAATTTAGAAATTCTTTAATTTGTCTTTGTAAAGATGCTTGAATAAATATTGACAAAAAAATAATGATCGTACAACAATAAACAAAGATAATTTTGTAAATCTTGATGATCAATGACAAAAAAAAGCACTTTCATATTTGTGAATTAAAAATTTCTTTTAGACTTCCCACCAACGATAGGAAAAACCAGTAATTCCACATCCTGTGCACTCAGATTTAAACACACTTAAAAAATTACATGACTTGTCACTTAATTTTAGAATTCCAGTTGACATGAGACACATGTCTTTTTCTTGTTATTTGTAAGAACCAATCCATTTGATGAACTAGATTTTAGGAATTTGTGTGGCAACCTGTCTAATGATTGTTGTGAAGGAACTTGTATAGGTATATTAACTGCATCCCAGATCACTCCACTACTCCTACCCAATCTTACAGACTCCGTTGTTCCTAATTGACCAAAAATGGATAGAGTCCATGGAGTTACTGATAAAGGTAGTTTAACCTCTAGGACTGTTTAACCCACAATGTGCTGAATTGGGCTTATATATCTTGCTTTTTGAATTTAGCTGAATTTGTTGGATAGTTAGGTTGTTGCAAATTTTCCTGTGCAATTTTATAACTTAAAGTATTACTTGAAATATAGAACGTAACAGCGAGAAGAAATCAGTGTAAGACCATCTCACTCTAACTTTATCGACATACTCGAACTCATATATTGGCTGTTCACTTTGAATTAATTTGAAAGGGATATCAAAAAGTACAAGTAAAAGCAGCAAAAAAACCGCTGTCCGGGAAGCAATGATACTATTGAGCATAGAAAAATCGTGTATTGATGCTCACACCTAGGTTGAAAGATCTTTGGCAAATTAATTGATTTTCTGTTGTCCATCAAATACTTTCAAGATGAGCAGGCAATGTTGTAGATTAAGTTATGCTTTTGTGTGTTTTGTATGTTACTTACAGTATTGAAGTACCTTCTCTTACAAGCTACATCTAAAGTAAGGTTAAATTCACTAAAAGGTATACCATATAACATTTAGAATATAATCTTTCTCACCATGAGAGTCTTAAAGACCCAACATTAGAATAATCTTTCTTCACATGAAGGTCTTGAAAGACCAAAACCGATAGATTCTTGAATAAACGAGTTACAAACCAACCTGATGTTTGATGTGTGCTCTCTCCTCTTGATTTACTTGTTCATAGATACATGTATAATATTGAATACTCGATAGATTTCAAATAAATTTACATCAGATTACAAAATTTTTATTGTCTGATGATCCCTGACCATGCACTAATGATTTTTTTGAATCGTTAGAACCATTAAAAAAATAGAGGCCTTTGCTTGACCAAGTAATTAAGATTTCTTCTGGCTTTGAATCTATTTTATTGCTCACATGGTGGTATTTCTTGTATATTTTTACAGATATACAGCAGTGTTAGAAGTAACATTCCTATATTGCATATGAAAGAGAAAAAGAATGTTGGAAATATGGTACATATTCTGATGATGTATACAATGCCTACATCTCAGATCCTTAAAACAATTCTGCCAGGTGTAAAGGTAGGTTTTTTCTTGTTGTTTTTTTTCTATATGTATATGTATTATTGGACATAGAGATTTTCTAAGAATTTTGTTGCCAAACATGCAGTTTAAAATATTGATTTATACCCCCAAAAAAATCCATCAATACAGTATTGAGCCTTATTATACTGTATAGATGTGAAGACTGGCCTAGCTACATGCAAGTGGTGAAGGCATATTATTATTGTGTGTAGCATTTAAAGAGTATTTGAGTCCATACACAAGGGAAATAAATCTGAAAAGAGGAGATTTCCTATGAGCAATGACAACAATGTTAATAATGGAAAAATAATTATGTTTTCCTATGCATTGCATTTAGTTTATTTTTTTTATGAAATATTTCGAAACAATGGCCAAATATAAATATGCCAAATAAAACATATCAGTTATGACTATTTCAGGATAGAAACTTGGTTATAAACCATGAGAAATTATTTCAGGATAAAAGTTTGGTTATAAATGATGAGTTATTTTTTCAGGATGAGTTTGGTTATAAATTATGATATATTATTTCAGGATAAGTTTGGTTATATATATATATATATTTGTTTATTTGTGTCTCATCTATGTACATATAGCATATTACAAACAAACAATATCATAAGACATGTACACGGCCATTCTATATAAGAATTACAAGAGACAAGAAAATCATTCATGCGTAAAAGAAATCTACTTGCTACTAAAATCAAGTACAAAGTGGCTAAAAAGGATAAAAAAGTTTTTTCAGAGTACCTGTAAAAAAAAATAATTTGTATATATTGTAAAATGAAGGTTGTGAAATACTAATTACTTAAAACCATGTGCTACAGTTAAAATTTTGTACTTGTACAATTAGTCAAAATAATTTATTATAAACATTAAGGTAGTATCTCAGGATAAAAATTTAGATGCAATCCATGTAATTGTCTATTTCAGGATAAAAGTTTGGTTGTAAACCATGTGACATTAGGTCTGGTTAAACAGATGGCTGATACAGCACGACATGTGCTCAAACTGATCCAGAACTTGCCTTCATATACACCACATGAAAACCTGGCAATACACACCACATATAAAGCATTAGTAATCAAAGTATGTATTAGGTAACATTCCTTTTTACCCCAACCCCTTGATAACATTCCTATTTCTTTATTTACTTATTTTTAAACCCAATAAAGCCACAGTTGACTTTTTGTCCCCCGCCTTTTCGAAGAAAAAAGGGGGATATAGAAATAGGCTCCGTCCGTCCGTCACACTTTCGTGTCCAGTCCATTACTTTGTCATTTATCAAAGGAATCTGAAATAACTTGACACAAGTGTTTGTAATTATAAGATGAAGTGTCATGCGTAAAACCAGACCCCTACCTCCAGGGTCAAGGTCGCACTTGCTCATTCAAGGTCAACAATGTCTATTTTAGGGTATATGTCGTGTCCGGTCCATAACTTTCTTATCTGTGAAGGGATTTTGTAAATACTTGCCATAATTGTTTACAATAATGAGAAGATGTGTCATGCACAACAACCGGTCACCTTACTCCAAGGTCAAGGTCACACTTGGAGGTCAAAGATTAACATAGTCTGTCACAGGGTATATTTTGTGTCCAGTCCATAACTTTTCATAGATCAAGGGATTTTAAAAATACTTTGCACAAATAATCACAATAATTAGACAATATGTCAGACGCATAACATGGGTCCGTACCTCCAAGATCACTCTTAGAGGTCAAAGATTAACATAGTCTGTTATAGGGTAAATTTTGTGTCCGATCTATAACTTCTTCATTGTTCAAGGGATTTTGAAAATACTTGGCACACATAGCAACAATAATAAGACGATATGTCATGTACAACACCTGCATCCGTACCTCCAAGGTCAAGGTCACACTTAGAGGTCAAAGCTTAACATGATAGACTTTTAAATTCTGTGTTTCATTTTATTTCTTTAATAAATTTATTGTTGCATTTGCAGATCTAGCATTGATCATAATTTTGGACTGAATGTCCCGAGATCCATACCTCAATCTTTTAAAATAGCACAATTTTATGCTTCATATAAAACTTTCCCAAGGCGGGGGACGTTGGTAACTCTGTTACAAATTCTTGTTTGTAGTTGTATTACAGTAAAACATATTCTCAGTGTCGATATACATGTACATGTACAATGTTTCTATTCACTGTAATAACCCCATCTGCTGCCCAGGGTGCTTTGACGCATGCTTTAGCATTGTAATATACAAAGTGGCATCCACTGCATGTATATTGCATAATACTTTTGAGTTCTAGACTTTGAACAGATGCTAAGCATTCACAATTTCTTTTTTAAGATAAATAGATTTTTATTCAATAAAACAAATATTTTTACCTAGCCTGTTTTACTGCCCTGTTTGTTTACTGTGGTAGGAGTTTGACTAATTTTCTTGTATGTATACTGAGGTAGGAACGGCTTACATTGCTTGTGAGGGGGACTTCAGTTTCTTGTATGTTTAAAGGGAATAAAACTCATGAATTGTTTCTATGAGATTTAAAAAACAGTAAAATTATGCTGTTTCCAAAATCTTATGGTCAATTCTCGAAAGAGTTGTTACATGGACTGTTTCTGTTTTTTAATATACTTGAAAACTATATGTTAACAGAAAAAATGTTCTGGAACAAAATATTACCGTTTCACAATGATTGTATGTTTGCTCCATGCTCTTTAAAGGAAATATGCTGACATATTTCTTTGAAACGGGCATTCTGAAATTATTCTTTTTTCAAATTTCAAACAAAAATTTTTGTAACTTGCAGGCAGCAAAAATATAGCTTTGTACACTCTACTGTGACATAGATAATATTTAAAGAATTTTCCTTATCCAAATTTTCAAGGTACGTTGTATAAACAAAATTGTTATTTTTTGTATTCATGTGCACTGTTATATTACAGAATTTGCCAGATGTGATGGACATATTGAATTGTTTAGATAGAATTATGCAGACCACATCCCAAGTTGACATTGACAAAGTACAAGGTAATGTTTTAATTGTGCTTTACATGCAAGCGGCTCAAGCCAGTGCTTGGGGGCGTGAGGGATGTTGCACTTTTTCATTATCCTTCATGTACAGTCTCAAACAAACCGAGTCTGCAATTTTTGTAATATTGTTGTGATTTATGCTTCTGAGGGATCACACTTAGTCCAGATTTTAAATGTATTAATGTAAAACAAGCTACAGTTTAGCCTTTACCCCACTATAACTAAAGTTATTAGCATTTACCACTTATACATAACTTACCCACCATATTGAACAATGTAATGATAACTTATTTTGGATGTACATTTATTTCAGAGTTTTGTGGTATAGGATTGTGTGAAGTAATGATCCAGCTAGAACAGATATTATGTTTATATCAAGATTTCCAGCCTACTTTGCTTGCTGAACATCCCACCATTCTAGGTAACTATAGCAAATATTTTATCTAAAAGTATTTAGATTATAATGTTAAAGTATGCTTTCAATTTTTTCTCTTTTTTAGCAAAGTTTGAAATGTGATCTAATGAGTTAGATATAACATATGCCAGCAGTCTGCTTTCAAAATTAAAAAAAAAATACCTGACCTTACTGACGTGATGAACCTTTGCTAACTGTATAGACTCATGCAAGATAATACATTGTGAATTGGACTGTTCCAAATTCAGGGAGTGTAAGCTTGAAGTATGTAACAGTAATAGTGAATATGATTTGATTATAAGAATATTTTATTTGTAGGCAAGCTGATTGAAGGCATTATGGAGAAGGAGTGGCGCTCTGTTACATCCAGTTCCTATCATTTGATGAAAGTTCATCTTCTCAAACTGATGGCAGGAACTGAGTCAAGAAGACTGCCATGGGCTAAACAGGTTTGTAATGACACTTTTTAAAAGTGACATTATTCCCATAAAATGGTATATAGTAAAAAAAAAACTTTCCATTTTGCTATAATTCCTTTCAATTTTACAATTTACATCACATGAGCGATAAGGAAGTCACATTGTGCAAGAAAATTTCTGTAAATATCCATCAGAAACAACATGTAAAAAAGAAATAATGATGCAGTCCATTTATATTTTAAACAGATTTAAATTTTATCCTGAACATTTTCCAAAATCAATTGTTGGTCAATCACCATTATAACAGTCAATCTTTTGACATATATAGTCAATTCAACTCAATTTCTCTTTTCAAACAAAGGGAAGTACATGTATATGATTTTTTTTTGTTTAAAAATGCTTGTCCTTTGTGCTTTACATTTATTGCTAAGTTATCTTGATTGGTCTGAAGACAAAATCCATTACACTCTTTAATGTAAATGTACTTCACAAAATGATTGGTTGTTTTATTCAGCACAGTTACCCAATTGACTCCACAAATGTTACATAAATCTGGCTTACATTTTCATAATGTTAATGCCATTTGTAGCAAAACTTTGAAGTAACTGTTAATAAAAAATTTGACAAAGTTCAAAATCTAATCCTGTCATTAGCATTGTGATTTTTCTGTTGAAAAGGAAAATTATGTTGTTTTGATATTTCAGAATGCATCAGGCCAGAGTCTTCTTCATCAGTTGCTGGCAATGTTGACTCAGCTATCTTCTAACAGAGAACTTGCAGACATGACATTACAGCTTGTTTGTAAGGTATGATATTTTCTTCTAGCACAGTCATTAACTATCTTGAAACTTAACATGATTTTAGAAATGAAAAAATGCGTTATTAACAAATTCCAGTATACATATCATCAGTATATGAAAAGGGGGTGTCCATGGTCCAGTGGTTAAGGTAGTTGACTTTAGACCAATTGGCCCTCACCGCTGTGGGTTTGAATCCGGCAAGGGACTTTGGATTCTTCCATGTGAGGGAGTTATCCAGATAGCTTATGAAATGTCATTTGGTGCCTGTTTGTACCTGAAATAATGCACAGAAGGGCACCTTAAGTTGTCTTTTACCAGTTAAGGTGGAAAGTGGCCATATGACCTTTACTGTGTTGGTGAGATGTTAAACACAACCAACCAATCCTGTGATAATATTAAATAATTTTTCTTGTTTACAAGATATACCATTTTTGTTATTTGATAGTACATTTTATAAATCTTTCATACAAGTTATGTTATTTTAGGCACTTGACAATATCATTGTCCAGTCTGGTTTAGGAACTGTTAATTCATACAATTATATATATACAAGATATGTTATTTTAGTTATTGGAGAGTACAGACCAGTTTGAGAATCATCACAATGATCTACTTGTTTGGCTCAATGCTCTATTACACTCACAAACAGATGTGCTAGACTTTGTTTCCAAGGTGATGATAACCTATATTCACAATCCATATCCCTACATGGATAGAATGTGTGACCTCCAGTTGACCTCGGATTTAAACATGGCCTCAACTTCAGAGGAAAAGCAGCCATTTGGTAAGTACTAGTATATCTTTATTCCTTGCACTGGTACAGTGCAACTTCTGTAGGGAAACCCATTTACAGCAATAACATTTTAACAACAACAAAAGCAGTCCTTTCAAAGTAAGGCTTCACAATAAATTTAAGATCTTTTATGAACAAACAAAATATTTCTTCCCTTTGTTCATTTTGCTGTGCAGAGATTGCACTGCAGGGATTGCACTGTAGGTCTATGCTTTTACATCACAGAGCAACCCAGTGGCACTTAAAGATTTATTGTGCTTGCACACACAAGTGAGCAACTTGGTAGCATTCTAAAATCAATTGTTCTTTTATACACAAGTGTACAGCTTCACCTGCAGGTGGCAATTTACATTTTATTTGCTTGCACCTAAAAGGAGCAATCAGTGAGAATTTTAACATTTTATTAATGCTTGACCCCTGAATCATATTTTGAAGACAAATTATTTGGAAACTGGCATGTGTTTGGTTTTTTTCCTTTATTAACACTGAATGTTTATTACAAAGATAGTGAAGTTTTCGCACAAAAAAAGTGACGTTATGTGTCGTCACGCCAAATTTACAACAATTTTTAATACTTCCCCTCAGCATCTATTATTTCTTCTCCCTTACGATTAAGTATGGTGGACTTGGAGAAATTTAGAATTGAGGAAATTTGAGCCTTTTAGTTAAAAGGAATTTCAAAAAGGTTTGCAATATTTTTTACTTGATTAACCACTTTGAAAAAGCTATGTTTAGTAACTACAAAGGATAAAAATTTAAATAAATTTGCTAGAATATAAGCGCTCTAATCCAGAATATCAGTTTATATATTATGTAACTTTAAAAGGGTAGTTGATAGCTGTGATTGCGAATTGTTGTTAAGTTTAGCTATCTCTTCTGCCAAACTGTATTTGGTCTCTGAATCGTGCATAGTCACAGTTATTAAAATGCAAGATTTAATTCTGATTTTTTTACAAACAGATTTCCATTTTGTCCAATGTTGATTGTTGGGCTAGATGTACTTGAGAAATCGGAAACTATACCAAAAGGTAACTTTTTGAAATTTTCACTAAGTTTAAGAGAATTTTATCCAAACAAATTTATATAATAAATTTACACTTGTGTGCTAATATTTTAATTCAGGCTTTGAAACTTAAAATATAAAGATGTTCCTGTTTGTTTTATTAAGCATATCTATCCAGCTAGGTTAGGGGACATTGGTGGTTCTACTTACGGGCACCTGTAGTCTTCTTTCACTAATAAAACTGGGAAGTTGCCATATGACCTGTCAAGCGTCACTGTGACTTAAGAACCAAAAAAAAAAAAACAACTTCCAAAAACTTTTACTCAATGATCATTTTTGGTATACATTTATATGTACCAGGAATGTTGATGAAATCGCTGCTGGATGATACTTTTATAGTTTTTATTATGCTCCCCGAAAAAATTTCGGGGGAGCATATAGTCGCCGCCTTGTCCGTCCGTCCGTCCGGCTTTCCGTCCGTCCCCTTTTCTTGTCCGGGACATAACTTTGAAACAACAAGAGGTATCAACATGAAACTTAGTAGGTAGATAGATCTCATTGCAGTAGGTGTGCAGTGGACAAGAACCTTAACTCTGCCTTGCCTATTTTTTTTAATTATTCCCTTTGTTTATTTTTACACTTTGAGCTTTGTCTGGACATAACTCTAAAAGTATAAAGAGGTATCAACATGAAACTTTGTAGGTAGATAGATCTCATTGAGTTGGTGTGCAGTGCACAAGAACCGTAACTCTGCCTTGCCTAATTTTTGAATTATCCCCTTTGTTTATTTTACACTTTGAACTTTGTCCGGGACATAACTCTAAAACTATAATAGGTATCAACATGAAACTTTGTAGGTAGATAGATCTCATTAAGTTGGTGTGCAGTGAATAAGAACCGTAACTCTGCCTTGCCTAAGTTTTGAATTATCCCCCTTTGTTTATTTTTACACTTTGAACTTTGTCCGGGACATAACTCTAAATGTATAAGAGGTATCAACATGAAATTTTGTAGGTAGAAAGATCTCATTAAGTAGGTGTGCAGTGCACAAGAACCGTAACTCTGCCTTGCCTAATTTTTGAATTATTCCCCTTTGTTTATTTTTACACTTTGAACTTTGTCCAGGACATAACTGTAAAACTATAAGAGGTATCAACATGAAACTTTGTAGGTAGATAGATCTCATTGAGTAGGTGTGCAGTGCACAAGAACTGTAACTCTGCCTTGCATAATTTTTTAATTAACCCCTTTGTTTATTTTCACACTTTGAACTTTGTCCTGGACATAACTCTAAAACTATAAGAGATATCAACATGAAACTTTGTAGGTAGATAGATCTCATTAAGTATGTTTGCAGTGCATAAGAACTGTAACACTGTCTTGCCTACTTTTGGAATTATTGCCCTTTGTTCATTTTGACACTTTGAACTTTGTCCGGGACAGTACTCTAAAATCATAAGAGATATCTGAACATGAAACTTTGTAGATAGATAGGTCTCATTGGATGGAAGTGCAGTGCTTAAGAATCATTACTCTGCCTTGCTTTATTTTGAAGTAATTGCCCTTTGTTTATTTTTACTTTTTGACTTTTGTCCGGTACATAACTTTAAAACTATTAGAGATATCAACATGAAACTTTGTAGGTAGCTAGATATAATTGGATAAAACTGCAATGCTTAAAGAACCTAAACAAAGCCTGATCTAATTTTGGAGTTATTGCCCTTTGTTCATTTTCACACTTTGAATTTTACCCGGGACATAACTCTGATATCATCAGGAAACTTTATAGATAGATAGATCTCATTGAATAGAAGTGCAGTGCAAAAAAACATAACCCCTCCTTGCCTTATTTTGGAGTTTTTGCCCTTTGTTCATTTTTTTTAATACTTTCCTGTGTCCAGAACCTTCTCGGGGAGCATCACCCAGTTCAACCGGTTCTTGTTTGTTTGGGTCGTCAGAGCAAACAAATAATGGTAGCGAAATTTCAGACTCTAATGCTGTTATTTGCAAGTGCCGAAAGTAGTCCGCTTTTTTGAAGCGGTTACTTCCCTTTATATGTAAACTAACGCCGAAAGATTCAGGGGAAATCACTGCGTAAAGATGGTTAAATGACAGGCGCATTAATTTTCAAGCAAAATAATTCCCGAATGGTCGAAGATTTCTAATATTGTTTTATTCTTTATAGATATACATGCTTATAGTAAGCTCCATGATTATTTTCATCTGTGTAGCGTCGTTACAAACCCTAATATAGAATAATATAGTTTTCTTCAGGCTATTAACAAATAACTGCACCGTGGCCGAGGGGTTTGCGCGTTCGCTTAGGAAGCGAGAGGTCTTGAGTTCGAATCCCAGTTAAGGCAACTCATTTTTTTTTTCAAATTGTTTAAGTCTAATAAACATTGGATTGAATATCAGTGTTTAAATTACATGTAGTCTAATAGCCAATTTACTCCAGTTAAAACGCTTGAAAGCATTGGTGGCACTTTACAAAAACAAATTGTTTTATAATCTCACAACCTTCACCTTTCTGACATTCTGAGACCCAAACAAATTCAGCGCCTTCTGTGCTTTGATTACTTTCATGTTATGATATTTTAACTGTAACTAAATACATGTATAAAAATAGGGGGAAACCCCAACTATTCTTTCCAGGAATTAAAGTCTAAATGTTTTGTCAGGTGTACAATACATGGCCATTAAGGCACACTTGATTTAAAAGAAATAATTTTCAAGTGATATAGAAGATAATAATGTCTCAGTTTGATATTTCAGAACTTCAGGAGTACATATCTCGAGTTTTATTGGGGACATTTCATCAACAAACTTGTCCTGTAGCACTTTGTACTCTTCTGGCTAAATACAGAGACAGTTTGTTTCTGCCTGGCTTGTTAGACTATATTCTCACCTGGATAAAGGTAATCTTACTGTCATATGTCCAGGAACTTTTACCCTTAACATACAGATTTTGTATTATGGATTTGAACAGCTTTGAATTGGGAACAGTCTTTTCCAAGTTTATGGGATTTCACTATCAAGATACAAAAATTGTGCAGTATATTGTCATTTTAGTGCCGTAATAGGTTAACTCCTATTACATTTTATAATGAGTTCACCATTTACTGCACTAAGATGACAATTTAGCCTTCAAAATAAACAGTATAGGGTCTTGTTAGACTGCAAGGATGTGCAGGCTGGCCGGGCTCTATACTGGTGACAAAGGCCTTGCTTTCAATTTCAACAGGTTAAGGGTTTACATGGAATGATGAATTAAATTTTACAATAACCATAGATAAACCTTTTCACTTTACAAGTTGTGCATTACATAGTTTATGCAGCAAAAGTAGAAACAGTTTTATGTGTAATATTTAAATGAGGTTGTGTGAATGTCAAAATGTATTTCATGGAGAGAATGTAGAATGTAATTATTTTAAATTTAATCAAACATATTTTCTACTTATTGCTCTTTATATGGCTTTTATTCACTTTTATTAGATTTCTTCCTATGAATTGTCATGCGGTTTCTTTATATCAGTGGTCATGTTCATGTACCGTTATAACAACAATTTGGAATATTTTTACTAAAACAAATTATTTATTATGATATTTTTATGCCTATTCAAATGCATTATAAAACTGTAATATTTTAGTTGTATGAATATTATGTAATAAAGTGAGATATTTCATTTCTAGGGTGATGAGAAAACAACAGACATTTTACCGACCAAGTCGATGTATCAGAACTTCTTGTCCAAAAATCCAGATTTCCTCACAGGCGAGTCCAGCCCAATGTTTACAATACAGCAAGACTTATTACATCTTACATATATCATTAAACATTCTCAAAAGGTACTTGTTTTTTTTTGTATGGCTATTAGTTGTTATAAAATATATCATGCGAGATATATGTCATATCACACTGTTTGAAAGTGTTTAACTTTGAAGTGTACAGAATATAGAATGCTAAACAGATAAGGCTATACATAACATCACAGTTACATAATACTTTTATGTGTCACCATTTTGGTAAAGATTCTGATTAGTTTTAATTCAATTAATGAAATAATTGAAGTTATTGAGGTTTTGCTTTGTAACATGGAAAACTTTTTTATGACATTCACATCCATTTAAATGCATTAAACTACATTATATAGACAGAGTTATGCTGATTTTTGGAACTTAGAATTTTGGTTCCATAGTTTTGTGCCACCTCACTAATTAGCCTGACTGTTTAAAGATTAGGGAGAGCTGCTGTACTTCCGTCTGTATCAGCGTCACACTTCGGTGAAGTTTTTGTGTGCAAGTTGGTATCTCCAAAACTACTGAAAGGAATTAGTTGAAACATCACACACTTTTTTGAGAGCATATAAAGGCCCATAACTCTAACACAGATTTGGGAGACTTATGACCAATTTTGCACTTAGATAATTCTACAGTATCCAGTCTATTATTTAACTATCAAGCACTGAGAATAGTTGAGCACCCTGTCCTCTCGGCAGCTCTTGTTTGGAAAAACAGCTGTTTTTATCTCACAATCAAGTTCTGTAAATGGTTCAGCACCCAATCTGGCTGTCTCTTATTGATATTGAAAACTGATAAAATTGTAAAATACAGTTTGAAATTAAAGTCAAGGCTAGTCCATTATTTAAATAAAGCAGTTGAAATGAAATACATAACCACCAGTTTACTTATATCATTACAGCTAGTTAGTAAAAGATACATGAAGGAGATGAAACACTTAAAGAAATCCATTATCTCGAATATTCAGCAGTTGTTCAAGACAGAAAACGAGGAACCTCGAGTAAATGATGTTAATGATGAACTTATGCTTGAATCAGCAGACAACAGGAACACTAGTGTGCTATATTTAGCTGTCAGAACGGTTCTAGAAAGTTCAGTCTGTAAACAATTTTTTCTTTGTGAAGAATCTGAGAATCAGTCTACAAAAATTGGAAAACTAATGACAGATATGGTTACAGAGGTTGTGCAGTTGAGTAATGATAACAAGATAAAACTGGAGGATTGTGTTAACTTCTATCATGAGGCAATATTGTCTACATTGCAGACGTCTCAATTTAATAGCAGCAGATATTTAAGTGTGTTGCCTATGTTTGTATCGACTTTCACTGCCCTTCAATGTAAACAGGTTCTACAACTTGTATTGAACGGTGCAGTACTCCAAAATGAGGCCGATAATGGAATGTTGCTGAAAGTTTTAGAAAACATATTACCTTCACTTGCAGGGTCACATGTTAAAAGTGTCAAACTAACAGAAAATGGTGTCTATACCTTAGTTAACTGTTTAGTTACTGAGGGACAGTCATCGGACATTCTGTTAAAGTTTTTCAAGAAATTTCCAATGTTGTCTGCTCAGTGTTCAGAGAGGACTGTGGATAAAATATTTGAGATGACCGAGCGTGCTGAATTGTTTGTATTTTTGTTAGCAAATAATGAAAATTTGAAGGTGAAAGTGGCGGAGATAATTCAATCTGCAGATCAAGACTGGACCAAAGCTGATAATATCAAAATTCTTATAAAGTTTATCCAACTGGAGACTGGAAAAAATGGTGAGATTTAATTACATTTATCACATTCATGTAAAAGAGTTATACAACAAATATTAAGGCACATGTAAAATATACTGGAATTTTTTAATCTCCAACAAACTAGTATGGAACATTATTATTGGTGATTTTTGTTCAGATAAATTATGTAACATGATGTCAACATGTATATTGAACAATACAATCTCATTTTGAGATATTTTCCTACACTTCTAATGACCAATCACAGTGTCAGGTATAAAAGGCAATTTTATATCACCTACAGAATAAGCATATGGTTAGCTCAGTAAGTAGAGTGTTATACTGTGAATAGGGGGATTTGGGTTCGATTCCCAGACGGTGCAGGTCAATTTCTTTGTGATTTATCATGACATCCTTTCTACGGTCATTCACACTGTACCTCTGATCTGGCATGTACAGAAGTTATCAGTTCCTTGCAACTTATACTGGTATACCGCTTTGACAACCTGCCCAGGAATGATGCTGGGTTGAACTGTGCTATTGTAAATTCATTGTGGCTTACTGCTGTGATCCGCAGTGAAAACTACCAACTCCACAACCAACTACAAAGTATGTTTTGAAAACAGATTTAATGACTTTAGTTTAAATATGCTCAAATATATATTCCATTTTCTACCACTCTCAAGGGCCAACTATCAGACCTTTTGTTCACAATGGGTATTTTTTTCCCAGTTACTGAAACAAATTCCCAAAATTAAACATGCTGCAGATCTGTGTTACAAAGAACTTTTTCCTTTTACAGTTAATGCAACAAAGGTAGTAACAAAGAAAGCAGTGAAATCGTTATGGTCCCAATTAGTGTCCATATGTGGAGATGAATCTGTTGATAATCTCAGTGAATTAAAACAACTGGCAGAATTGTTGATCACAAAGGATATAAATGGTAAGTGCTTTCTGTTTTTTGGAAGGAGATAATTATCATGTCCTATGTTGTTTCCAATTGTAAAGGCCCAACAACTACAAATCCTTGCATCTGCATTACAGTATTGATCATTGCCTGTTTAGTAAATCAGAACAATGTATTATGGGAAAATAATACTGTACTCGTTATAATGTTTCAAACATATAGAAATCCTTTATAAACTACCAGGAGCAGTTATTTTCCCTGCTCAGTTAAGTAGTATGACATAGTAACATTTAAGTGTCAAGCCAGATTGAAAGCAAGTCTTTTTCATTACATAAATGCAGCTGAGTTACTGGTACTGACAAGTTTTGTTTTTGTTTCAGGAGAAAAGTTGTCACATGAGATGAAAAAGAGACTAGCAATTACATTAGAGGAGAATGTGGGGAGTGTCAAACAACATCATATAGATCTTCTACATATGCTACACAAACCCAATGATATCCAGGCTGTTCTATATATGTCTGGGAAATGCCTTATATCTATGTATGAAAGTGAAGGTATTGAAGCAGGAATTCAGGACAGTCTCGTCAAAATATTGGCGGAATACCCTATGGTATGCCAGAGTTTTCTGTTTCCATTTGTATTTTAAGGCTATTTTTGGTTGTTCAACTTTGTAAAACAAGTTTTTATGTTATTGTTTCACATTGTTTGAACTTTTTAAATAGAGTCATTTAGAATGACTTCACATAATTATCTAGTTCAGGGTAATTTAATCCATAATTAATTAAGGGAAGGATACTAATTCTGTAAATTAATTTTTTTGTTTTGATTTAGTGTAGTTTAATTATTCACAGACATAGGTCAGATTTAAAAATGTGTGTATTTATATGATTTTTGTTTAATTTATAGACAGATCTTGATGCACTTACAGCACAGTCAGAGTTTTGGCTGAAACTTGTTGAAAATACAATCAAGTGAGTGGATTAAAATATTTATTATATACTTATAAATAAAATACTGAGAAATATTGATGAAATAACGTATTTTCATTTTCTGTATTTTCACTGTAAAAAAAAATATTTTTCACTGCAGTGAAATATTTTCCATATTTTAACTGGTGTTTTGCCAGACTACTTTCTGCTAATTTAGCCAACATACAAAATTTAAGGGAAGGTCTTTTAAATTGTGATGCCATTCATGAAATATATATTTTCATACCACTCAATGAAAATTAAATTTTGTATTAATAGGAAAATCTTGAATATCCTCTATTTATTGATATAATACCATCAAAATTGTGTTTTTAAATCCTGTCATGGACTTAAGAATATTTTATATGTGGAACTGTCCAGCTAGGTTACAGATGGTTTCCTGGTTCTACTTATTACCTTGTCTGTTCTGAAGAAAAAGTCTCGGAGTCTTATTGTACTATTCAAACAGTTTTTATAAGCAAATAAGTAATATAGAAAAATGTATTTTATCTTACAGATATTCCTACGCTAATGTTAATTCATTGAAGTTTGTCACAAGATTTGTACAGCTTGTACAGACAGGAGATGCTGCTGTAAATAAAGTTGAAGATATCGCTTCTTTGGTTACTAAGCATCCATTATTTCTACCCATCATGTTTGGAGAACATGGCCAAGATTGTAAAGGTAGGTTGCTACAATATACATGTTTATATATATTTATCTGTGTTGTAACATTTGAACATTTTCATACAGCAATACAAATGTACAACACGGGATAAGGAGTGGAGAAACAATAATTCATTTATACATACACAATGTACACTTGAAACTGAAATTGACATTTTACAGATGATACAACTATCACCTCATTTGGATCATCTATTGACTCAGTCTACAGATCACTACAAAACATCATTGACATCATCTACGACTGGTGTGCAAGAAACTCTATGCTACCAAATCCTCAAAAAACAAAAGCGATGATAATCTCCCCATCAAATATTATTTACAACACAATTAAATCAAGCAATGACTACATTTTGAAAATGCAGGAAAATGACATTCAATTTACTAACTCTGAAAAATTACTAGGAATTCACGTTGATCATAGATTATCATGGAACTGTCAAATTGAACATCTGATTAAAAAATGCAATTCATTACTGTATCTTCTACTTCGTATTAAACAATACCTAAACAAACAAATGAGAATAGTTTTTTATAATGCATACATATTGCCACACCTAGATTACTGCTGCACTATTTGGGGAAATTGTAATGATGAATTACTGAACAGCTTATACAAATTTCAGAAGAGAGCCACCCGTATTAAACTTGATGCAGACATTGATACACCCTCAGATATATTGTTTCATGAATTGAATTGGTTAAAAATACATGATCGCATACATTATAAAAAGTCAATTCTTGTTTACAAATCCCTTAACAATCTATTGCCACATTATATGTCTGATTTATTTTCGCATACAAATCACACAACTCTTAGATCACACACTCAACAGACACTACATATACCTAAACCTAGATTAGAGTTTTGCAGAAAAGCTCTTGCATACTCTGGGCCTAAAATCTGGAACAAATTACCATTACATATCAGGCAATCAAACAGTCTTGCACAATTCAAAAAAACATACTTAACATGGTGGTTCTCTGGTGGAAACCTCTGCTTAAATGCAATGTAAATATTTGTTTTTTTTTTTGTTTTTTTTATTTGTTTAAAGATATACTATGCTCATCTTTGCGTAAAATATTTTAATCAAAGAAATTTATTCAAACCTATGAAATTCTTACTGAATATGTCTAATTTAAATAAAAAATGACTAATAAACTATATTGGAAGTTACGTTCACTAAAACAGGACAATTTAAATTGGTCTTTTCTTAAAAAAACTGCCAGTTTTTTTAACGACACTATATATTTATACTGAGACGACCTATGTGTGTAGAGTTTTAAACATGACATATTAACTTTGTGTGAAGTCAAAACATCTTTATTATATATTTACAAAGAGACTGTGTAGCAATTGTCAATATTTTCTGATATCAAATTTGAGCATAGTATATCTTTAAATATGTTTGTTTTATATATATGTTAGTTTTCACTTTTGATAACATTTGTATACCGGTATATTATCTATTATCAACACATGTCTTTTGTTTGTTTAAGGTTGATCTCACATATTTCAATGTTGAATGTATAATAATGAAATCAACTGATGTAATTATTTAATCTCTGATTGATGTATTTTATTTTATAAATTGTTTTGTACATTGTTGAGGCTCACAGGGAAGACTTGGCTTGCCCAACTGTGTTGCCTCATTAAATAAAGTCGTTACTTACTTACTTACTTACTTATTTTGTTATTGTCGAAAGCATGTTGTTGTGACAGATTCTTTTTCTTTTGAATAATGTCAATTTCTAAATTCTAGTTGTAACAGATAATATGAATTGTTGAAGTGATTTCTTGTTATATGACATGATTTTGTATTTTCAGATTTGTTGGTCAGCCTGGTACTAATAGTGGCAGAATGTTGTCCTTCCTGTTGTCATGGAGATCATATTGAAGTATTTCTGGGAGCATACAGGGCTTCTCTTTCTATGACAGGTAGGTTTTTCAATCATTAGCTGATAACTTGAACCAATTGAACCGAAAGTAATTTGCCTTTGCCACCGGTATAGAGCTGGTCAGGTACACATTTGTGCAATCTGACCAGGCTCTATACTGTTGGTAGCTAAATTTTTTTGCAATTTTGATATTGAAATCTTTTAAATTTGGAATGAACAGTTTCAAATTCAAAGCTGAGCAAATTCATTACAGAAAATCAGCAGGTCAAGGATTAAGTAGCATTCTGTAACTAGTAAACTATCTGTGCACACTGTATGGAACAGTGTTATTAAAGATATATCCAATCTAGCAACAGATTACTAGTAAGCTATGTATGTACTTAATAGATAAATTTTATAGATATATCCTGTGTTAGATTTAATTCTAAGAATGTTAATGAAGTAAATGGACAAAGGCAAGTTATTATCAGCCCTAGCATTACAGCAGTTCAAGCAATTTTTACCATCTAAATGGTTATAGATAGGTTTATTTTATAATGTTAAATATTGTACCTACCTTTAAACAAACTCATTTTTTTTATAGACCAGACAATTCTGAAGTTGATGCAACTGTATGAGAAACGTGAGATCTCTTCAGATTCCAAGTACGTAAAATCAGATGACCTAATTTTATTATTAATATTAGTTGTATTTATTATATTATTTTGACCATGAAGTTATTTTATGCTAATGATGCCAGATTTCTGGTTATTTAACAGTAAAGCATATTATCCATTTGGCTGTATAAGTTACCATAACATTTATTGGGATTTTCTGTCTATATGCCTTAATTTATATTTTGTGTTATTTAAAGCCATTAATTTAAGGGTTTTTGTTTCAGGTCGTTTATGTGGGGAGAAAAGGCTGTAGAGCAACATATGTTAAGACAATCACTGGGACCGTCTTTGAAGCAAACTACCATGATGCAAGTGATGTCTAACATTGATGTAGATATGATGTCAAACTCTATACTATTATTCCCACTTAGGAGAAAATTACATGTTAGTATTCAACCTGATGTTAGATGATTTAAAGATATTATATTTGTTGACAGTTAACTCCCTTGATCGGTTATGGGGTAAATATCTTTTTCCCCAGTTCTCGGGCAAAAGTCTAAAATGAAACTTCTTAAATATCAAATTACAAAGTTCTAGCCTTTTTCAGGAATATTAGATATTAAAAATGAAATAGAAAGTTGTGGTGTAGACAGACTTTGATGCTCAAGAGTCAGAATACAAGAACCAATCATTCCAAAACAGTGATCTTATATTCTTCCCAGTTTCTAAGCAAACTGGTATATAAACAACCAATCTCAAAGGTCTGAGACATGTTCCCAAAACACTGAAAAACAACCCACCTTAGTTAGTGTTACTAGTATTGTACTAATTACTGCTATGTTTTCAGGATTTGGAGCCTCGTGTAGCGGAGGAGTACAAGTCTGACAGTAAATGTTACGATCCTTGTTTTATACTGCCATTATTGAGTCATCTCCTTCAACCAGGTAAGTCATGTCGTAATAAGCACATGTACAAGTTGATAATTTCAATTTTCTAAAATAGTTTCACTTGTAAGTTGTAGGAGGTATGTCCCTTGCTCAGTTTCGAATTTTCGTTAAGGTTGACCTCCACCCCCGAGTTGATATAAAAAATATTTGCTTATGATGCATACCAAAATAACTTTGTACATTGGTAACTATTAAGTTACCGAATAAAATATTTATAATTAATTTTTTTCTCTAAATATTTTCTCAAAATATATTGTTTTAATATCCAAGATATTATTTATCCTCTATTGTTTTGAATTGTGTAGCTATTTTCTGATTATTTCAGAGTCGGTGATTGATTGCAGAAGATTTATACATACTGGTTGCCTTGGTTACACAGTAGCTGCACTATCCAGTCATGATGAAAACATACGCACGTTGTCACAACATATTCTGGATAAATTTCAAGGTCATTTGGAAGCTGCGAAAGTGCCGGAGAAAGAGCAACTGATGTACATGTTGCAGGTCATTCAAAGCAGCGTACCAAAAACCAAGAATAAATTGTCATCTATAATAACTCAGTTTCTGGCAAGGGCAGTTAAACTGATGTTAAAACCAGGTTTATAATCTTCACCGTTTACTAACTCTTATCGTGCTCAATATCATAAATGGACTTGTCTATCAATACATACAAAACGGCTCACAATTTTTTGGGATAATTTCATAACGGGTACTGGCAGAATTGCAAAAAGTCTAGACCATGATCAAATAGGAAATGTGACAGGAAATCATGGTTTGCACCGGTGGCTTAGGTAGATTCAGTTGCCACTAGCAAAATAAGAGTTAATTTGGAATATACAGGGCATCATTGAAACCTCACCAGTATTTTGTGTTGTTTTATATGATAAGGGTTATGTTTATATCAATTACAGGTAGTGTTAAAGTAGATAATGTGTGAAAGTTAATGATAGGATGTGTTTACTTTTTTACTTAAGTTAAACATACTCTGTTGTAATATTTTTGTAACACGACATTTGATGTTCCTTAACCCTTTCACTGCCATAGGGACGGCTTATGCCGTCCCTGTTATTTTCGGCGTATTTGCCATATGGACGGCTTTAGCCGTTTCTATAATAATAATGATAATAATAATAAATTAATAATAATAATAATAAAAATAATAAAAAATATAAAGAAAATTATACCATCGACAATAATTATCATTATACTAACAGATTTGGAAACATATATAATTATTATAATACTAATAACAAATAATTATAATTATATTAATTAATAATATAGTAATTTCTTAGAAAAAACTGGCAAATAGGTGATCAATAAAACAATAACCCTCTGGCAGCGAAAGGGTTAATATAATGCTCGTGTTTTTATCGCAATTCAACAGATCAAAAGCTGTGCAACCAATATAGTCAAGTTAGCCTGCACATCCTTGCACAATGACCAGACTTCACTACTGTTTGTTACTCAGTTAAGTTTGATTTTGAAAATGAGTAAAATTAATTGCAGATAATTCCAAGATCTAAAAATATAGGATAAGCTGATAATATCAATTCTGTAAATTTAGGCATAAAATACTTATTTTTTCAGATGATCACATGTACTCGATCATAAATCAGTTTTTACTGCTGAAACCAAAGCTAGACATTGGCAATATTCCGGAATTCTTCAAGCTTTTCAACAGCTCTGCAATGCAGGTATGTTACATTTTCAGAAGGGAATGCTCAGTGTAGGCTATTGTTGATGTTATTGAATAATATGGTGTCCTTCATTCTTTTGTCAAGTTTCTGTTATGGCAAATTTTTCAGATATTTCTTCCTCAATAAATTTCAAAATTTGCTGAATTTCATCATAGTGCGGACCTGAATAGTAATTTTGAATGTAAGTTCTATCTCAATTTCCCACTTGAAACATCACTCATGATTTTGAAGTCATAATTGTCGGTCTCTAATCAAGACCCATAACTTATAACTGGTAATTGTCATTGTGCGATTAAATTATAACCAATTACATGTATTGTGAAAATGGTTCAATGTTGCTTTATCTCATAGCCACTAATTGCACTTAATTGATGCTTCACATACAAAAATAAATGAATTATGGGCTATTGATGTGATTCACTGACATTTAGTAAATTTAATAATATGTTTTTTATATGGTTTACAGTATCAAGTAGAGAGAAGTTGGATGTTATCATTAATGAAGGACGGACTACGCGAGTCGGCAGACTACTGGATATTTGAGAAGAGGTTCACATTCAAACTCCTGCAGAGTTTCTATGATTCTAATTTGGCAGATTTAAAATCACAGGTATACCATCTTTTCTGTTATTTTGATTGTCATGAAATTTTGATATTTTGGATGCTAGAGTGAAAATATTGAGGTCAATCACAATGCGTACACATGTATATTGGTCAACACTTTTGACATCATTAACCAAGTTGTAAAAGGGAAGTTGTGGCCTTGACTGCCTCTCAACCTAGGGATGATAGGTTTGAGCCCTGCTCGAGTCACAACCATGTTTCCGCATAAGACACCAATAATGGTTAGTCAACTAGTTCATAAAAGCTGCAAGCTTTCTTCACAATCCAAGATAATTTTTTTTTTTAACAGAGTTGTACTCTTAAAACTCATCAAGCTTGTTAGAAATAATCCTGGAGTGACCATTTACAAACTTTATCATATCAATTTAACCAAATATCTTTTTGTCTATAGCTTCAGGTGATGAAAATTGTGATGGCTGCCTGCCAGGAAAGAAGACTGGCTGTTGATCTGTGCCAAAACCATGGGCTACTTGCCTGGATTGCTGCAGCTGCTCAGAAAGTGTGAGTACATAATGAATTAGTTTAAAATATTGTTGAATTTGATTTTAAATTTTATTTGTATTACATAACATTGCTTGGTTCTAATGTAATATAACCATTTCATATTTCTTTGTATTACTGACATTATTTTAAAAATGTCTGATCAATGGTGATTTTGATTGTAATGTTTCCTGTCTTTATGATATCACTTATATTTATTTTAAATTCTGAAAAATCTAGATTTAACATGTTCCAGAAATGTTATAAAAATCGCCACAGACTTGCCTTCTAGCACAAGACTTATTTTGATTGTGTACATGAAATGACTGCTCATTTAAGTTCCTTTATTTATTTATACAAACCATTTTGTTCCAGCTCATCAGAGAAGGTAGATTTATGCACGAGTATATGTAATTTACTACATCAAGTTTGGACAACAGTTATAGCGGAGTCACGAGAAGAGGTTCAATCCATGCAGTTATCTTTCTCAACACAAATGTTAGCATGTCTGAAGACACTACTTCCTCACATGTGGTAAGTGGAGATGTTTTAGTATAGGGACTCCACTGAGTTTTCTTGACATTACTGGACTGGAATTATTTAAGTTTTGAGTTTTTCTTTTACTGTTTGATGTCAGTCTGAACCAATAAATTATGTGTAAATTTAAGCTCATTCACTCCCTTGTTTGCATAGAACTGAAGGACTCAACCACAATGAGCACATGCTTTCCCCTTGTTCTATAATATGTTAAATATATTAAGTTTGTGTTTAAGAATAATAGTCTTGTATTGACTTGATCTTTGCATGTTAATTTGTTCTTTTTAAACAGGGACACATTCTTTTTCAGTAACCTACAAGGAAAAACAAAGTTACAGTTTGGTAGGAATCTGTCATCAGTACTGCACTATCTAAGTTCAGTAGAAAAGAACATGCGGGGTCACGTCTCACTCACACTAACACTGACGGAACTTTTGATGTTCATTCTGCATAATCAGAGTCACGGGGCAGCATCTAGTAATTTGACTAACTTGATAAAAACTTATGTACATGGGAGTGTTCTTGGCCTTGGAAAAGAAGAAAGTATTAAAGCTAAAACAAGTCATTTCCACAGTGCACACGATGACAATATGAGTAAATCTGTTGGTGCCGAGGAGACAGACTGTGACACTGATGTAGGTGCTTGTATGATAAAAGAAATTACCAAGATATTGGAGCAATTGAAACGTCACACAGATGGGAGGACAGAAAGTTACGTAGGAGAAATCTTGATCGTTAAATGGATTATAGATCAGATAGGTACAGTGATGAATATTCCTGTTGTATGTAGTATGGTGAAACAGTTACATGTAATGTTAATGACGGAGGAGGATAATCAGAATGTGATACTTCATTACATAGCTTGTACAAACAGTACAACTTGTAATGAACTTGTTGTTGACATTGTTAACTTGTATAGTGATATTAGTCAGTTGTACTCGAGTTCAACATCGAAAGATATCCAGTTGTTTCAAGATGATTTTCGCAACATGGCAGAATTGTTAAATGATATAATGACTGGAATATACAGACACAAATTTGGTTTGTCTCGCAAGAAAATGGAGAAAGCATTGGATAAACAACAGAAAAATTTGAAAGGTATGATTATACATTATTTGAGTTGACTTTGTACGTTGATCTTAGCTGGCATGAGTTAAGTGTGGAACTGCCAACATATGAGAAAAAAGGCATTATTCATGATTCTCAACTTTTTAGGCATTTTGTGGCTTTATATTAAGAAAAGCCATTTATACATTATATCATTATAATGTGTGCTATACAACTCGCCATAGGCTTGTTTTATAACACTTTCCTTCAGTGCAGTGGGTCCAAATCCTGCAAGGGTCTTTGGATTCTTTTATGTAAGGAAGCTATTTAGCTAGCTCACAGAAGTTGGTTGGTTCTACGCAGATGAGGCTTACCTCACCATTTTAAAAGTATCTGTGTAACTACACTGGACCATAAAGTTCAGTTGACAAATGACCAAAGATTATAATTTACTTCATTATGTCTCTATTTATTTAGGTTCAGATGATGATAACAGACAACTTGTGAAATGTGTGGCATTAAGACAGATGTTTGTAGACAAATTGTGAATACAGAATTTCACAGAAATGCCTTACTTCCAAAACAACACAAGATTATCAAAGTAACAACAACCAAACAAAATAACTGGTGTACATGCTTTATTATTAAAGAGCTAGGTTCAAACTCAACTGAAACTTGTTCTTACACTAATGATCAATTTCAGTTGTCAAAGTTCATTTAACAATTTAAGTAAATAGTCATATATTGATTCACCATTCTCATCATTTCCCAGCCTTCTGCCATTCTCAGGACATGGAATACAATAACTGGATATATTATACACTGACTGGATATATTATTTCTGTTTTTAAACTGTGCTACAAAAATAATATGTAAATAAGTAAAAAGTAGTTGCTCGGAATTGTTGAATTATTTTATTGTATCATGTTAAAGACAATTTATATGATGAAAATTAAAGATATAAATATTAAATGTACATTATTTGTTGACTTGTGTTTTTCGCAAATGGAAAGTATTAATGATATACCCATTCATGGTTATAAATATATGTCAGGGGTGTTAACATAAAAAATTGTTTTCAATCAAATCAAAGTGTTCATCAAAGTCACATGGTAAAACACTAGATGAGTTATTGTTTCAGAGATAATTCTGGGTTATCTGTGATACATTCTGAATAACTGATGTACCACTGAGGTCATCTTGGATTGTGTGCTGCACTCTTCCTCAATGAAATCTATTCACCTATGAAATTTCAAGTTGTTTCCTCTAACACTTTGAGATAAGCTCCGGACAAAAAAGTATGAAAAATAACAAAGGCCAACAACTCAAAAATTACAAAGGGTAGAATTATCATTCTTGTGCACAGCATTCCTTCTCAATAAGATCTATCCACCTATGAAGTTTCATGTTGACATCTCAAAGACTTGAGTTATGCTCCACTCAGGTAAAAACTTAAGTATGAAAAATAACAAAGGGCTTTTTGAGTTATGCTCTGGACAAAAATTAAGTTTGAAAAATAACAAAGGGCAATAACTGAGAAACTAAGCAAGGTTGAGTAATCATTCTTGTGCACTGCACTCCTCCTCAATATGATCTATCCACCTATGAAGTTTCAAGTTGATACCTCATACTTTTTGAGATATGCTCTGGACAAAAATGTCTGAAGGACAGAAGGATGGAGACTATTTCTATATCCCCCGCCGCCTTTCGGCGGGGGATAATAATAGGATGTAAGTTGTTAAGTCTACTACTGTTCTGATCTTTTCATTTGCTCAAAACATTCAATAATATTCATTTGGGTTTTAATTCGCACCAACACAGTATGTCATATGGCGATTTTCCAGCTTTACTGGTGGAGGAAGACCTCGAGTGGCCTTCTATGCATTACTTCAGTCACAAACTAGCATGTATGAGTACCACTGACGTTCCCAATGTAAGCTTGGTAGTTTTCTTGCATGAAAGAATCTGAAGATACTGGGCGGCTTGAACCTTCGGTGGTGAGAGGCAAGTGTTTAAAGCCAATGTCCATAACCATTAGCTATTACTATTATTAGTTCAGTATAGCTGTAAGTTACCAATAAGAACTTTAAAACAATGCAATTACCATCAGTTATCATTTTATTATCATTTTTTTTTCTACTTTTACCTGTGCAGGTAAAAGATTATCATGAACCCCTATGTAATAACAATTTAAGTTTTCCAACACGCACAGCATCCAAATTTAAAACAATACTTTCTCAACCAATATCAGATCTTGTATTGTAACACTGTTCAAGTATTTTGCATTTTTGGTTTATGATTCAAGTGTCACTAGTTTTCAGTTTCTGGATCTCTTGAACACCTGTCTCTCCTAATTGCTTCAGCACCTGACAATACTGGCCTCTGAAAACAGAATGACAACTTTCTGTCTGTAAAGAAAGGTTAGTCAATCTATAATAGTTTAATGCAAAGAAAAAGTGGGTTTTGACTCTTGCATGATGCATTGGAAAGTTTATATTGGACTTTTCCTGCCTTTGAGCAGGAACTTTTATTAATAAAGGGTTGTTTGTTATCAAACTGTTCAGTTTAAACAACTAACCTGATAGGCCTTACTTTCTTACAGTCTGAGCAGACTGACTATACTGGTGACATAGACAATTTATTTCGACTGTTAAGCATATTAAAGGATATATTTGCTATAATTACATAAACACATAATAAAATCACATGAGAGCCTGATTATATATATTCAATACTCATATTCTGTCACATAAACTGCTTGTATTACATGAACCAATATTCTCTGACAGATACAGGAATCTGTATTGCATACAATTGTAATATGGTAAGATTTTACTGGTACCTATTTTTTAAAACAAATTGATGTGAGACTTGTATTTTTGCTATGTCATATAACATTGCACTTGCATCTCAATCGGCCAAGGCCTAGTGAAACACACTATTAACAAAATAGATTATGATAATTATAATTTATCCTTTGTCTGATAATTCAAAATAAAACATGCTCATTGTAAGATCATCAAGCCTACCGTAACTTCTGGTCTGTACCAAATCCCCTCAGCTTTTCTATGTTTCTCACGGATTCAGACAATTTTGGTATCACCGTGACAACAGCATCTTGTAGCAACAATGCCATTTTCTCCATCAGTTTCAAAACACCAGTACTGCTGAACTTAAAGTAACTACTGATGAATTGTTCCATCACAACTGTAAGCTCACATCTGGATATAGAACAAATTATGATATGAAGTAAAGTTGTTCACCCATAAAAAACGCAACAGGGCTTGCTTTTTTGTCCAAAAGCAGATTGCTGTATCTATAATTCTATACAAAATGTATGCAATAACAGCCAGTCATGTAAATATATCAAAAACTGGAAGGATGTTTCCGAAATTGTATTCATTATGGTTTCATTTAACCATTTTCTAAACATGTCAATTTTTTTTACGGATCACCCACTGAGTAACTGAGATTCCAATATCAAAACACACCATTGCCCCTCACTGCTGTGGGTTCGAATCCAGACAGGGACTTTGGATTCTTTCATGTGAGGAAGCTATCCAGCTAGCTTACGAAACGTCAGTGGTTCTACTCAGGTGCCCGTTTATGCCTGAAATAATGCAAGGAAGGGCACCTGAGGTCTTCCTCCACCAGGAAATGACCTATACTGTGTCGGTGTGACGTAAAACCCAAACAAATATCAAAACACTCCACTGTTGACAACGTAGAACTTGGTCATACTTAACATGCTGGTAAATGAAGGCCTGCTAGGCTCAACAGTTGGCACATATAGGCCTGTTAGTATAGCTGCTGGCATTCAAATAGTTGAATCAACTAAATATTTCTTTAAATGGAGTAAAAACACGTTATGCTTTTTTTTTCTAGTTAAAAACAGAAACAGCTTTCTGAAGTAATATAAAATTTCATTTTACTACTTAGCTCAAAGACTACCCTACTTAAAACTTTCAATACATGAAAAGGTTGACTTACAGTTGCACACATTGTTTTTGACAGTAGAAAGCTTCTGTCAGGTGTTGGAGAATGGCTAACACGAGGTTCCATGTTGATGAGGTATTTGGTAATAAAAGCATATACTCCAGACATACAGGTAACATCATAGGTAGTTCTCTGTAAACATCAATATAGCGATTGTCTTGATTAAATATTCACATTGAACAACATTACTATCGGGTCATTTTTAACTGCAGGCTTCATTATTCTCTTCTAAATTTATCTAATAGATTTGCCCTGTTTTGATATAGGACTGACAATTGTAAAGCAATTATCAGATATCTCAAATACCAAAACACCATGATGCAGCAAACAATTTACAAGTCCAGTCGGACAGATATGAATACTAAATCTTCAGACTAATTAATATCTTAATATTTAGTAAAATTATAAGTCTTAAGTCGTGCCTTAATATCAGTTAAAATTCATTCATCTTCAAGGACTTGTCTACAATGTAACATGTATATAATAAACTTTTACTTGCTAGCCAGTTAATATAATTACATGTACCTTGCTTTAACCTCTGAACTTGCAGTCCTTTGAACTATCTCTTTTATAAAGCTGAATCCCTGAAATATACATAAAACAAGCACAATGTAGTTCACTATTTAAGGTTGTTTTTCGGACGAGTTGCATAAATAAATTAGTAGTATTAACAAGACTACCATGTATCACAGTTTACTACATAATTTCCCCAATTGATTCCATATTAACATTTGATCAGATTTCACCAACAAAATTTCTGTTTGATTTCCCTATATCTATACTAAGAACTATAAGGGTAATGGTGGCCTAGTGGTTAAATTGCCTTCCTCTCAACCCCTTCTTATGTTGGTGCCAGGTGTTGGTAGTTTTCACTCCAGATTATGGCAGTAAGCCACATTGAATTTACCAGAGCACAGTACACAGTACAGCCACGGCATTGTTCCTGGCCATGCTTTCAAGCAGTTTACCAGTAATAGTTGCCTTCACTTTTACAAGGAACTGATAAATTCTGTACATGTCAGAGCAAAGTGTCAGTATGAATTTAAGTGTTGTCAGTAGAAAAGATTTCATGATTCATCACAACCAAAGTGACCTGCACTGTCCAGGAATCAGGCCCAGATTGATAGATTCACAGGTCAACACTCTGCCTATTGAACTTACCAAACAGCTCCCCTTCTGGGGTCATGATCATGTTTCTACATAGGAACCCAGCACTGATCAGTTCCAGGAAGCAGACATAAGAATGGTTCAAGTCAAGCACTGAAGTAACTTACATATTTATGGTAATACATGTATAAATTAATCCAAGGATAAATTTAACAATTTAATTTTACTTTCACATGAAGCCAAAATATAAAGAGGATATTTTTTCGTTTGAGTAAAATATGGAATATATTTTCACTCAACATGATAAAATGCCCCATTTTCACGAGCCGGTACAGCGAGTGAAAATAGGTGGCATTTTATCATGTTGAGTGAAAATATGTACCATATTTCACGAAAAACAAAAAAATAACCTTTTTATTTAATTTTATCATCAAAGAAAAATGGTTACAAACCCCCTTGCTTGCTACGCAACTGCAATTGTACAGCACACAGTAATATAATATAATTATTGCCTTGTTTTGCACGCGATATTTAGCGCCACATTGTGACGTCACATAAACAACTCTTTTAAAAGTCTGTACAGCATTACTATATTGGTGTTCGGATTTATTTGCTTAGTTAGACCATTTTCTATCATGCTTAATAGTTTTCAAAACAAAATTCAACAAAAAATTGTTTTGTATTTATCAGATTTTTTCAAATAAAATGGAGAAAGAAGTCCCTTAAAATAAATATGAGTTTTGACTCCGCCCACTTTCATATTTATATTTCATATTTATTTTTTTAAAAGATATGAAATATATTTGACTGATATAGCACCATATTTCATGGGTAAAATTAAATAAAGACATCCATTTAATCTTTGATTCTACAGTATATGCTCTTTAAGCTTACATCCAGTATCTCAATGGCAGTAGATGAACAACAATTTTAAAGGGAATATCTTAGGCAATATGTGATACACAGATCATGTTAATTTTACAACTGAACAATTTTCTGGATAATAGATTAAGTCACTCAATACCTAGACATTAGTAAATGAAGATCAAATTTACTCACCAAAATATGATTTGGATGAACTGTCATGTTCTTAACAGGTAACAGATTGTTGACAACTATCAGAATAATGTAGTGCCGAAACTTGACCGAGTCTTGTGGCGGGCTCTGAATGAAGGTCTCACTCAAGCTTACCTAAAGATAGATATTAACCTTAAGCCTGATGGAAAACCAAATTTAATGAGCCATTGATACCTGTATAGCCAGGCCAGTCTGCATTACAGAAATCTAAGATACGATCTTAAAAACAATTCTGTTAAGCTGCATCTAATTGTGTTTTTCTTTTTACAAAAAGTAAAACAGGAGGAGTTTATATACATGTTGAACATTAGGGTGATTTGTAATCTTATTAATCAATGATCTAGTGGTTACAGTCTACAAAGGCCTTCATCTTCCAGAAATCTTATACTAGTATATGTATATGATTTAAAACAATCCTATATCTGCAGTGTTTATGGTTTTTTATATGAAATGTTGATATATGATAGTGGGACTGACAAATGATTAATATAAAAGTTAGCCATTAACAATTAGCCATTTTTATTATTAAAGTAATATACATGTACTCACAACAAGAGGATGGGCTGCTGTCACACTGGCGGAACTTGAACTAGAACTCTAACAGAAAATAAATTATTTTTAGTGACAACATACATTCATACCTCTTGTAAATAAACTGTGCAATTACTGCCAATTTGCCGAATGTCTATGCAAATCAACCTTTTGTAAGTTGTAAAGTAAAGTTAAGAATAATTAACAATTTAATAAAAGCAAACTAGAACTGCCACTACCTTGGCGTGAATACCCCCGCATACCACTTTGTCAGAATCAACAGTGGCCATTTAGAGCTCAAGGACAACCTCCCTGCCAAATCTGAGGTTACTAAGCCAGTGCATTGCTAAGTTATGTATTCTACAAGCTTCAAATGTGAAAATGTCAAAATCAATACATTGCGGACAGGACATTCTTAAGCAATTGAGAAGAAAAGCTTCTTTTTGTCAAGGTCCCTGTGACCTTGACCTTTGACCCAGTGACCTCAAAGTCAATAGGGGTCACCTTATAGTCATGATCAACATCCATGCCAAGCATGAAGACTGTGGGTCAAAGGAATCTTAAGTTATAGGGCGGACAAGCTTTTTGAAGTCAAGGCCCCTGTGACCTTGACCTTTGACCTGGTGACCTCAAAATCACAAGGGGTCATCTACTTATCATGATCAACATCCATGCCAAATATGAAGACTGTGGGTCAAAGGCATCTAAAGTTATTGGGTAGACAAACTTTTTGAAGTCAAAGTCCCTGTGACCTTGACCTTTGACCTGGTGACCTCAAAATCAATAGGGGTCATCTACTAATCATGACTAACCTCCATGCCAAACATGAAGACTGTGGGTCAAAGGAATCTTAAGTTATAGGGCGGACAAGCTTTTTGAAGTCAAGGCCCCTGTGACCTTGACCTTTGACCTGGTGACCTCAAATTCATCAGGGGTCATCTACTTATCATGATCAACATCCCTGCCAAATATGAAGACTGTGGGTCAAAGGCACCTAAAGTTATTGGGTAGACAAACTTTTTGAAGTCAAAGTCCCTGTGACCTTGACCTTTGACCTGGTGACCTCAAAATCAATAGGGGTCATCTACTAATCATGACTAACCTCCATGCCAAACATGAAGACTGTGGGTCAAAGGAATCTTAAGTTATAGGGCGGACAAGCTTTTTGAAGTCAAGGCCCCTGTGACCTAGACCTTTGACCTGGTGACCTCAAATTCATCAGGGGTCATCTACTAATCATGACTAACCTCCATGCCAAATATGAAGACTGTGGGTCAAAGGAATCTAAAGTTATTTGGCGGACAAGCTTTTTGAAGTCAAGGACCCTGTGACCTTTGACCTGGTGACCTCAAAGTCAATTGGGGTCATCTACTAATCATGACTAACCTCAATGCCAAATATGAAGACTATGGGTCAAAGGAATCTTAAGTTATTGGGCGGACAAGCTTTTTGAAGTCAAGGCCCCTGTGACCTTGACCTTTGACCTGATGACCTCAAAATCAGTAGGGGTCATCTACTAATCATGACTAACCTCCATGCCAAATATGAAGACTATGGGTCATAGGAATCTTAAGTTATTGGGCGGACAAGCTTTTTGAAGTCAAGGCCCTTGTGACCTTGACCTTTGAACTGGTGACCTCAAAATCAATAGGGGTCATCTACTAATCATGACTAACCTCAATGCCAAATATGACAACTGTAGGTCAAAGGAATCTTAAGTTATTGGGCGGACAAGCTTTTTGATGTCAAGGCCCCTGTGACCTTGACCTTTAACCTGGTGACCTCAAAAATCAATAGGGGTCATCTACTAATCATAACTAACCTCCATGCCAAATATGAAGACTGTAGATCAAAGGAATCTTAAGTTATTTGGCGGACAACCTTTTTCGAAGTCAAGGCCCCTGTGACCTTGACCTGACCTTGACCTCAAAATCAATAGGGGTCATCTACTAATCATGACTAACCTCCATGCCAAATATGACGACTGTAGGTCAAAGGAATCTTAAGTTATTGGGCGGACAAGCTTTTTGAAGTCAAGGCCCCTGTGACCTTGACCTTTAACCTGGTGACCTCAAAATCAATAGGGGTCATCTACAAATCATGACTGACCTCCATGCCAAATATGAAGACTGTAGGTCAAAGGAATCTTAAGTAATTGGGCGGACAAGCTTTTTGAAGTCAAGGCCCCTGTGACCTTGACCTTTGACCTAGTGACCTCAAAATCAAAAGGGGTCATCTACTAATCATGACTAACCTCCATACCAAATATGAAGACTAAGGGTCAAAGATATCTTAAGTTATTGGGCGGACAAGAAAAAACCGATGGACGGCCGGACGGCCGTGGACAAGCTGATTCCAGTATACCCCCCTTACAACTTTGTTGTGCGGGGGTATAATAACTCTAATCTGTTAAATTTTAAAAGTGCATTTATTCAAACTCTCTTTGGCCAGCTCAAAATTCAACCAAAGATAACTCTTTTACGAAAATTCAAGTCAAAAGAGTAGGGACAAATAGAAACTTTTTTTTGCTTAAAAGATTAAACCATATTTTTTTTCAAAGAGATTGGATATATATGTGCAGGGTTCATGGAGCTACATTGTATGTCTTTGCCTCATACTTTTGATTTATAGTCTCACAATTTCAAATTACAATTGACATAATTTCAGTACTTTTTTTACGCAATGCAGACAGGAAACTTTTACTATATAACTAACATTGTCACATATCATGACTTGTAATATAAGTAATAGAAAGAGCACCGAAACACGAGGTTATCTGATTTGTACGAGGTGGCGTAGCCCCCGAGTATTAATCAGATTACCGAGTGTTTTGGTGTTCTTTCTCTTTTGTATCATAGTCAAACATAAAAACACGTTCCCTGTTGTTACAATATGAAACCCCGGCAAAAATGAACCAATGAACGAGCATCTAAATATGACATTTCTGTCGATTTCACTTTCACTGCCGTCACAATATGTAAACCCCAGCAAAAATGAGCCAATCAATGGGCATGCTCTGGAGTGCGGGTAACTAATACCCGCACTCCAGTTAACGCACTGTGCATGTATATGTATACGATTAAACCCTGACACATTTTCAACAGAAAGGTCTCCAAACTATGATACAATCATTATGTACTTTCTTTATATTGCAAACATTTAATACAAGACAGACCTGTCAAATGATGGTATTGCTGTTTTTATACTTCTAGTTTAAACAATCATGTATATGACAATTGATGTTATCTCATGTGGACTTGAACTAATGTCAGAAATGTTATAAAGCCTGGCTCAGGCTAAATCATAACACTTTGCTAAACTTGTTTTATATTCATCTACTTAGTATATGAAATGACAATTCTCGTAAGCTTCTAGATTTATATCTTCCATCACTGTGGAAAAGATGATAACAAAATATTCAATACGACTATAGTGATAACATAAGCATGTCTAAACACATGTACATGAAAAGTTTATTAAAGTAAACATACCAGTGAGAATTTAGGCAGATATAACATCACTATGTCTCTAAATCGTCTCTGTACATAAGGATCTTTCTCATAAGGCAATTTTCTAAGACCTTGGATAAACTGAAAAAATAAGATTCATATTTCAATACCCAAGTTTCATTTTGCCAACAGCTTTCATAAAAATGTGATATTAATTTCCTCTTTAATATTATGCTCCCCATCACCATGGAATAGCAGTTTCTATTAATTATCAAAGACAAAGTTCAGGCCATACCCTGCGAGGAAAGCAGATAGTAGAACCCCATCTATCACATCAAGCATTACAAGTTGGACACATCCATTGCTATTTTGGCGCCAAGATAAAACCACCACATTTCACCCAGCAGAGTGGAAACAAACAGAAGACATAAACAATCCACTGGTAAATTGAGATGACTATAAACAATTATATTAATATTATGTCCAGTGCTAAATTCACAATTGTTATTATCATATGACAGCAAATATTTCTACAGAGATAAGCCATGAATTATAGACTTACCAGATGTAGATGGTCTCTGATGACATTAAGGAAGACATTATTCAAGGGTACATCTGGGTTGAGTACACTATGTGGAACAATAAGACTGCTTATCAGGCTAGGAACAATCACATCTTGCTGTAAAAATATCCAGCAAATTATATTTTATATTTATATACAGCTTTTTTATTGTTTGATTCTAAATCACAGACACTTCAAAGTTCTTATGGCGACTTTCCAGCTCAACTGGTGCAGGATGCTCCTTTGAGCCTTGTTTTTGATGCCATAATGCAACGCAGTAGAACCATAGATCTCCAAACTAGCTAGATAGAAAATTAGTTTCAGGTGAGCTTATATAAGGAAAATCTACTAAGTGCGACTTATTGTCATTATTTTTCTATTTATGATTACATTTTTCTTTTCTTTTTAATTTCTCAATTTTTCTTTTGCCAGTATATATTTTTATCCGAGTTCATTATAATCTTTTTATAAGATATCTAAAAAGAATCCTTAAAAATGACAGAAGCATGTTGGCATTCAAAACACAAGTGCAGACACAAGAAATATATGACATGAACTTACCTGGACATATAAAAGTTTAGCACAATACTTTATAAGATAGCCAGTCATTCTGTATATGTTATTTACAACTTCAGCAGGTGACATGGTTCTCAATATAGGGGCTATAGATTTCTGTACATCAGTGAAATAAGGAATAATCTGTTTCTGAAACGCCATTTTCTCTTGCCAGTCCTGGAAATTAAGTAAAAGGTGATTAGGTTTTGCCAATAACACGATATTGGAAACTCTTCAATTTTGTGTGCTGATAATGAAAACCCTTAAAAATTGAATAGATTGTTTCAAATTTAAAGCTGGACAATCCACAATCTGACTTATGAAAAGATCAACTTATTTCTAACATAGATCTCAGAGTGAGAAACTCTAACCTTCCAGCCTATTTGGATTTTCCGGCAGAGATTTTTTAACCAATTAAAATCATCCATAACAAAAAAGCAAGACACATAGAGTCAAGCATGTCAATGATATTAAATTAGTCTAAGGAAAAACAATTATGTAGATATTCTGAATGATATTATTTGCAGCACATTCTATCACTATCAGAGTTTTTTCTATGTGAACAAAGAAGCCAGGAGTGTGCTTTATTTCAAAGCAGTGCACAAACCTTTCTGTATAAAAGATATTGATTTCTAGTCATTAATCTAAGAAGTAAAACTGTTGCAAATTCTGTTTGATTACATCTGTACAGGGACAGTGTTGGAAAAAGGAAAATATCATCCACATCAGCTAACACTGGTTTAAGTCAAATTCAATATTTAAATACAGAATCTCACAAATGAATCTGGTGATAAATAACCAAGTAAAGGACAAATCACTGACTTTAAAAATGACATAGTCATGTAAGCCTAATTTTATTAATTTTCCTTCAAACTTGTTATTTATTATTATTACCTGTGTTTTCATATGGGCTGTCTCGAGAGCTTTAAGAAACAGTACTGGTGCCTGATCTATGTCACCAATTATGTCCATTTCAGCCTGTCTAAGAATATCCTGTACAGATTTCAACTGCATCACAGGTCTACCAAGTACAAAAATTACACAATCATTTATAAATCAGTTCTGCTTTTGTCATCAAAAATTAAACTTTATAATAGTTAAAGAAATAATAGATGGTAGATGTCAAAAGAATTAGGATTGTCATCATAGAAGTCCTATTTAAGTTTCTGTCTCTGTAGTGAAAGAGCCACATACTTGCTAAATGTAACTAGCAAAAAATAGCTAGCATGCTATTTGTTTGTTTGATTATTTCAAGTTACACTGAAGTAAGACCTTAGGTGCTCCTTCATGCATTATTTCAGGCACAAGATGGAACTCGAGTAGAACCACCAACCTACCATTAACTAGCTGGGTAGTGTCCATACATGAAAGAATCCAAAGTCTCTGACAGGACTTGAACTCACAGCATTGAAGTGCAAACAATTTGAAGTGGATAACCTTTACCACTTGACCACAGAGACCCCTACCACAAAATTGCTAAATGTCATTGATAAAAGAACCATATACTTGTTAAATGTTAAAAGTAAAAGAGCCACATACTTGCTACATATCATTGGTAAAAGAAGCACATATCTTCCAGAACAACATATTACCTTGTGATTTCAGCCAGCATCTGTGAGCCTGCAGGAACGTACAGACAACATTTGAACCAAACACTCACTATCAACCTCTCATAGTTGTCTACATCTGACCGCAGTTTGTCCAGTACTTTATTACAGGACAACAAATGGCTGAGGAAGCGACAGCTTATACTGAAACAAGAACTGTCTGTGAACTACATGATCAACATCTCAATTGTCTGTGAACTACATGATCAACATCTCAATTGTCTGTGTGAACTATATGATAAATAACTTACACAACATGCTAATTTTCACATAAAAATTACCATAATAGTTGTTATCTTGAACTCGGCAAATGGGTTTTTTCCAATCTAAAGTCCACAATAACAAACTTTCACCATCATAGCTTCTTGGTGCTTCACTATTCACAATAGATAAGTCAACCTTTTGAACTTATTTTTAATGTTGTAACTGTAAAAGTTTGTTTATACTCCTGGATTAGTTGGGAAAACCAGAACTATTCTTTATTCCAAAGTAAATTAAGCAAATTCTCCAGAAATTTAACAAGTCTACAAATTATGTATCTTTCGGACATTTTAACATACAGGTAACCCCTTGTGTGTTTCTCCATATCATTTTATGTACAGTTGTTAGACATTTGATAAATCACAATAGAAAAGAACTACAATCACATTACCTGATTACTATTTGTTAATTTATTAAACAAAGCAGGACAATCAAAATGACAAGAAATGCCAACCTAATAATATCACTTACCTAACATTAACTTTATCTGAAGCTGCAAATGTTTGAAACACATCCAAGAATGTAATGCTTTTATCATCTGAAGGACTGGAAGAAAAATGTTTGGTTACATTACCACTTAAACAAAGTGCAAAAGAAGTATGTGATTTAAGCAGTGTAAAATTTATATGAGAATTCAGCAGTCAGAATGTACATTTGTATCATTATATGCATGTACTTATTTTATTCAATTAAACACACCCCTTCTTACACCATGTGACTAAACTAATACCTTTCAGTATTTCTACTATAATATTCCTGCATTTTTAAACCATACATCAAAATATACATTTTATTGTACAGAGCACTCACTTAGATACAATGTAGCATTATAATATACACATAATTTGTAATGTAATATACCTTGTCAATGAGAGAAGACAGAAAGAGGCAGCAATATCAGCCAGTATTGGAGGGGGTGTTAGTGTACTAGCATGCTCCAATATAAAACTGTACACATTCTGCCAGAGAGCACTACCAAACTCTGAAAATACAATCAATGTATTAATGTTTGTTTGTTTTTCCAGTTTTTATGCCAATTTTAACATACTTTTTGGTCATATCTCGGCAGTTGGTCCATCTAGCTGGCTTTCCTGAATAACTAACCAGTATTTACCTATTTCTCTGTAAGTGACCATGCAACTTCAAATGTACAAGATCAAGTGTCATGGAAAATTTGGCCTTGCCAGACGATCAAACCAATGACTCCTGAATTACAAATCTGATGCTCTCATTACTGAGCATAGTGGATAGATATCAATTAATGATATAATCTACATGTACTAGAAAACAAAGTACACAAACAAGAGAGCTGCTACTGCCCTTTTCAGTCCTTAAGTATATATAAAAATGGAGCTTATTTTTCTTTCTTTCTCATTAAAACATGAAAATGATTACTGCCCAAAAAAAATCTTAATAAGAAAACATTTGCACCACAAATCATCAGTTATCATTGTAACAACAATAAAGTATGTACCTGCATGCTGTAATGAGCACCTGACAGTTGGAAGAACATCTACTGTTGCTTGTTGTCTCACCTGTCTGATATATTAAAAGTATTATTAAATATCTTTACAATGAAAGTCATAAATGTCTCAAAGGCATTTAGAATAAATTTCTCCAGCTCAAAAACATTAAAACTCTTAAAACTTCTGGAATCAAAAAGAATTAGCTTTTGCCACCAGTATAGTGCAAAGCCAGCATACACATTCATACATTCTGACCAGGCTCTATACTGTTGGTAGCTTGATTCTTCGTATTTTTATATTGAAATCCCTTAATTATCAAATAAACAAATAAACTGCAAGACATATCCATTACACAAATTCAGCATGTTAAATATGTATAGACTACAAAAGGTAATAGCATTAGTACATTATTTTATGATTTTTTTTAGTAAACATAGAACTTACCTAAATTTATCAACAACAATATGTAAAGTTGCCAGAGTTGTCCTCAATTCATGTTCTGAACTCACAGACAGCAACTTGTGTATTGCAGGACCTGTTAAATTACATGGCACTTTAAAACGAAACAAAAACTGCATGATATTTAAAACCATCACAATAGAGAACAGTTTGGGTTGCAGTTAGGACTTCTGTGTGTATTTAATTTAGAACTTCTGTGTATATTCAATTAGGACTTCTGCATATAAACAATTACTATGTTCATGTATATACAATTAGAACTTCTGTGTACATTCAGTTAGAACTTCTGAGTATATTCAATTACTGGTGTATACTGTGTATATTCAATTTATATTTTTAAGTTTGTTTGCTTACAGTTGAAACTCAATTTAGTGAGTCACAAGTCCACCTTCCTTACTAAAGTTCTCTTTTGTACTAATATAAAGCCCTTTATAAAAGGATCATCACTAACAACATAAAAACAACAACAAAACATTGATCACTTCACAAGAAGGCCACTCCTACAATTGAACACTAGCATGGTATAAGACAGGTATCTTACAGATAAGTTTGTACTCCGATAGTTGTAGGGTTTCACTGTTTTCAACAATCTCTTGTAAACCTTCTAAATAAATCAGTATCATCTTCCATAGACTGTGCTTGATGTCAATTCCAGCACCACCAAAGTTGCTAAAACAAAAGTCAGTTTTATTCAACATGTTAAATTTTTTATTTTGCTGTCTGAAAATCAGTAGACTTGACTGGATCTTGATAGAAGCTATATCATACTAAATTGAAAGAATTATGTCTGTAAATTTAAAACAAGCTGGCGACGCATTCGCAAAATCACTGTTCAACCTACTAAAATAGTAACCAAGTATTTTGTTAGGGAATTTACTATTCCATTTTCATATTATTCATATACAATGTATGTTATATAATAAATGACAAATATTTTTACTGTCATATTTTCACTTTAAGAAATCTATGAGAACGCATGAATGCTGAGTTTTTAAAATGGATAAAAGTTTATTTATCCAGTAATTGTTTTAACGCATTTAAACATTAAACATTTTCTGGAAACTCGTATAAACCAAATATCAAATCATGAGAAGTGATACACCTTCACAACAGTTTAGATTATGATGGAAAGCTTCAGGATTAACATAAATTATGTGGGGAATTAAGCAAAACTGAAGACTTTCTCATGGTTATTTATCATGGTTTTATCATTTGTACAATGAAGATCTGACAACAAAGAAACCAGTCAACAATCAGAATATAAACCTACCTGACAACATTAGTGAATGCTGCTACAAGTCTGTCAGCCAAGAAACCAATGTCAATTTGTTTGTCAACATAAACAAGCATTAGTGTGAATGCACCACGCCACACCACTGACCTTCTCGCAAATGTGATGGAGTTGATATCCAGCATGTCGTAAAAGTCACAGAGTTTTGATGCCTGCAAAGAAAAACAGTAGCAAAACAGCAACAATTAATCTTTCTTGCTTACATATTCATCAACTGTCATACTTAATGCAATTTTTTTTATCCTTATGACAAGTACAGTTGGAATATTTAATAATATGATTATGTATACAAAGTTGCAAGCAAAATTTACAGGTACATGTTCCTATAACTTAAATGAGACAAATGTCAGACTATATGCCAACAAACAACTGGACAGCAACCTGTATAATGAATTCATTATCCTGTTTCTCTTCTTATGATAAATCTTGCAAAAAAAATGAAATGTTTACAACTCATTATGAAACTCAAATATTACAGTATTTGAATTTTGAAGCAATATTCAAGGAGTCATTATAATACTGAATAGTCATATATTTCAGTGACATTTCTGGAAGTTCACTCAATTTTATAGATACCTTTACTATATATCAGAACATTTTTCATATATAAGACGACTACTTTGTTGCAATATGAAAGTTACATACAACATCTTCAAGGTCTGCAGTCATTCCCAGGGTGATAAATAATGTAGAAAGATTGTATAATCCACCTTCCATTAAATCCTGGATACGTCGAGCATGAAACTTGGAGTATATCCTGCAAGTAAAACATACCATTTTTACTGAGCAAGTGAAAATCCTAGATAGAGAGTAATTGGTAGTCCATGAGTTAAGTACTAACCATTTCGACATTTGAAATGAATTTGCAATAGTTAATTTCTCTTTAAATGTCTTGAATTTATTGAAAAATGAATATTAATTGACATTTTATCATGTTATTGGACACTTATTATCTGCAATCCTCAATGCTTATTGTTCATTTGGTTGAATACAAATATAGATTTCAATAATAAATTTTTGTATCATTTTTTTTTCATTATTATCATATCAATTTTAAAACTGAGTTTACTTCCTGACATTTAGAGATTGATCAAGTAATTTAAGGAGAAAAGGATAGCCCAACCATTCTTCCAGCTAAAATGTCCTAATAATTTATTTTAATCTGGCATACATGTGACATCCCGGCGGGATTTAAAAAAATCCCGATATTTCAACACTGATCCCGATTCCCGATATTACAGCTTGAATTCCCAATATTTAAAAAAAAATCAACATAAAAAAAATCAAACACAGCACCTGTATCTAAAATGTAAACCGTGCCTCCGGGCATTGATTGTTATCTGTCCATATCCTAAATTATAGCGGATTAAATGTTGAGTCGCTAATTGACAGCAAGGTGACGTAATAAACAGTTCCAATACCCAAAGTTATTCTCACATGTTTAACTTATCACGTGTCGTGTGTCAGTCAATTGACCTCTTTTGTAATTTGGCAGTAGGTATTACACGCTACGTCATCAAAACTACCCTGTAAATTTACATGTATGAATTCGGCTCAACCTTTGATTTTCTTTGATTAGTGCCGCACTGATAAAGATAAAAGGGGAGCAGAATCATTTAAAGTGGATCATTCAAAACCTGTTTGAGATGTCTAATTAACCTATTTTTAGTGAGTGGGTAATTTTTTGTTTTGTTTAGGAATTACGCAATCATCGAGGCAAAAATGTGGATTTAATTAACAGAACGATTCTTGCATTTATTTTGAGTCTTTTACTTATGTTACGTTATTTAACTGTCATAGTCTTATGTTTATGAATAGTTGTTGCACGTTTTCAAATAGCTTGTGTTTAATTATTGAATGACTGAAAAGACATTATAATTCTTCAAACTGAAAATAATGAAATGTGAAAGTGTGACTGTTTTAGAAATAGCCAGTATGACTACACTTATTTATTTATCTATTTATTTATTTATTTTTTTGGTGAAATAAATTAATATTGATAAACAAAAAAATCATAAAAAGTATTATCATTTAATGATTTTGAGGGTAATATAGATTCTTTGAACCAAATGCGCCAAACACGCACTGAAATTCGAGTCGATAAAAAAATCCAGTTTTGAGCCTCAAAATCCAGCTGAAAATCCAGATTTGGCCCATTTCATTTGTCACATGTATGATCTGGAGAAAAAGAGATCCCAAGGAAGCATTAATCACAACACTAGAACTCCGCGAGTCGGATGTGTCGCCTTGTAAACAATATAGTTTAGGAGAAATGGCCAGGACAAAAATGAAATATGAAAACTAACAAAGGGCAATAACTCAAAAAATAATAAGACCAGTTTCTGTGCACTGCACTTCTTATCAATAAGATCTATCATTTATGAAGTTTCAAGTCCATATCTTTTATAATTTAGGAGAAATAGCCTGGACAAAAATAGATAAAGTATGAAAATTAATAAAGGGTAATAACTCACAAATAAGAAATGCAGAGTACCGGTTCTTGTACACTGCACTTTTTCATGTCCATAGCTTTCATACTTGAGGAGAAATGACCGGGACAAAAATATAGTATGAAAATTAACAAAGGGCAATAACTCAAAAAATAAGAAATGCAGAGTACCGGTTCTTGTGCACTGCACTTCTTCTTAATAAGATCTATCATCCTATGAAGTTTCAAGTCGATAGCTTTTATACTTTAGGAGAAATGACCAAGACAAAAATAAAGTATGAAAATTAACAAAGGGCAATAACTCAAAAAATAAGAAATGCAGAGTACCGGTTCTTGTGCACTGCACTTCTTCTTAATAAGATCTATCATCCTATGAAGTTTCAAGTCCATGGCTTTTATACCTTAGGAGAAATGGTCCGGACAAAAAATAAAGTACGAAAATTAACAAAGGGCAATAACTCAAAAATTAGGAAGTGCATAGTACTGGTTCTTGTGCACTGCACTTCTTCTTAATGAGATCTATCATCCTATGAAGTTTCAAGTTCATAGCTTTTATAGTTGAAGTGAAATGGCCCAGACAAAATTAAAGTATGAAAATTAACAAAGGGCAATAACTCAAAAATTAAGAAGTGCAGAGTACTGGTCCTTGTGCACTGCACTTCGGGTTATTGAAAGATACATGCATACCAAGTTTGAAGTCAATCAGACTTATAGTGACTGAGATATGCTCCGGACAAGCTTTAGGGGACGCCGACACCGACAACGACGCCGCCGACAAAAGTAACCCCTATATGTCGCCTTTTGAAGGCGACACAAAAATTACATGAAAATTGCAAATAGGTTTTAACTTATAAAGCCAGTTACCTGCCCTTGACTTGTTTCCACTCCTGTGTAAAACCCTTCCTGTAGAGTTCACCAACATGCTGACTCAGCAATCTTAAAAACAGCTGAAAACTTGTCTCTTTATCAAGACTACAACAAAGGAAAAAACACAGTCTCAGTTAATTAACAACAAGAAACTTCCTATTCTGTATGAACTGTTGTTCAAAACTAAGTAACTGAGTCAATTTCTGGCCTTATTGTTGAGGTGTTATTAGTTTTAGTTTACACAAATTTATTTCAGTTTGATTGTGTTGGAAGCTTATTGAAACACTCTATATGTTCCTGGAACCAATCAGTGCTAAGCATTGAGTGTAAAGTTTCCTGCTCACAGAAACAACTAATGGGGTTTGAACCAACTCCAGCAATCCTGAGATAACTAGTTGGATGCCTTAACCACTTGGCCATCCCGCCACACAGTTCTATGATATAGACTTGAGATTGGACTAAACTTGAAATACCTCATTACAATCATTTGATGTAATTCAGACTTGTAACACTGTGAGATGTAAACAAGAATAAAATCAATCAATCTATCTACCAATCAATAAAATAAGCTTCAAGCTTTCTTTACAATCAAGTTAAAATAAATATAAATTACTTAAAATCTAGTGCACTTTGATTTAACTATTTTTTTTTTAAAAAAACAACAACAAAACAAGATAGACTACAAATGACATCTAATTTATATCACTAAAGTTCAACAACAACTAAATATTTGTTTAACCTACCTGCCTAAGTGTCCTCGGGTCCAGTCTTTACATCTTTCATACATACTACAAACACTCTGGTCTACCAATTCCAGACTTTTTAGTGAACCCGTACCAGTGGACAAGTCTGACTGATTCTGTAAATAACATACAAGGAAGTACATAAAGTTGATACTATAACTACAATTTGTCAGATATGCATTAACAGTACAAATTTAAATTGGGATTTGTTTTACTTGAAATTTGTTTAAATTAAAATGAAAAAGGACCACAGCTATTTATTTATTAATCATTTATGTCTTGACAACAGTTTTCTTTCACAAGAGCTGCCTGCTGTGCACTCTACTAAACCAAGAGCCTTGATAATGAAAGAATTCATAAAGAAGAATATCTTATTCAATCTCCAGGCTTAATTTATAGGCCTTTGATCAAGATCTGCAATTATGACCCAAAAGACATTTGTAAAGTTTTACGTGAAAGATTTTTTTCAAAGCTTGCCAATTCCAGCCCAAATCAGCCTTGTGTGATAAAAATTTATAACAGAAGACAGTTGCAAGTTATTCTTTATTTATTACATATGAAGCTGCATCCGAAAGTTAAATCAAATGTTACACTGACACAGATACCAATGCACAGCTAGGCTATGAAATACAGAGCTGAAAAGTTAGTCGCAGTCAGACAGACCAACAAAACAGACATGACCAAAACAATATGCTCAGAATTATCAATTCATAGATTGTATACAAAAATTGTGTACATGTATATTATTAGTTATAAAGATTGTTGATAGATTATATGGCCCTATATAAACATCTGTTTGTAAATATAACCCGAGCCTTGTAGGCGAGGGTTATATTGCAAACAGCCGTTTATATACGGCCATATATCCTGTCAACAATCTTTATAACGAATTTATAATACAGCAAGCATCATTTTTTAGAGAAAATGCAAGATTTCTTCATGAATCAACAGTAGCCGTGTATATAAAACTATATAAACGTCACGATTATCCAATGAAAAGCGACATTACAAACATGCAGTATTATAATGTTTTAATTACCAGTCTTTTGTAAAAGAAGTCCCAGAGTGTAATAAGGATACTAATGTCAGGTTCCCAGTGACTTGTCAGCAACAAACACGTCTTTAAATGTTGTCTCAATGTTGATTCTGTTAGCCCATTCTAAAATAATAACATATAAAGCTAGAAAGATTATAGATTTCTGGCCAGAATTTTACACTAACAAGCAACAATAATACAAGCAAATTCAGCAATTTTGTTTTTGTGCTAAATAAGTTAAATGAAAAATTTACAAAACAATATTGAGCAATGTTCTTTAGTGTTTTACTGACAAATTTTTACAAAGCACAAATTTGCTCAAATTTCAATGTATTAAGTTATTTTTTTGCTGATTATGAAAACTAGAAATTACTATTGAAACAGGGCCACAAGTCAAAAGTGACTGTTTCAAAATTTAGCTTAAATTAACATGTTTAGACTAATAGCTTATCAAAGAAGCCAGTATATCATTCTTGACTCTCTAATTTCCCGATTTAGAAATAAAACTTAAACCTACAAAAGTTCTTACCGTTGAAAGAAGTTTCTTCAACAAAGATTGCAAATCATGGTAATTGCTAACAAGTGAATAGTCAGACTGAAATCAAAAGTTAAAAACCGGATTATGATTAAATGATACATATACAATAAACAGCATCTTTATAGACGGTATCGCTTTAAGTGATATCCTTATTAAAGATGTTAGTGTTTTTGTTGTTATTTAATGAATTGTAAAATATGGAATTTTAGAACAACATTTATTTTTTGGTTTATCTTTGACATCCAACTTAATCAGTTAAATGAAAGAAAATGAACATTTTTTTGTAAAAAAAAACAACAAAATAAACATTAAAGAATTACTATTTCAAAACAAATGAATAAGTGGTTTAGGAGAAACTTTATTTGAGACTTGTGCTGGACAGCACACAATGTTTAATCACAATACAACACCTTAAGACTATGTGCTTAATTGACCAAAAAAATATATATTATTTCAATGACTTGTGAAAGTACTTTTCTCAGAACTTCAAGAACTTATGTAGAAAACTTGAAATAACACTCATTTACCACTGAACTTCCTGTGACCTGTACACCAAACAAAGGTGAAACACAGTACATGATCCACAAACACAACCCTACTTTGTCATCTGTTTTGAAGCCATCTGGTGGATTCAACAGCACAGAAGTGTCTAGAATATATATACATGCTTATTTTTGAGTTTCCATGTGAAATTCGATAAAACTTCTCTGAATGTCATTTATAGCAGCATATTAGTTTTATGTTCAATTTGATTCACAAATAATCCAAAACGTTTCAAGTTCAAAAAGTCGTACTAGAGTATAGAGTGATCATGATTCTGAAGACTTCAAAAAGTCAATTAAAATCAAGAGCACTGCATGCAGTGTAAATGTTCATCTGTTAAAAATTATAAGTTAAAATGGGGCATAACTATACAAATTTTTCTTTCAAATTTATGCCCCTTGTCTTACAACTACACCTTGTCATGATAAGCAAGCAAGTATTCAAAGTTTCATGTTGATATCATTTAAAATGTTTGAATAATGGGCTACATTAAAGTTCATGCACAACAACACTGATGACTATGACGAGGCCACAGCAATTTTATCATAATAGCTCACCTTTCGAAACAGACAAGCTAAATATTACATACTAAAATTATTGTACCTTCACAGTCTGTCATCATCTCTACATCTTCATTATCTATCACAGATTTTATCACATGATGAAGACTCATCCAAAATGACTGAAATATTATACAATAGTTATTTTTTACATATCTTTTAATATTCAAATTAAAAAGGTGTAATTATTCTTTATCAAGATGGTCATAAAGGCCCAGCTTCACTCACAAGAATAATATATCAGATTTGTTCACATGCTTCTATATTTTAAAGATCCTGTATGTTTTGTGATTGATATTGTTACTGTGTGTATACCACACTTACAAAAAAATTATATTATGCAAATTAAACAATTTTCAAACATCAAAGAATATGTAACATGTGTACTGCAAATATTGTGCACATTATATTTAATCAATAAATTATATGCATTTGTTTCTTATTGGAAAATTTGACTTAGAATTTATAGAAATTTATAGAAAATAAAATTCTAATTACCTCCCTTTATTTACATGAAATGTTAAATTCAGTAATATCTTTATAAATAATGCTTGTTGGAACTTACAATATTGACAAATCTTAATTTGAGCATCATATTTATGAAATAAAACCATGAAAAAAATGTGTTACAGGATCTTTAAGCTAATATGGACTTTTAGAGTCATACAAGCAAAGTTTATTGATAATACACCTATTGGTTCAAGAGAATATTTTGTTTGATGTTATTTTTAATTACAAATTAAGTTTGTTTGTTTGTTTTAAGCTGATCTCAACACTTTTTTGGTTATATCAGTAGTGGATCAACATTTGTGCCTACTCCATTGCGATGAGCCCTGAATATTACTATTTGTACATGTATTAAAAATAGGAAGTAAGTTATCATATTTAACTTGAAAAAAGGGTAAAGTAAAGTACATATAAGTACCAACTTTAAATGGTACTGTTTTGGTTTTTAGCAATAATGTAAATGTTTACAAAAAACTGTAAATGTGGGAGCCTAACACATGTGGAATTCTGGAGTAGAATTAGGAATTTGAGAGAGAATCTCCCCTATGGCGAGATTAAAATGCATGATCTCAGGATTCAGAATCCGGTGCACTTACTTTACAACAACCTTCTCACAACTGCACTAAATATATTATTTATTAAACATAAATCACATAGATAAGTTGCTAAATATGTGTGTAATGAATGTTTACCTCTCCAAGATGGCTACTTGATCTCCACTCTGTTAACCTAAGAACAAGTGCCCATAATTCCTTCACACAGCTACAGGAAAATATTGAAGTCTTAATAGGGTCTTCGTTATCAACCTATATATATATATATATATATGAAAAAAAAAATATTGAAAAACAAATCATTTTGGCTTGTAAGTTACATATAAATGACAAGTGTTTACACAGCAAAATGTCCAGGCACAAAGTTTGTTTTGTATTTATGTCACTTTTAACTCATTTCTTTGATCTTATATCTGGACATTCTACCTAACTAGCTTTCATTTTACAACTAACCAATAATTACTTATTTCTCCACTAGTGTCCTTCTAATAATCTGACATGATTTCTGAATCAGCTGTGAGAGACAAATGACTATTTTACTCAATGTCTATATCAGTTGTCATGGGAATATTTCATCTGCCCGAGGATCAAATCAGCGACTCCTGGATTACAAATCAGTTGCTCTCCCTAATCAGCTAAGTGTAAGTGGGCACAGATCTAAGGATATAAACAAATAATAAATATGGTAGTGAAGAAAATTAAAAAAAAAATCTTACAGCCTTCTTTACTTACTTTACTAGCTTGTCTAAAGTTTCCAAGGGTTACAAACTCCCACAATATAACATGTAATACTTGATCATAAAGTGAAGTATTAAGGTCATTGTCAGGGGTGACACAAAATCTCCTTCTGTACTTGTAATCTAAAAATATCAATAAAACACATGTTTGTCAAAACATATTTTCCCCAGAGTGCAGTAATTGGTTAATTCATTATATAATTTAATAGGAGTTAACTGCACTAAGGTGATAATATGCCACAGTGATAACACAAGACATTGCGAGAGTAGGGTTTATTCTAGAAAAAAATGAAAACATCCTTCTTTTAGATCCATTACAGATAAAAGCAATTTACTAATGAAGAATCTGAATGACATCTGACATTATTATAATGATATCTTTTGTAAAAAGAAGTTCCTGCAAAATAAAACTGACAGTGATTTGGCAAAACAAAATACTAGTAAACCATGCTTAGGTGAAAAGTACATCATTTACTCATATTTTGTGTTTCCTCAGTTTACTTTAGTAGTGGCACAGAACTCTGTATTATCAACATACTTAACTTTTTTTGCTATATCTGCATTGAGTTTAAATAGTGATTTCAAAAACTTATACACATGTATTTTGTGTGAACCAAACAAATTTACCATACACATTGCATTTTTAGTTACACTTGGTTGAAGATGTTTTAGTTCAAACATATGCTTGACAAAATACAGTCAATACAGAATATTTGGAATGTGTTGATAACAGAGATGCGTTGATAACAAAAAGTCCAAGTATTATACAAATAAGTTATAAATACTGGTCTTTACAATACAGCTGATACATATGGATATATATACAGCTTGAAAAGTCATATTGGACTTGTCTAGTGACCGTCCAGTAGTGAGGTTAAAGCAAAACATCATACTCATCAGTGTACCTGGAAACTTTATTTGCAGTACATGGACTATAGACAGCACCCTCCAGTAAACGTCGAAATGAAGATGTACATATTGGTACAATATATTACTCTGTAAAGAAATTAGTTATATCAATTTTCTTTGCAAAAACAATATGCATGTATATCTAGCAAGAAAAAAAACTTGATTAATATTGCCCAATGATATTTACCAATATTTCAAACTTATCTTTAGTATGAATAACTGACAATCATTGCAAAATTACATACATTTGAACAGTAGTTTGAATCTATTTTCCAGTTTAAAATAGAAAAATTTGGATAATATAGGCATTTAGTTTTGCAATATGCAATTGCTAATTATATAGTATGATATTATTTATAATAGTGCTAGATGTGACAAGTATTTTGTCTTAACCGAAGACTTGAATCAAATACAAGATTTACCTTTCTCCCTTCAAAAGTTGACTGTAATACATGGCTAGGTAAATCTGACAATCTCCCTATATATAGTAACAATGAATGAAGACTGACCACAAGCTTGTCTACATCTCCCACACTGTTACTGTTCAAACATAAAAAAATATTTTTCAAAGAATATATAAAAAATATAATATGAATGTGTTATTATGATGGGTTGTATAAAGTATTGCTCAAGTTGATCATGCTAAGCTTTACTATAGTCTACAGGATGCATGTGAATACATCTTGCCAAAATAAACTATTGCCAATAAACAAGAGTGATACAATCTACCAGAACAACACATTTGTGGTTTAATTCTCCTTCTATAAAATGTGTACTGAAAATCTGAACATAACTTTAGAAAATATTCTTCATATTATGCCATATCTTTTTCTCAAACATTTGCCAACATTTCTAGAAATAAAAGAATACCTTTGTATAGATATCATGATGAATTGCAGAAATCTACACATCTGTTCTCTGATGTCCTGTCCATTTACAGTTTCTTCTACAATATACAATACAAATAGCCAATAAGAACACTCAAAAATAATCCCAACATGGAGTGCCAAAACTTTAAAAATATAAGTATGACCCCTAGAATCAAAGTTAACCGTGAAAATAAACTACAGTACATTATTATGAAAAGAGTGAGCATTTATGAAACAGAATTCACAGTATGTTGGACTGATATATTACTGGTATATTACTTTTACATCTCACAAATTTAATTTCAAACAAATGTATAATACACATTTCAAACACATGTCCATTCGTTATAACGTTTATTCTAGTTATATTACATTTCATATTAAACTCAAAGAATTTTCAATGTCTTAGATAGAAGTAGAACTTAACAAGAGGATTCTGAGGACCATGGATTACGAACCTGAGAAAAAAAAGATAAGAATACCATGGTTCATGTCATCATTAGTAGAAGGGAAATTTGTTTATGTTTTTAGCTCTATTTATCATCTTGTTCTAAAAATCAAATCTTCTTTTATCGTTCTGAGTAAAGGATAACATATCAATATTGAATAAATCATCAAAACTGACTAAGCAGTTCTGGTTGTGATATGGTTAAAAGGAAAAGTTTATAACGAACAACAGACTAAGGCTGATTACAATACCTCAACTGAGAACAATGTGCTCAGGTGAGCTACAAATTAGGACATGACTAATCAAATCTCTAGAATAAATACTAAACAATGTTGATTATTACCTATAACAAAAGAGACAGTTGACCTTTGCACCAATGACTGGAGTTCTCCTATCTGTTGCCTATGTGATATAAAAAAACAAAAACATGTTGAAATAAAGAAAACTGATAAAACTTCAACTATACAGAACTTAATTTGTTACATCAGTAAAACCATATCATAAATTAGTAATTTACAAATAAAACTTCAATACCATTTAAATACCAAGATCTGCTCATAAAACACCTATGTCCCACCTGTTCTCTAAGTTTGCCAATTAAAGAGCAGGACCACACAGTTGATAAAGAGAGCCAACTACATTTTGTACCTTACTGAGGCAGCATGTTGATTATTGTTATCTACATTTCAATACAATTCAAATTGTCTCTGCAGATTAACTAATCACAAAACTGACAAACAACCTTGTTGCAAGATGATGAGAAAACTTACTTTAAAATTAGGAATAATTTATCAATGTTCATGTTTTTCATTATAGATGATGGCCAAGTATGCTCAAACAATGATAAAGACTCAGTCTCTGGTACAAAATGGCTTGTATTACAGCTCAACAACCTGAAAACAAACATTTATACTGTCACAATTAATGTTCAGAAGTGATTTTTCTTTTGCTGAAGACTATAAATGTGTACAATGATTTTTAAAGACAAGTCAAACCGTATGCAGACAATGTATAGCCAGCATGCACAACTATATTATCTGGGAAAAAAAAACTCTATACTGACTGTTAACTAAAGTTCTGGCACATCAATATTGGACAGTTCCAAATCCTGCAAGATCTAAATATGTTACACAAAGTTCATTTGTGTTACGATTTCTTTCAACATATATTAATCACTTTGGAGTCAGCTTCCTGGAACTAATGTCACAGGTGAGAAAAATTTGCAGCCTGACCAGGACTCGAACCCGGGACCCTCGGAATACCGTACCGTGGCTATACCGACTGAGATATCTGGCCGCTTACACATCTTCTCTCTAAATAGTGAACAGTTCTGAATCGTGACATACTCCCCTGTTATATTGAAATTCGTCCTTGAATTTCACAGAGTTACAGATCAATGTCAATTAAACTCTGAGCTATATTCAGTCACAGCCCAATGTTGGGCGCCACATGTCACAGGGAGAGAAAAATGTGCAGCCTGACCTGGACTCCAACCCAGGACCCTAAGAATACTGTACCACGGCTCTATCAACTGAGCTATCCGGCCACTTACACATCTTCTCCCCTAAATAGTGAAAAGTTCTAAACCGTGACACTTACAACAGTACTGGTATAATATGAGATAAAAATATCATGACCAAAGTAAAATTTGAACCCATGACCTTTTGGATGAGCAGCAGACTTATATACAATGTATATACCAGCTCCCCTTACAAAAATCATCAGTGAAAGCCTGAAATTTAAAGTTAAGCGAATGTGAGGGTGAAAATTAAAATTAAGTGAAATTACCAGTGTAAATATCCAGATCTCCAGTATGAATCACCATGAAACAATGTCTCCTTGTACAAAAATTCTCCAATGCATCGAAAACAAACATCTTTTGTTTCTGCTGTAAGATAACAATACATATCTAAGAAAATAAAACAATATCGCACGATAGTTTTTGAAGTGTAAAATATCAATCAATAATATCTAAAAAAAAAAAAAAAAATGAACCAAGCAAAGAATTTTAACAATGAAATATATTACTGATAATTTTGTAATCATACACGTTCATGTACACAAAAAAAATAAAGATTCTATAAATCTTGGCAGTTGGCCAAAATGTTACTTCTACTATCTGTGAACATTTTTGGAGTAATCATAATTGAGTAATTCAATGAATTTTCAATACTTCAGCTTCAGGGATCACATTTCTAGGCGACTTAGGCGAAATAGTCGCTCTGTCTCTCTCCATTTCACCCGGTTTGCTTAGAAAAGCGAAAACAAAGTAGCCCTTATTTGGATAAACACGGCAATAATTTCCCAAGTGTCAAAAATAACTTAAAAAAAAAAAAAAAAGATAAACCTTCAGGCCTGGACAATTTTGGTGGTGATGGATCTAACAAATCTGGGATATGAAATCCAGTGCTTTCTGGTGACAGTGGTGGGGTTAAACTGTCTCCACTCATCCTGAAATAAACAATCAAATTCGTATGTAAATGTTTAAATTCAGAAATCAAAGAATTAATGATAATAACAAGGGCTATCATTCAGTCAAAATCTATGCAAGAGTAGATCTAATGGATCTTGGATATTGTCATTCATAAATTTATGAACTTTGAAGATGTAGATCTAGATGTAGCAAATAAAATAAAATTATGCAGTTAACATGAGGGAAAACAAATATTGTTTTATTTTAATCCCAAATTCGTCAAAAAGTCAAGGTAAAAAAATTCATAACAGGATACATTTTTTCAAAAGAAGTAAAATGGTGCGAGTCGTTAGTGGTGCGAATCGAAAAATTTTATTAAGTGAAAAATTGAGGTTTGACATCATGATATAGATATGAATAATTTTCGAATATAACAGTATTAATAAAAAGTAACATTATTCAACGTTAATCGTACATTGGTCATCTATAAGTGTAGAGATAGAGATTTCTTTATTTTCCGCGAAAACATTGAAAAGGTTTGGTCTAAATTTCCAACCAATCGCTTGATGATTAAGGTAAAGTAGGGGTGATTTAGGGGTAATAGGACATTTCGGACCATGGACGTTTCGGACCAGACATTTCGGACCAGATTTTGGGACACTTCGGACCATATTTAGGGACATTTCGGACCAGATTTTTGGACATTTCGGACCATGTGTTGGACATTTCGGATAAAGCGTTAGACACTTCGGACCATTGTTTTGGACATTTCGGACCATGTGTTGGACATTTGGGATCATGTGTTAGACACTTCGGACCATTATTTTGGACGTGTCGGACCAGAATAAATATTTTTTTTTATATGTTATGCATCAATTATTCTTTAAACTAAAGTGTAACTTTAGAATATATGAGACACCATGGAACGATTTTACACCTATCCCGATTTAGATTTAATTTATTTTGCACTATAAATGAAGGGTAAAAAAAACAAAAACGTTTTAATGACACGTTTGCAAAAAAAATATTATAAATTATTTAATTTTACCCATGAAATATGGTGCTATATCAGTCAAATATATTTCATATTTTTTAAAAATAAATATGAAATATGAATATGAAAGTGGGCGGAGTCAAAACTCATATTTATTTTATTGGACTTCTTTCGCCGTTTTGTTTGAAAAATCTGATAAATACAAAACAACTTTTTCTTGAATCTTGTTTTGAAAACTATCTAGCATGATAGAAAATGGTCTAACTAAGAAAATTAATCCGAACACCAATATCTTTAATTCAGTAATTAACGCTGTACAGACGTTTAAAGAGTTGTTTACATGACGTCACAATGTAGCGCCAAACAGCGCGTGCTTACGCATACATTACTGCGCACTGTACAATTGCATTTGTAGCAAGCAAGGGGATTCGTTACCATTTTCTTTGATAATGAAATTAAATAAAAGGGTTATTTTTTCGTTTTTCGTGAAATATGGTATATATTTTCACTCAACATGATAAAATGCCACATATTTTCACTCGCCGTACCGGCTCGTGAAAATATGTGGCATTGTATCATGTTTCGTGAAAATATATACCATATTTCACGCAAACGAAAAAATATCCTCTTAGTATATACAAAAAAACATTTTTTAATATTGCAGTCTGGACATCATTTTTTTTACAATTATAATCAGTTTGTTTATTGTTAATTAAAACTGTACTTTAATCGCATTCCAATCAAATCCAATCAATTAAATATTTGTTGTCAAATTATGTGAAAATTGCATGCATATGCTTCTTTAATTGAGTGAAACGTAACTTAAACGAGTTCTATTCAGCAATTAAAAAGTGTGAAAAACTGCATTGACAAGGATGTCGTTGTTCTTTAATACCTGCTAGAACACGATTTAATTTGGTTAAAATTGACTTTAAATAGGTGTATGTGTGTGTACTTATTGTACATAATATCAAATAGTTGATTAAACAGGTACGTATATCAATTTCAATTCTTTTAGATAAATCAAACATAGCGTATCATTATCTCTCTTTTTTGTATGAAGGACATTCGCATAAATATATCCTACGCTTACCAATATAGTTCTAAAGGTATTCTATTATTGTTTAAAAAAAATTCAATATTAAAAAATTGCCAATTGGTAATATAAGCTTGTCAGAAAAAGTGAAAATCTCGTCGGACTGGTCATTACTGCGTGCATTTTGAATATCATAAAATATAACTATGTCAAATATTTATTGCATTTATTATTAGAAAATATATTAAATACATCCTGAAATAACAAATAATTACACATAAAAGGAACATATGTGCTGGTCCGAAGTGTCTCCATCATGGTCCGAAATATCCCAAAATCTGGTCCGAAATGACCAAAAAATCTGGTCCGAAGTGTCTGGTCCGAAACGTCCGTGGTCCGAAATGTCCGTAATTCGATTTAGGTAGGATCATTTTGAAAATTGACCGATCTTCTTCGTTGCTATACTTATTTACCTAATTACAAGAAACACACTGGCAGTAACAAAAGTTATCATAAGAACTCCGGGACATATTTTGAGTTATCACAAGAACTCAGTGACATTTGAAAAATCGAGTATAAATTTATTAGCCTAGGCTTTATATTTGCAACTCTTCATCATTAATTATAATTAGGTAATTAAGTATAGCAACGAAGAAGACCACAAATAAAAAGGTCAATATGTACAAATGAGCAAGTAATTTGTAAATTTTACTAAAAACTACCAGATTTTTTTTAAAAAGGCAATGAAAAATGAACTAAAATGTTTTTCTGAAAGATAATACAATATGTAAATTATCATTTTTCACGCGAGTTCTCCAAGTATATAGAAAAGACTTCCACAGAAATCCGTAACGTTTTTCCAGGAACTCCGTGACAGTTAAAACAAGTTACAAATGTATCATAAGAACTCCATCCTTCGTGTAACAGTTCCTCCCCCTTGATTCGCGTTCTCGACAGCATATTTCAATTAAGTAGACCTTGATTTCAGATAATGATTTTTGGAAATATAGATATTGCGGGTATTCTGATTTTGAAATTGAGTTATAAAGTCTTGAAGCATTTTCTGTGTTAACGACTGCATATGCATGAGCAATCGATTGTACAGCCAAAAACTAATTATAACCCTTTACATGTAGTATATTAGTTGCCTCAAAAAATAAACATAAACTTTATCGATCTACTTTAATGATTAGTGTGATTTTCTATCGATCTACTTTAATGATTAGTGCGATTTTCTAAGACAATAAAATTACTGACACAATGAAATTGATTGCTGATCGCAAGACATACACTTTCTAAAACGACCCCTTTTTTAAACGGCTTTTTAAATATTCGCGGAAAAAGCATATATTAAAGAAGACTTAATTACGTTATACTCGTATTGCATTTCTTTAAGAAAACGATGTAATGTCAGAACTTTTCATACATTTACATTTGAATCGTCAAAACACCTGATGTCCGATTGAATCTTACGGTATTCCCTGCATTTTTTTTTCGCCAGCTAAATGATACAATAATCTGACAATTGTTACCAAACTAAATCTACACAAAGTAATGGAATGTTATTATTATTATATTATTCCAAAATGAAATGAAAATCAAAACGAAATGAATGCAAGTCATTCGCTTTTTCCATAGAGCTTTGATTATAATATTATCTGTATTAAAAGTCCCTGCTTTTCTCACTTTATCGTGGCTTTAATAAAGTGTCTGTATATACAGAAAGAACAAATCGACTGTCCAAAAAAAATCACGCGGAAGGCCTATATATTGCTGTAAACAATAAACTCCAAACTAATGTAAATGCTAACTCGCAAAGGATCGAGACATATATGGTGTTTTAACGGTTGGCTGCACAAAATGGTGTTTTTTACGAAAATTCGCACCTAATTTACCGCCGGTCCAAAATCCGACCGTGAATCACGGCACTCTCAAGGCCATTCACCTTGGTATATAAGTTTGTGTCTTAATTATATTGCTGTAAAGAAGAAAAACAAACCTAAAAAAATCTACTGAGGGCCTTTCTACTTGAAAGACCCTGATCTACTGGATAACATACAGGATCCAAGTGGTTTGCCTTTGCAAAGCCCAATACAGTTGGGTAGCTCTTTTTGTATTTTCATCCCGAAATACCTTAAACTTTAAATGGACCATTCCAGATCCACAGCTGGACAAATCCATTACAAAAGTTTAGAAGGTTAAAGACTTTATACCAATTGCTTTTCCAAGTAGCACAATCGTTCGAAATTAGATTGATTTAGACAATGTTTATGTTCCAAACCATTTAATGACTGTCGGGACTGAATTTTACCCAATGCATTTGCGCATACTGGCTGGTGTCCGAGGACATTTGGTATCCACTTCGAAATAATACCATCAGTTACGACGGCCTTTACGGCCGATACTTGACGTAAAACCACCAGTCAGCAAAAATCCTCGACACATTTGAAGTTCCTTTACAGCAATGGACATCGTAGATTTATTCTGAACAAAACAATACTTTCGTAAAGTAATACGCATGCATTTAAAACTGCTTTAATTTGCAAAATCAGTCCATCATGTATGGTTCACTCTGTGACTCATTCTTTACAAAATTCGAGTTTCACGTGCAAGTAAGGAAGGAGCATATCCGGTGCAGTTTAAGGATACATGTACAATGTAGTCTAAAACTACATGTATTTCTATACTATAGTCGAATAAACCTTTTGATAAAAAAAACAACAACAAAAAACATTTAAATTGAAATGTCTTAATCTAAATGCAAAGAATTCCGGCAAGTTACCACAGTGGGTCGTGGGGATGCTAGAGCCTAAGCTTTGAACTAGCGAGGTGGCAGCTTGTGTTGGTGCTTCCGTGCAATCAGAAAGGAGCCTTCGACGTCAATGTTCGCAGACTGCACTTACAAGGGAAATACGGCGGAAAGGTGGACTGCGAATCATGAATCGAGTCCAAGACCCCCATATGTTGCAACCACCTACGGGATTGCTTTCAAACATCAACAGCTATTCTTGCATAAAAAATGTGCACGCAGATGTATACATTTACGAAAAAAAAAAACATGCATAATACAATCAAGTAAGCACGTGAATCTTCACGCGGGTCCCAGTGTAAAATAGCTTACTGCTATGACGGTTAGTTTCGTTATCAGAACAAACATCGCACTAGCACGTGAAAAGCATGACAAAATAGGTTCTCTTTACCAATAAAAAAACATATAACGAAACGTAGATTAGACCACAGCTGTTTTCTCTCGGCCAATCAGAGTAGTTTAAAAGTGTTTGATATATCCCACATATCACAGTAGTGTTTGATATAACTATCATGTTTGTATTTAACTGAAAGAAAAAACCCGTTATGTGCACGCTTTATGCGAGGAAAATTTATATGTGTATAGTAAAGTTCATAGTGTAATTCCCTTCTTAAAAATTAACAGATAGCAATAGTCCTTTGACCAATTTATTTCGTCAGTAGAATAGTTACTGTATTTGTAAATAAGAAAAAACAAGCAATAATGAAATGAAGTGCGTTTACCAATCTATTTAAATCTATATATGTATCTACATTTTACGACCGCTTTTGTGCTAATATTTTTAGGCACTGTGCCTTGTGCATTATGCCCGGCTCACTCTTAATAGCAGACACTGTAAATGTACATTCATTTTCGGTTTGGGATGAGGGGATTCCACTGGTGGGCAGGGGATGGGGTTTCCGAACGGTGACTGGACTGCGTTTGCAACGCTAAGGCAATGCTATGCTTTAAGGCTTCAGAGGGACGTTTGAAATATTTTTTCAGTTCATGAATGAGGTAAAAAAGACAGGATGTATATAAAGCATACAACAAACACACGAATCTATATGTCAAGTAAAATATTTTCAACTTCAGCCGGACAACCAATCAATATCCTGAACCCTAGGGTTGTTTAAGCATTAAGGAAAACGTTAAATGAAAGTTACCTGCCCGTTTCTCCAAGAGCCCACTCTTGAGAAGCAGCCATCGCCCATGATTTCTGTCTAAGAGTATTTTTCGGTAAGCAGTTTTGCTTCTTGACTTCATATTTAAGCGCTGTGTACGGTGTAATGTCATTTAATCATTTAAATGAAGAATCAACAGGAATAACAACAAAATCTCTCAACTTGCAAAATTGTAATAATATCACATTCAGAAATGTTAAATTCTTCCCAAATTTCTTCTTACTGCACCTTTGTGATGGAATGTGAAATCTATCATTCATAAGATTGTGTATACAGTAACTTATGAAAGAACATGAATTATGCTATTTTCTCGTGCCTTTTTTTGCCTACAATAAGGCCAAATAGATTGAGTAAGAAATATTTGGATGTCCCTATGTAATTGTCGTAGAAAAAAATCGTTTACGCATATTAAATCTTCACCTTAAACAGAGAAAACTACCTGTGGTCTAAGTCAGATAGATCGCTCGTACCAGTTGGATGTGAGATTTATCAACTCGCTTCGCTCGTTGATAAATCTCACATCCAACTGGTACTCATGATCTATCCTATACATAACCGTATTAGACATATACTTTTATGCATGCACTTTTATTTTCGTGCATCAACATCTGCAGAATCCCTGACCTGCCGGCTTATACTTAACAGAAAATGATGAAAATACTTGAAATTACCCTAAATCGCGTTTTTCCATGTTTGAACATGGCCTGTCATATAAATTTGAAGAAAAATTGTTGTTTTGTAGATTTTTTTATTTTTTTCATTAACCCATTACTTCATGAGCATTTTGTGAAAAATGGCTGTTTTCATTGAAAAGTCTCCCGTTACAAGTTCAAATTGCTATAATACTATAAAAACTGCTTCAACACTAATCAAACTTGGCACAAATGTTGACTGGACCATTGCCCTTGCAACAAAATGCTCAGGCTTAAATTTTCTGTTACCATGGCAACGAGGGGACATCTCAAAATTGCCAAAAATCACTATTTTGCGTTGATTTTTTCCATCATAATTGATTTCAAAGTGCTGCAACTTCTCAATGGATTGAGATAGAGTCAAATGCTTTTCGGCGTTGGTTACACGTTACCTTATGATCAATCTGAGGTCATTTATAGCCTCTCACAAGTCCAAAATTTTCTTGGCGATGAGGGGGACTCCGCCCCCCTTCAAACCCCCCAAACAGAAGGGGGCACATCCCCCTTCTGGCAACCCCCTGATGTATCTTTTGGTTCTGGGGCCGCGCCGAAAAAGTGCTCACTTTTTTTAACAACATTTCTCAAACGAAAACAAGTGTTGGGGGCCTAAATAAGGCATTTTTTCACCATTTGAGACAACAAAAAGGGGGGGGGGGGTGAAAAAGGCGTTAAAAGGCGTGTATATGAAGTAATGGGTTAACAGAAAATGATGAAAATACTTGAAATTACCCTAAATCGCGTTTTTCCATGTTTGAACATGGCCTGTCATATAAATTTGAAGAAAAATTGTTGTTTTGTAGATTTTTTTATTTTTTTCATTAACCCATTACTTCATGAGCATTTTGTGAAAAATCGCTGTTTTCATTGAAAAGTCTCCCGTTACAAGTTCAAATTGCTATAATACTATAAAAACTGCTTCAACACTAATCAAACTTGGCACAAATGTTGACTGGACCATTGCCCTTGCAACAAAATGCTCAGGCTTAAATTTTCTGTTACCATGGCAACGAGGGGACATCTCAAAATTGCCAAAAATCACTATTTTGCGTTGATTTTTTCCATCATAATTGATTTCAAAGTGCTGCAACTTCTCAATGGATTGAGATAGAGTCAAATGCTTTTCAGCGTTGGTTACACGTTACCTTATGATCAATCTGAGGTCATTTATAGCCTCTCACAAGTCCAAAATTTTCTTGGCGATGAGGGGGACTCCGCCCCCCTTCAAACCCCCCAAACAGAAGGGGGCACATCCCCCTTCTGGCAACCCCCTGATGTATCTTTTGGTTCGGGGGCCGCGCCGAAAAAGTGCTCACTTTTTTTAACAACATTTCTCAAACGAAAACAAGTGTTGGGGGCCAAAATAAGGCATTTTTTCACCATTTGAGACAACAAAAAGGGGGGGGGGGGTGAAAAAGGCGTTAAAAGGCGTGTATATGAAGTAATGGGTTAAAATAAACGCGTCCTCGTGTTTCTTAATTTAAACCTAACGAGTTTCTTTTCTGGTTCAGTATAATTATGAACCTCCAGCGTGGATGGGTCTATTTCAAATTTTCAATGGCAATGAAAGTAAAATAACTCTTTATTTCAAAATCTCATGTGCCCCATTGCATGTAACGCCCAACCCTCTTCTAAAGACCTTGACATAGCACTTAGTCAAGCACGATGTGAGTGTCCTAACAATTAATCACACCACTGTGGATTGTTGTCTGGATATGTTAGAGGGTCTCACATCTAGTGAGCTTTGTACACACGACGGACCTAAGATTAAGAGAGATCGACGCTCTACCACACTACACCACTCCTCTTCCATGTTTTATGTACTTTTTTCTCATTATTTTTTTTTTTCATTCATAAAGTTGCACAGGATCATAGAGAAAACTTATTTATATTAATTTTATATTAATGATGAAACACAGTAATAAGCTGCCCCTTCTTTATTCTACATGGAAAAAGACTAATCAACACAAACGATGATCTTGGCAAAAGAAGTACATATACAATGAAAAAAGAAATTTCACATAATTTGTTCAAAATATGTGATTCCATAATGGAATATCAGAACAAAATATTGAATACTTTTCACTTTTAACAATAAACAAATATCATTCATGATCTGATCACACAGGAAAACAATCAAGCAAAGATTTTTAAAAAATCAATAAAATATTGTTACATTCCAAACACCTTACATTTAATTACATTCATGAAACTTCACATACATATATATAATTATAACTATGAAAAAGTATCACATAAACTCATACTAACATTCATGAAAATTATCCTATAATCATATTAATAAAACCTCACATGTAACATTCCTAAAAAGTCGCATAAATTTACATTCATGAAAAATTGAAAAATATTTGCATTCATAAACTTACATGATTACATATATGAAACCTCACATTGAATTATATTCATGAAAACATACACAGAATTACATTCACATAACCTCACATATACCTAACAAGAACATTCATATAACCTCACATATAATAACAAGACATTCATATAACCTCACATATAATAACAAGACATTCATATAACATCACATGTAATAACAAGATATTCATATAACCTCACATATAATAACAAGATATTCATATAACCTCACATATAATAACAAGACATTCATATAACATCACAACTAAAGAGCTCAATATTTACAAGCTATATACATTTTCCCCCTATTTCCAACATCATGAGTGAGTTTGTTTATCATCATTGAAAAATTTCATCACTGTACCTACATCCATGACATCAAAACTTAACAAGTCTGTCAATGAGTCTTCATCAGGACTCAATGCAAGTAGCTTATCAGTTTTAGCAACATTTACATTACCCAGACTTTCACTATAAATGTCACACTGTAACTGGCTAGGCATGGCAGTAATAAGACTTGGCATTTCTGTCAACATACTATCTGAGCTGGTGATCGAAAGCAAAAGATCCAATGGTTGACTTTTAAAACAATCTGAAGTTTTGATCAGATTTGAATCTGGATGATATAGGCTTTGTGGTATTGATGAGCTATCCAAAATAATACTTGATGTGTCTGGTAGGAGAAGACTTTCACTGACTGAAGCATCGAAATACTCCATGTTGGAAAGTTGTGATTCATTGGTGGAGATACTGTTTGTAAATTCAGGTGTAGAAGCAGTTAAGCCTGGTTTATTGGTACTGCTAGAAGTAACCGATGGGGAAGCACTGTGCACAACTGCTGCAGGGAACTGATCACCTGAACTTAGTTTAGGTATGATCATGTCCACATTTGTATCTACATGAGAAGTAGGAGATTCAACAAAATTTCTATCAAACATGAGATTATTTTGAGTGGTACTCATGATACTGTGACTCATCATTGGTGCTTTTGAGATAGCTTGATAACTTGAAGTCACGTTGGAATTCTCTGTTGTTGTTGGCGTCGTCTTCATCCTATATTGACATACTTGCACAAATTGTCGAGATGTAAGAAGCTGACTTAGTAGTGGGAGGTTGGGATTTCCACTTGTGGTATATTCTACCTTCATTTCCTGCTCTTCACAACATCGCCTACCTGACCTTGATCTGAAAAAAAATCAGATGTATATGTAATGGGAAATATATTATGAAACAAAAACTGAATGTCTGACCCAATTACTATGTAGATTGTTAGAGTGGGTAGATTATAAAGATTTGAACAATTGAATAATTATGGCCCTTGTATCATTTATGTACCTTTTATCTGATAACCAATGCAAGCATACCTATATGCTAAAAAAAAGACACAAAAAAAGAAACAAGAGAGCCATGATAGCCCTGAGATTGCTCACCTTTATGTTGGCCCCCAGGGCGGACCAATTTTAAACCAGGGGCTTTTATTTGAACAACCTTTGTAGACACTCACAAGAAGATATTTCATGCTTAGTATCTTAACTCTAGCTCTTTGGGGTTTTTTTAAAGAGGATTTTTTAAAGTTTTTACTATACACATATATGAAAATCAATGACCCTGGGGCAGGGCCAATTTTAACCCCAGGGCCCTTATTTGAACACACTTGGTAGACACTCATTAGAAGATGTTTCATGCTAAATATCTAAGCTCTAGCTCTTAGGGTTTTTTAAAAGAAGATTTTTTAAGTGTTTACTATATACATAAAGAGGAAAACAATGACCCCCTGGGGCGGGGCCAATTTTGACACCAGGGCTTTTATTTGTACAAACTTGGAAGACACCCACTAGAAAATATTTCATGCTTAATATCTAAGCTCTAGCTATTTGGGTTTTTTAAAAGAAGATTTATACTATATACAAATAAGGAAAATCAATGACTCCCCGGGGTGGGGCCAATTTTGACCCCAGGGCTTTTATTTGAACAAACTTGGTAGACACTGACCAGATAATGTTTCATGCCAAATATTTAAGCTCTAGCTCTTTTGTTTTTTTAAAAGAAGATTTTTTTAACTTTTTCTTTTGGTTGCCATGGCAACCAGAATTCTGCATAGAATTAAATTCTTTGAACAATTTTTAAAGTTGACTACCAAAGGAACATTCCTGTGAAGTTTGGATGAAATTGGCTCAGCAGTTTCTGAGGAGATGTCGTTTAAAATAAAAGTTTATGGACGGACACGATGGACGGACGCCAGACGGCTGGACGCCTGACGAAAAGTGATCACAAAAGCTCACCATGTCACCTTGTGACAGGTGAGCTAAAAAGAAACACAATTTCCTTTGACCAAAGGTGAGTCATATCTTAACTTTATTTACAAAATCTGAGCAATTTTGAATCAAAATCATGATGACTGACTGCAAAGTATGGCCTCCTAAAGGGTTTAGACTTTTTTTGATCTGTTATATATTAATTGGGGACTCTGGGTCCATACTCTCAGTGCCTGAGAGGGCAGATGGACCCTCATTAAGCCTAGAATACATTATATATTAAGTACATGATTTGTCAAGCTATCTTGTACAATTTTTTAGTTATTGTGAGATTCGAATTTCCAGACAAATGTGTGGACTGAGAGAAAGACATATACAGGTTATTTTTTTTAGTCCCCAAAGGTGTACCTGGGAAAATGGATGTCACAGTGTGAAAAGTTTGAGCCAAATAGAATACTGATATGCAAGTCTTTAAGAAAAAAAACCAACTTTCTCTATAGGTTAACAATACAGATGGATTGCCACTACATGCCACCTTTTTGGGGTCATACAAAATTCTTCATGCTCATTGCAAGATTCTTTGAAGATGGTTGTGAACAAGCTTGCTGAAAACTAGAACCTTATGAGTGAAGGTCAGTCAAAAGTCAAAGTAATATTTAAAATAACTTGGTCCTAAATGATGTTTTGTCCAAATATAAACCAAACATCAATTAATTACAAACTTGTAGCAAATTTCAGTGAAAAAATACCTAAAAAATAATTGAAAGTTTTAAATCAAATTAACAACAATTTGACCTTATAAGTCAACTTTGTTTAAAGGTCAAGATTAAAATTGCAATGCTCAATATCACAGTTTCATGCAATAATATGCCCTTGCAGATCAAGGTAAGGTTAAGGCCAAAGTTATGTTGCTAAATTAACATATTTTGTTCAAGTATGAATCAAATTCATCCATAAATAAAATTATGGTCAAATTTAGCGAACTTCAAAAATTTAACCCTTACGGTCAAGGTCATTAAAAGGTCAAGGTCAAGTTCAGTTTGGCCTACTTGAAGGTTTTGTAAGAAGGATTATTATGTACAAGTATGAATACAAGACACAAGGTACTTATGTTTATCAAAAATAATTAATAACATACCTGTAATTTGAGCGTCTCTTTGGTTCTGTTTCAGCTTGAGCTGGTGAATTTGACCTGGACCTACTGATAGATGTCCTCTGAATTTCTCTCTTAGATGATCTTCTTGATAGATTTGGTGTTCTTGGTGGAGTTGGAGTTGGTGTCTGCACAGGGGTACATTTAGCAGAAGACCCTGGGGTTGTGTTAGGTACTTTTGGGGAAGTGGGAGGGGCCAGGTTTGTGGAAGAGGCTTGGTTTGTTTCCATGCTGTCCTGACCTGTGCTAATTAACTGATCTAGCGTGTTTGACCTAGCTTCCTGTTCCAGCTGCTCAGGATTGGTCATAATACTTGTATGCTTACTGATAGTACGCAGTGATTCAAGAAAACCTACAAAATGTAGAACATAGTTTAGAGATGTAAACCGATAACAAGATCCCAAAAGGCATCTCAAAGGATATGAACAGTTTGTGGAATTCTTTTTCTAAAGGCATCCTCATGCTCAACAAGTTTATTTTTAAATCCATCATCAATTCAGTTATATTGCTCTTCATTGTAGTATTGTCAAGTCACACTGTTTTAGATCCACCTTAAACCTCAGTGTGGCATTGTACATGATTCTTATGCTGTCAAACCTTATTTTGAAAACATTTGTGCTAAATTATTTCAAAATCAGTCATAAAATGAAAAAGATTGTGTCTGGACTGAATCTTTTTAGACCAATATTTGAAATTAACCTAACATTAAGGCCTTGACCTTTGAACTTTAAATAAAGTTCTTATGCATGATACACTGTCTTATCATGCTAAACATTTATGCTAAGCTACTGCAAAATCCTCACTAAAATGGCAGAGAGATTGGACAGGCAAACCATCTAAGACCAAGATTATTTCATACCCAAAATTTACATCATAAATTTACAAGTGTGACTGTAACCTTTTAGGTTACAATTATAAAAATGAATCATTTATAAACTTAAGTGGGCAAATAATGAAACAGTAATCAAGAGAGTGATGACCTAGTGTCCCACCAATTAAGTGCAGGGATCATTAGTTCGGGCCTTTAAGTTCCGCAAAATTAATGTAAGACAGCCATGCTTTCATACACAAAGACCCTTATCATAAATGCCTTTTCAGATTAAAATAATCATTAATACCTTTTCTAAGATTTCCAAGGGAAAGGCTGCTCTGAATCCATTGGAAAACATTCTTGTGGAAATCCTGGCCTTCCTGTTTACCAGAGGTCACCTTCTTGTATGATTCATACAGTGGATGCATGAAGAATCTAAACTGATCACATGTTAAGGAAACAATATCTGTTATCAGAGTCATAACAAGTGCACAAAAGGTCATGGATGGATTTTAATTTCTAAATAACTGTATTGTTTTGTCAATGGATAAATCAAATCTGTCAATTAATAAGTTATGGCAGTTTTATCAAATTCAATAATTTGACCTTGAAAGTCAATATCATTTTCAAGTAAATGTCAGAAAATATTCATCATGACATTTCTGTTGTCCAAGCATAAAACAAATCTGTCAATAATGAAGCTACAGCCAATTTTAGTAAAATTCTATGATTTGACCGTGACATCATTTAAGTCAGGGTCAGATTCAAATTGAACTCCTTGGAGGTGTTGTCAGAAGTGTCTTTGTCTATGTATAAAGTCAATTAGTTTTTATTATAACAAAGTTATAGCAACTTCAAATTTCAAGCAAATTACAGTCATGACTTATTTAACCCATTACTTCATGAGCATATTGTGAAAAATGGCCGATTTGAAAAGCCTCCTGTTACAAGTTCAAACTGCTATGAAACTATGAAAAATGCTTCAGTACTGATGAAACTTGGCATAAATGTTGACTGGACCATAGCCTCTATAACAGCATGCTCAATCTTAAATTTTCTGTTACCCTGGCAACGGGGGGACGTCTCAAAATTGCCAAAAATCACTATTTTGCATTGAATTTGTTTTTTTTCCATCAAAATTGATTTCAAAGTGCTGCAACTTCTCAATAGATTGAGATAGAGTAAAAGGCTTTTCAGCATTGGTTACACCTTACCTTTCGATTGACCGAAGGCCATTTTTGGCCTGTCACATGTCCAAAATTTTCTTGGCGATGAGGGGGGGCTACTGCCCCCTTTCAAACCATTCCCTTTCTGGCAACCCCTTGATGTACCTTAATTTTTGATAGGGGGTGATGCCAAAAAAGTAATCACTTTTTTTTATCAACATTTCTCAAACGAAAAACAGTGTTTGAGGCCTAAATAGGCCATTTTTTTCACTGTTTGAGGCCTCAAAAGGGGGGCAGCGGGCGAAAAGCCGTCAAAACACGTCTATATGAGGTAAAGGGCTATAACTTTGTGATGAATTGTCTGCCCAAAGCATGCCAATAATATGAAAGCAGGACATTTTTTTTTATTAATTGCCTTTTAAGATTATTTAGAGCATAAGTTATAAGCATTTAACAGACTCAGTCAAACATATTTAAATAAAAGATTAATTTAACAACAATGTTTAGTTTTATGTTTAAGTATAACAATATTATGAATATATGTATCGGAAAAAAGGATACGATCCAAAATTTCCAGTTCTTCTTTGTTTCATCCTGCACATACTTGTTATACAATGTATCCATGGCAACGTCATCATGTTTCTTTACTGTTTCTAACCCATTCTTTGGCAATTTGTCCTGAAGTTCTCTGTGAAATAGACAGTGAAATGGGCATGTTTTAAAAGTGCTCTCCTGAAAAAAAATTGGCAACAAAGCTCAAAAGAACTTGTCTGTTTAACACTAACAGGAAATGAATCATCAGGCCTTTTTTCAATTTAAAATAAAATAGCCAACTGCAACAGTGAAATAACCCTAACAATATTGTGTGACCTATAACCAAAATCGTACACAAACATGTAAAAGGCATGTATCTTCACTTTATAATGGTGGTTCCTAAAATATGACTTCCCAACCATCCCTTCATTTCTTCCCACCCCTACTCATATTAACAATTTAACAATATTCAACCCCCCCCCTCCACCCCGCAACAAACCCTCAGCATCATTCCATTACATGACTTGGTGGAAAAGCAAGAAAAACAAAACATATGAACAATGCTTAAAATTTTTAAACTTCCACATTTAAATAATTATACTTTAAAGTTTAAACATGTGTTTTCTTTTAGACCTGATGAATTCATTCACTGCTAGCTAAGAAAACTTTTTTCCTGGTATTCATAAAGAATATCAGCTGGGTCACACAAGGTCACACTGCCCTTGTGTCTTCTTACAAATGCATATGGTTACATCACAATATCCCATCTTAACATTATTACATGTATACTAATAATAGTGAAAATGAGAGACCTAAATACAAACTAAAACAATATCACCTCTATTTGAAATATCTGTAACAGAATCCAAGCAAATTAATGATACAAGGTATAATCAAAAAGAGTCTATTTATAGATAAAATTGAGTTATGTACATTTATAATAGATATTACATTTACTATAACTGGAATAGATGGAAATGTTAATTACAAATTTCTGAAAAAGATCCAAACTAATTAATACTGAAGCACTAAGTATTAATTAAAATTGCATTAAAATGTTACCTTTGACCTGAAAGAGATAGAGAGTCAGTTACATGTACATTCCTTATTATATATACAAATAACATTTCATATATAATAATATACAGGGCAAGTTTTGTTTTTGTCACCTTTATAATCATTATTATCATCATCATCATTATCATAAATTCATAATTAGTACCACTATCACAATTATAATCATACATTCAACAAAGATTCTATTTCTATATAAACATAAACATATATATGTACCAGTACTATCATTCTAATAAAAGGGCAGTGTAATCCTTGGTGAACCAAAGTCCTGAAAAGTAACCAGAATTATTAGAGGCCAATCGAAATCAAAGAATAGTAGTTTCTTTTTCCACAATAAAAAATGTCTATTAATATTTTCAGAACAGACTTTAGATTAAGACTCTTAAATCAGTAACACTAAGCACTGGACTTGAAAATTTCATACAACAATTAAATTCAAATTAATTTTTTTTACAGAAACTACTGCTCTTTGAAAAATCACTAACATAAATCTATAGAATACATATTCTAGTTTTTGACTTACTGAATTTCTGTACCAATGGATTCTAGCTGCTGATGCAGGGCCTTTAGCTCTGTCTGAGTGCTCCCACTCTCACTTTTTAAACGTCGACAGTAGTCGGCGGCTAAAATATTGGAGAACTTTCAAATATTTTGTAAAGGTGTCTCTAATTTAAGATCAGAGACAAAAAATAATGAAACAAGAAAAACCCATCTAAATTATAAAGGCCGTCTGCAGATTTATCTAACCTTTGTACTGTGACGAGCATTACATGCTCATTATTGTCAAACTTTCTGTGCCTGATAACCGAAATTATAGAAACAGAAACTTTGACAAACTATATTCACATCGTGAAAGGGTCGATATCTGCTGTGCAGCCAGTCCCTACCTACGGAAATAATAACGATTATCGGAAATGATAATAAAAATAATTGCTTGCAGAATACTTACTTTTAAATAACATCTTTGCTTTGCTTTCTTTTTCGGAGACATTTCGCAATTCCGGAACAAGTGTCAATAATGTGTCAAAACCTTTCTGTAATAATAAAATTTAAGAAAAACAAATTATTTAACTTTAGTCACAAGTGTTCTGGAGAAAACCTCATATTTGATAGGCATGGAGAATATCTACATGATGATACTACCAATATTTGACAAATGATTCTATGCTAACCAAACCTATCTCATAGCACATGCATTATCAACTTAACATCAATTACTCCACATCCATTTATTACACAGGTATTTAGCTAATTTATCAGGTCAATCACTATGCTATATGTTATAAAATAGTCCTTTTTATCAAAATAATAATCTAGCACCCATTTTTCTTTTACAAAAGTGTATGTTATAGATAATGAAAGTGTGCTATTTAATCATATTGATCCTATACTATTAAAGAAATATAATAGCAACTTATATATAGCATCAGTTGTCGACCACATAAATGGGCTAAGTACCTATAATCATTTTACAGGAATATCATAATACAAAACATGTTACAGTATGTTAAACTTATTTTTTTTTGTATAAATTAACATACTGACAGTAAACTTACTTTTATACTTTTATTATTTTTTTGTTCTGTTTTTTGTGTGTTTTTTTCTTTTTTGTTCAGATTTAAATGTTTCAAATTGTTTGTTTCAAATCATCTTGTCTAGTTCGATTTTACTTGTACTTTAATCTAGGTTTTATCAATGATATAAGAATCTAAGATTAGCTTTGATTTTATAGTTCATTACATTGTATTTTATTTTTCATGCTAGGTTGGATTTTACATTATTTTTTATAAATACTTTTGATTCATAAATTATTATACATCAAACATGAGAAATTTATATTAATAAATATCATTTATATTGTTTGTATTATGCAGAAATTTTGACTACGTTCAATTCTATCAAAAATATTTTACTTTATAATTTCAATTTTATTTGGAACCTTAACTGGATTTTTTTTTTACAATATCAAGTTTATTATCAAAATTAAATTTATTTTGATTTTTCAGTTTTTAATTTTGGTTGGATTTTTAATATTTTGTTTACATGTAACGATGTTTCTTTAAATTTTACTTTATTTTTGTTCTACTACTGTTCTCTTGTAATAATAAATCACTAGTAAGTTTTGTTTTATATTGTTATTTTTATTTTGTTGTCATGGCATGTTTAAGCAGTTTGTTTTGTGCTAAGATTTTTTTTGTTTTTTTTTCCTTTTTATTTTTTATTTTTTTTTTGGGGGGGGGGGGGGAGGGGGTGTAAAATTTAAAAATAATATTAAAACAATTAAAAAATATCCAAAGCCTACTTAAATTCCTTCTTACCAATAATCCATAGCAATTTTGCAAGGTTTCATTCTGTAACTCTATTTATGAGACCATGCATTAATCTAAATAACTTTTTACTTCCAGGAATGTTGCATTTTCAACTAGAACAGACCTGTTTTTCCATGAATCCCTTGGAATTTAAACACAACAATATACAAAATATAATATGTTACAATGTTAAAATCTTGCATACATAAACATGTATATATATATATTTTTTTAAAACTACAACAAATACATTTTTACATTCCTTGCGAACACAAGCATATTTTAACAATGCAAACTTTGCAATAGATTTCATAGCAAAGCCTAAATTTGTTGTGAATTCCTGACACTTACAAAGACAAACAATCAAGTTTGGCATATTTACAATGCTTGTGTTCACTATAGAAAGTATGAAACTATTCCAGTTTATTCGAATAAATGTCAATGTATAAAGTTATATAAATAAAAGACCCAGTTAAGTATATAGCAAACCTGTATTTTATCACGGCGCTTGTATTCCGCTTTAATGTGCGAATCCCGCTTGTGTCTTGGGATAGGGTTTGCTGGGCGACCACACTTGGACTTTCTACTTGATTTCTCCTCTGATGGAGTCCATTCTCCCAGACCGTTGTCACTCTCATTACCTTCAGGTGAAGATGGCTCAAAACTCAACTGAAATTATGAACTTCACAATTATGCATCTTTCAAAAGAAATTCAAACTATGTTTGTACAATTTATCATTTTCTCTTAACTAACAATCTATTTGCAATGTTGAAAATACTTATGGATAAATTATACTGTCTAGTACTTATGTGATACATTATACTGTCTAATACTTATGTGATAAATTATACTGTCTTATACTTATGTGATAAATAAGACTGTCTAACACTTATGTGATAAACTAAACTGTCTAATACTCATGTGATAAACTATACTGTCTAATACTCATGTGATAAATTATACTGTGTAATACTTATATGGTAAATTAAACTGTCTAATAATTATGTGATAAACTATACTGTCTTATATTTATGTGATAAATTATACTTTCTTATACTTATGTGATAAATAAGACTGTCTAACACTTATGTGATAAACTATACTGTCTAATACTCATGTGATAAACTATACTGTCTAATACTTATGTGATAAATTATACTGTCTAATACTTATGTGATAAATTAAACTGTCTAATACTCATGTGATAAACTATACTGTCTAACACTTATGTGATAAATTATACTTTCTAATACTTATGTGATAAATTATACTGTCTAATACTTTATGTGAGAAATTAAAACTGTCTAATACTTATGTGAGAAATTAAACTGTCTAATACTTATGTGATAAATTATACAGATAAATACTTATGTGATAAAATTATACTGTGTAATACTTATATGGTAAATTAAACTGTCTAATAATTATGTGATAAACTATACTGTCTTATATTTATGTGATAAATTATACTGTCTTATACTTATGTGATAAATAAGACTGTCTAACACTTATGTGATAAACTATACTGTCTAACACTTATGTGATAAACTATACTGTCTAATACTCATGTGATAAACTATACTGTCTAACACTTATGTGATAAATTATACTGTCTAATACTCATGTGATAAATTATACTGTCTTATACTCATGTGATAAACTATACTGTCTAACACTTATGTGATAAATTATACTTTCTAATACTTATGTGATAAATTATACTGTCTAATACTTATGTGAGAAATTAAACTGTCTAATACTTATGTGAGAAATTAAACTGTCTAATACTTATGTGATAAATTATACAGTATAATACTTATGTGATAAATTATACTGTCTTATACTCATGTGATAAATTATACTGTCTAATACTCATATGATAAATTATACTGTCTAATACTCATGTGATAATTTGTACTGTCTAATACTCATGTGATAATTTGTACTGTCTAATACTCATGTGATAATTTATACTGTCTAATACTTATGTGATAAATTAAACTATGTAATATTTATGTGATAAACTTTACTATTTAATACTTATGTGATAAAACAATGTCTTATACTTATGTGATAAAACAATTGTCTAACATTTATGTGATGTGATAAATTATACAGTCTAACATTCTTAAATCATTATTATTCTAGATATAAGCAGCTGGGCTGAAATCAGAAATAATATGTCCTGTAATAATTTAAGACAGACATAACAATGGATTACAGCATTTCAGGATTTTTTAAGAGAGTTACACTACAGTAAATGCTTGCTTTTAAAATATTGTATTTTCTGAGATCTTTGCATTAGATTTTTTAATTTCAAGTTTTTCAATTCCTGAAAGGTAAACTACAGCTAATATGACCTCAAAATCTTAAAGACAGATTTACGAATATGTTAACATGTCCACAGTGAGATGAACACTACAGACACAAAACTATTATGACAATGTGCATGTGGGTGTTGGGGAAGGGGCATAACTTTGTGGAATATCAAAATGTCCAAACTCCTCAATAACAGACAACAGTGATAAAATTGATAAAGTAATAAATAACTCTACCTATAAACAGCTAGCTGGTTGAAGTGACTTGACCATATAACAGGGAATGCTTTCTCTGTCATTTACAGGTCAATATAAGAATAAATTGTATTTCAAACTCAGAGGCAAGTCATTTTTAACTATAGCATGAACTCTGTTTGAACTTTTAAAACCAACACCATGATAATTAACAATTTGCTAAGCATAAAAAGTATGTCAATATGAAATAAAAGCTAAAAATAGGAGATAAAAAACATAAAATGTTACATTTAAGCATTTATAGTGCCTTACATTTCTAAAGGTATAATTTATGTTAATAGGCTTAACCTGCCTGTCTCAAATAGCGGATATCGAATGAGTGTAGGTTTAATACTAAATTTATTGAACCAGATGAATACAATCATATTAAGCGAGCCTAATATTGTTTTATTCAACGAGTTCAATAAATTAAGTATTGAATCTACACGAATATTCTATTTATCACATATATAAAATTATAGCTAGTGTAACACTAACATTAACATGCATTAACGCTATGTTTATAGTGCAATTGACGTCACATCAAAGTGTTATTACACTAGTGTAATATCGTCTAGTGTAATATCGTTTTTATTAAATGGCTTTATTACATTCCCGATGATAAAGTGAGTTTAAATATTTAACAAAGTTAAAAAAATATCCAATAGCCCAATGTATGCTGAAGCCTATTATTTTGTTATTTACATATATATGTATATATATATATATAATATTCTGCATCACACGCTCTTGGTGTGTGACAAAGATAATCACGATTATTTTTTTTAAAATGAAAAATTATATAGTAAACGATATTTTTTTTCTGATAGACTACTTTAATCTACATTATGAAGATCTAGTCTATATTTCACATGATTTTTGTGTTTGTTTTATTTGAACTTAATCCTTTGGATATTCTATGTATTGTAACCATAAATGACATGTAAAATATTTTAATCAAGATCATCATAAAGAACTATTTTTCATCAAAAAAAGCGCACGCACAGCTCATGTCGCTATGCACTGACGTCATTTAAGATATCTGCAATGATTGGCTCTTTGGATTAGACACTCTGGTTAAATTATGCAACTATTGGTCAGCTACATTTCCACGTGACTTCTCGAGGTCTTTGGTATAAATACAGCGAGTTTACTACTCAAGCTTTCTTGTCAGTTCAGCAATCCAACGGAACACATCCGCGATTGAATTTAATAAACGTGTTCATGACAGAAAACGATACAGAACGATTAAAATAGTGTTTTAGTCCAACATCAAAGCGTCAATTAAATCAATGACTGAATTTTACAATAAATCTCGTAAAACACTTAAAATTCCAGGTAAAATTAGAATTTAAAAAACTCATTCATTTTTCTCATTAAACAATAGTTCATGTCGGCTTTTTAGCGTAAAAATGTAGATAATTGGACACAAATTGATTCAAGTAATTCTTACCTTTCTAGTGCTCTTTTCTGTTTCATATCCGTTATAAATCCTTAAATTCTCTAACGTTTTTAAATCTAAATCGACCGTCATTTCTGCTCGCATTTTGTTTACAACACCCGGCGAGCTTGTTTCACTCGTTCAACTTCGGATTTATTCGTTGCTTGGTGTAAATCCAAGATATTGAATGAAATAAATAGCTAACTTGTAAACAAGCATTGTACTTCCCAGGTCACCGAGACCTCCGATACAATAGCTAAATAGAGGGAACGACAGTTAAATAGCCTTTAGCATTATTATTATTATTAGTTTAATATTATTTTAATAATCAGCGATTGCATAAACAATACCGTAATAATAAATTTTATTGACACGAAATTATATTTTGTAGATCTACACTGGTAATTAAAGTAGCTTACATTTGTAATTAATTAATTAATTCGGCGTGAATTCACGGTTTGACTCATTTTATTCAGACTGTTTTTTTATTATTTTTTTCTATTTTTTTTTCATACAGTCAAACCGTTGGAAAACGACAAATCGCCCGTTCAAAAATATCACGATGTCTCTGACAATTCTAAATAATTCATTTGTATAGCATAATAGCTGCGGACACTTTGTGCAACCCATGTGCAAGATGTGTGCAAGACATGACTTTGTTCAATATACACTTAACAAATCTTATAAGTGTGCACCATTTATGTCCTTATAACTTCTTCGTTTATCAGTATATTAATTTCTACAAAATTTTGCGTTCTGACTATTGGCTGCATTTCCACCATTTTCCCATGTTCAGGCACCCTTTTCCCGTGTTCAGGCATGTCAATTTTAACCAATGAACGATCGAAATTCACAAAATGCACGAAAAATTGTGAGAATGGGTGAAATAAAATTGCGCATGATATTCTCGGATACGACAGAGATCCACATATCAGAAAAACACCACATGGATAGATTATCTATACAACAGCGTGGCATAGCCCTAGGATTGGTCAACGCTGGAGTAAACCAAACAGAGGTTGGTAACAAAATTTATTTGTTTAAATCCTTTGCATTGAAAAAGCCGAATATCATTTAAATTCAGTTTCTACCCAAGACGAGCATAAATACATATCTTTAATTTATTTATTTATTACATGTATGTATCATTTGTAGGTTGCGCCTCTTATCGGTGTACACCGAAATACTTTCAAAAGGCTAATCATTGAGTACAGAGCAACTGGCATCGTTGGTAACCTTCCTCACCGATACAACGGCATGCAACATCGATGTGACGACACTGCCAGGCTGTAATTAATACACAGTCAGGGTGGGCACATACGGTAGTAGGACTTCATTTTGCAACATCGACTTCCGACACGCATTCACATTTTTAGAAATACATCTTAAATTTGTATCTTGAATGAAAAAAAAAATGAATAAAAATGATAGATTTCTAATGTGTCTCTTTTCTGTATTTAATGAAAATTTCAGAAGATCTGGCAAATATTGATACACCTATGAAACCATTTATACATGCACACTTATAAGATTTGTTAAGCACATGTAAGTGGCATAAATCTATTTGGAAGACCTAGCCCGGCTTTCACTGACGTTCTCAAACAGACAGTCTCAACATAAGATTGTCTCATTATTGACCGAGATTTACTTTGAGAACTTAAATAGTGAAAACCGGGCCTGGTGTAGTCCTATGTAATATAAAAAGGATTTTATATGTGTAAACCATATATAGTACTCCCCGCGGGTACCGCGTCCTTGCCCATTCCGATGTAATCAGAAAGTTTGTTTCTTTACACATTGAATGCCACCAAATACTGTTTCCACCATTAAAGTGAAAGTGGAAGTGCTGCTTTTTGTGAATTTGGATATAAATTGTTAGAATTTTTTTCATTTCAAATAAATTCTGTCATTGATAGGAAAATCCAAAGCTGCCGGTGTGTGTTAAAATACTTCTTTATTTTACCCCATATTTAACAGTTAAACTTATAATTTCATGTACCGACAATAATAAGAACAGCACTTGGTATCATAGGGGCCGGACCATCCTACCTTGACTTGGCTCTCATGGATTACACCACAGACAATTAATTGCTCGTAGGACAGGGCGGACCCTGGGATATGGCGGAACGCGGTCCGTCCAAACATACGGTCCGCCCTGTCTCACTAGTCTCACGGTAGTCCAACTAATTAGACTTGTCAAAGAGACACCGAGATAATTTTGGACGGGCGCTGTCTTTTTTTAACGGTTTGACAGTAAGAAAAAAAAAGTCTGTAAAATGGGTCAAACCGTACACGCCGAATTAATTAGGCTACCCTGTCCGTAATTCAGACAATTGGGGTGTTGAGCTCAAAACGCCTTTTAAATCAAAATAATATGTATCATATATTTGCCAATCCCAACAATTGTACTGATCATTATTATTTATAAAGACGTCGAAATATGATTTTTTTCAAAACGGCTCATATAAAGTTTTTTATATATATGATCAGTAGGCCTACATGTGCTGGGATTGACAAATTTTATTGGATTTTAAAGGCGTTTTGAGCTCCACGCCCAAAGTTTCGGTGGATTGCACGCGATGTTCCGTCTCGTGAGATCATCAACCATGCACTAGCCTTAAAAAAAAACACTTATAAATGCTAGTTTTATGGTCCAGGAAAAAGGAAACATTTCCCGTTAAATAATGACATAGCTTTTCAAAGTGGACCAGCTAATTGTACTGCGCGACGATATTTTGTGCGTGGGCGAGATTCTGACACAGAACGAAAATATCACAGGACTACTGACTGTACTTGTAAGTATTTGAAAAGCACAGTGCTCAACGGCAAAGGCAAAACCACGGATTTATATGCAATATAAATCCATGGCAAAACTAAGGAAATAATTAGTAAAAGTAAGCCCCATCATCATGAAGTGTTATCTTTAAAAAAATATGTCAAATTTATACAAAATATGCCTTTAGAAAACCAGATAAATGAAAAAAAGGTATATAAAATGGGACGAGTCATCAGCGGCGCGAAATGATATTAGCAAAGATTTAGCTCCCCTGGGTAAAGGTCACGTGCATTGTTTACTAGCATGATTCATTGGGAAATGTTGACCGGTATTTGTTTTTTACACCCCTGCTTGTTACCCTTTATGGCATAGATGTCTGCATCTGCAATTGGTGCGACCACTGCACAAATAAGACTAATTTTCTGTTCCCCGCGAATTATGTTCGAACAAGTCTGCAGCTTTTTGTGATCTGGTGATATATTAGCATTTCAGTACGGGCGATTGATAGACCGCAATTGATGGCCATGAGAGAGACCCATAATAGCCAGAAAGTTCTATATACATTTCAGGGCCAGTTTTGGCGAACTTTCGAGAAATAAGAAGAAACACAATTATTCATAAATTATTTATAGCTATTTCGGCAAAATGTATATTTTCATGTCAATCATAATCATGTTTATAAATAAACCTGATTTGTATTATGTACAGTAGATGTTATAAACATGTGTAAAATTTAATAAAGATAAAGCATTGTCATTGATCAGTTATTACACAGATATACTCAGTACTGTACTGTAGAGGTAATGTAAATTTCTGACAGGTGTCAGTTATTGCATGGAGCTAAATTTTAAATTGTTTATATATCTGTGGTTATTGGCATTACTGGCATGCGAGCAGTTCCCGTACAGAAGCAGTACCCGTATTTTTCATTTAAACGCTTGATTTTTACTTGCAATCTTCAAAAATTCATTTCAAATCAAGCAGATGCATAAAAGAGACAAAATCTAAGTGTCAGTTCGGCAGTACGTATAAAAGTCTCATTTTAAATCACTTTCACCTGTGCGTTGTCAATACGTGACCTTGTTTTTCTCTGGGGGATTCCGTCCTTGCGCGCATGCGCTAAAATATTTACACGTGAGGCCTGTTAAAGGGTTTTCCACTAATACCACCTGTTTACAGATAAGTAGGCAATGTGATGAAAACTTGTTTAATTATCAGAATTTTGATCAATATTACTATATTAGATAATTTTATGGCTTTGATGCGTAAAATATCATGCATTCAAGCATGCCATTGTATGAGAATGCGTTGGGGTAACGGTACCGGGTAATAGATACCAGCGTTTAGTCTACGCTCTATTTCCTGAATTACATCTATTTATCTCTTAGAAAATGGTCTGTTCAACAATTATAATTGAAAAATAGGTCCGTTATAACAAAATTGTATAATTATAATGAGTTAAATTTTATGTACGGGAACTACTTCTCTTCCTACAAAATAATGGATAATTTCGGTACCCCATATGAGGCCTCATAACTAAGGGTTATTCTATGTTTAGAACATGATGGAATTTCCATGATTTGTGTGACGAGCCGACTAGTGATGTGTAACATTCAAATTTTGGTGAGTGAGCGTAATAAAAAATAATGTTTAAGTAACTACGATTTTTGTACGGGAACTGCTCGCATGCCAGTATATATTGAAATCATTTGTTTATTAAATGTGCTTGTTTTGTGTTTTATTCCAGGATATTTTAACCAGACTAATTAGAAGTTACAATATACAGTATAGATCCAAGAGACTTTAGTTTTATCCAGAGGTACATTTTCTTGAGTTTCTGTGTTTTCAAAATTTAACCCATTTTGGGACTGAAAGATACGCATGTACATTTTTAGTCCCAGTGACATTCCACAATGGAAGATTTGATTTTACCAAATATAAACTACACTTTTTTTTTTCATTGTTAATGGAACTATATTCACGAAAGCAATCATCAAAGTTTGATATTCTTATTTTTTAAAATAGTTTTTATTTCAACTTTTCACTTACTAAAATGACTCCTATGTTGATGCCGTCTCTCTAGGGCCTTGTCTGTGTGTGTGCCTCTCTGGGGCCTTGTCTGTGTGTCTGCCTGCATTCCAATGTTGTTTCACATGTAGCTCTTAAAGTGCTTGAGCTTGAGTCAACAAACTGTACAGAAATGTTGATCAGCATGTGAAGTTGTGCACTTGGGGTTTCGCATGTGGATTAATTCAGTTTTGTCAGAGTTATTGCGCATGACTTTGTAAAAATTTGAAACTTTTTATTTGTGTCACACATAGCTCAACAAATATAAATTTGACCTAGAGTCATGAAACTTTTACTGGAGTGTTGGTCAGCATGTGTATTTGTGCACCTAGGAGCTTTCTTCTGGATTTATTCAGTATTTGTAGAGATTTTGCCCTTATTAAAATTTGCAATTTTCAACTTGCGTCCCACTGTTGCGCATAGATAAAAAAGTATTTGACCTAGAGTCATCAACCTTTAACAAAAATGTTGTGCAGTTGTGTGCCCAGGGCTTGCTTCTTGATTTATTTGTTACATGTATTTGAAAAGTTATTTCGCTTGAGTTAGTTCAAATTTGCCATTTTCAACTTGTGTCCTGCTAGTCATACTATACATCAGTAGACTGACAAAACTGTCTGGGGGCATCCTTGGCTCATGTATTTGTTTAGAGTAAATGACATCTAATAAGTTCATTCACAAGATACTACTAAAATTGAGAAGTATATAGAACGATTTTTTATGCATTTGTTTTATTAGATTCAGGTGATTCCCGTCCAGATTAAATAGAAGATATGGCGGAAAAGTCTCCAAATGATGAAAGTGGCCTAGATGATTCAATATCTGGTGAATTTCCAGAAAATGCTGATAGTACTGAGAAATCACAGAAGTTGAATGAAAGTGATACAGGCACGGTGCCTAAAAAGATACGTCTGCATACCCCTAGTCCTGGTCCTGAGCCATTCATGGTACAACGTAAGATATGGGCATCTGTAGTAACTTTTTATAATAATATTCATGGTTTATAAGGAATTTTACATATAAATTATTAAACAATGAATGATATCTTTGTCAGGCATTGGTAACATACATATTACAGTGCTTTTTGCAACATGATTTTACGTACCATTCATACTAAATCATCACCTACTAAGTTGCATTGTTATTGTTGTTTATGTTCATATATAACAGTCAGTTATCGCATTTTGTTTATTCACAACCTCACATGTTTGGTCCACATTTCAAATAGTGTTTGTCATTAAAATTGAAAAATAAAATAGTACTGATAATATTTTTAATAACACAAATCATACAAAAATATGTCATTTAAATTCCGGGGATGGCAAATTTCATAAGCATAGTTATGATATAAATTTAAACATACTGAATGTTTATTTTTCCAGCATCTCCTCCAAAGTTTGTAACATTTGATGACTTGATGGCTGCTGCAAGTGGTGTAAGGAATATGAGTCTTGCCCATGAGATTGCTGTTGATTCCAACTTTAAATTTGAGAATGTGCAACAAACTGGGTCTAGGTAGGTTTATTCATGTATGCCATAGACTGAATTTAGGTTAAAGTCAGGAAATAATTGCCCTTTAACTCTTCAATTTCACCCCTATTGAAGATAAATTGCATTCCAGATTCTAACAGTACCATTAAAGAATAGTCTAATTAATTTTTGTGATTCATAAAATTGCTTGCCTTTTAAAGTAAGTCATTAAGTGTATTAGCAGCATTCTGGTTATTTGCCACAGTTGTTAATAATTACTTCCCTTGAAAAGTTTTTTTTAGAAAATAACCTGCTGTAATTATTAATAATATTATATACAAGTTACTTGAACAAAGTCAAGTTAAAGTTGTACTGTATGTACATGTATGCTGTTTTTCTTACCACACTTGTTAGCATGAGTATTCACAGAATATAGGGGAAAGGGGAAAAGTTTTATAATGATGAAGAAATATATGCACAAAAAAAAGAATATACATGTAAATAGAATTTTACTGAAATAATTGAGCATTGTTTTACAGTCTGCAGAAGCAAGTGAAAGAAATTATACACAAAGCATTCTGGGATGCATTCAGTGAGAAGTTGGAGGAAAATCCACCTGACTTTGGACATGCTGTGGTTCTCATTAAAGAAGTGAAAGAGGTAAATTTAATATGTAGACAGACTTTTTGTGCCCCCACGTTAGTGGCGGGCATTTAGATTTACCCTTGTCCGTCCTTCCGTCCGTCCTTCCGTCTGTCCGTTCACTTTTGTGTCGCACGTAACTCAAAAAGTATTTGACCTAGAGTCATGAAACTTTACAGGAATGTTGATCAGCATGTGTAGTTGTGCACCTGGGTATTTTGATCTGGATATTTTTAGTATTTTCAGAGTTATTGCCCTTGACTTCGTAAAATTTTGCAATTTTCAACTTGTGTCGCACATAACTCAAAAAGTATTTGACCTACAGTCATGAAACTTTACAGGAATGTTGATCAGCATGTGTAGTTGTGCACCTGGGTATTTTCGTCTGGATATTTTTAGTATTTTCAGAGTTATTGCCCTTGACTTAGTAAAATTTTGCAATTTTCAACTTGTGTCGCATGTAACTCAAAAAGTATTTGACCTAGAGTCATGAAACTTTACAGGAATGACGATCACCATGTGTAGTTGTGCACCTGGGTATTTTCGTCTGGATATTTTTAGTATTTTCAGAGGTATTGCCCTTGACTTAGTAAAATTTTGCAATTTTCAACTTGTGTCGCACATAACTCAAAAAGTATTTGACCTAGAGTCATGAAACTTTACAGGAATGTTGATCAGCATGTGTAGTTGTGCACCTGGGTATTTTCGTCTGGATATTTTTAGTATTTTCAGAGTTATTGCCCTTGACTTAGTAAAATTTGGCAATTTTCAACATGTGTCGCACGTAACTCAAAAAGTATTTGACCTAGAGTCATGTAACTTTACAGGAATATTGATCAGCATGTGCAGTTGTGCACCAGGTATTTTCGTCTGGATTTATTTAGTATTTTTAGAGTTATTGCCCTTCACTTAGAAAATTTTTGCAATTTTCAACTTGTGTCGCAAGTTTCTCAAAAAGGATTTGACATAGTCATTAAACCTTATGGGCAGGTTGCTCAGCATGTTTTAGATTTGCACCTGGGTTTTCGCTTGTGGATTTATCCAGTATTTGTAGAGTTATTTCCCTTGACTTAGTAAAAAGATTGACAGAACAGTGGCGCGGTGGGGGCACCCGTGTCCTATGGACACATTTCTAGTCTTGACACTTAAATCAGTGAATATTTCAGTTCAAAGAACAAATATCAATTACATATGCCAAATTTTTATACCTGATATACAGTCATCAATTTATTTATTTCCTATAATTATGCCCCCATTTCGAAGAAAAGGGGGTATATTGCTTTGCACTTGTCGGTCCGTCGGTCCGTAGACCAAATGGTTTCCGAGTGATAACTAAAGAACCCTTAGGCCTAGGAACTTCAAACTTGGTATGGTGATTGGTCATGACCAGTAGATGACCCCTATTGATTTTGGGGTCAAGGGGTCAAAGGTCAAGGTCACATTGACCTTGTAAGCAAAAACGGTTTCCGATCAATAACTAAAGAACTTTAAGGCCTAGGAACTTCAAACTTGGTATGGTGATTGGTCATGATCAGTAGATGACCCCTATTGATTTTGGGGTCAAGGGGTCAAAGGTCAAGGTCACATTGACCTTGTAAGCAAAAACGGTTTCCGATCAATTACTAAAGAACTTCAAGGCCTAGGAACTTCAAACTTGGTATGGTGATTGGTCATGATCAGTAGATGACCCCTATTGATTTTAGGGTCAAGGGGTCAAAGGTCAAGGTCACATTGACCTCTTGGGTAAAAACGGTTTCCGATCAATAACAAAAGAACCCTTAGGCCTAGGAACTTCAAACTAAGTATGGTGATTGGTTATGACCAGCAGATGACCCCTATTGATTTTGGGGTTAAGGGGTCAAAGGTCAAGGTCACATTGACCTTGTAGGTTAAAACGGTTTCCGATCAATAATGAAAGAACCCTTAGGCCTAGGGACTTCAAACTTGATATGGTGATTGGTCATGATCAGTAGATGACCCCTATTGATTTTGGGGTCAAGGGGTCAAAGGTCAAGGTCACATTGACCTCTTAGGTTAAAACGGTTTCGGATCAATAACTAAAGAACCCTTAGGCCTAGGAACTTCAAACTTGGTATGGTGATTGGTCATGACCAGCAGCTGACCCCTATTAATATTGGGGTCAAGGGGTCAAAGGTCAAGGTCACATTGATCTTGTAGGTAAAAATGCTTTCCAATCAATAATTTAAGAACCCTTAGGCCTAGGAACTTCAAACTTGGTATGGTGATTGGTCATGACCAGCAGATGACCTATTGATTTTGGGGTCAAGGGGTCAAAGGTCAAGGTCACATTGACCTTGTAGGTAAAAACTGTTTCCGATCAATTAACTAAAAACGCTTAGGCCTAGGAACTTCAAACTTTGTATGATGATTGGTTGTGACCAGCAGATGACCCTATTGAGTTTTGGGTCAAAGGTCAAGGTCACATTGACCTTGTAAGTAAAAACGGTTTCTGATCAATAACTTAAGAACGCTTAGGCCTAGGAACTTCAAACTTGGTATGGTGATTTGTCATGAGCAGCAGATGACCCCTATTGATTTTGGGGTCAAAGGTCAAGGTCACATTGACCTTGTATGTTAAAACGGTTTCAGATCAATAACTAAAGAACCCTTAGGCCTAGGAACTTCAAACTTGGTATGGTGATTGGTCATGACCAGCAGATGACCTATTGATTTTGGGGTCAAGGGGTCAAAGGTCAAGGTCACATTGACCTTGTAGGTAAAAACGGTTTCTGATCAATTAACTAAAAACGCTTAGGCCTAGGAACTTCAAACTTTGTATGATGATTGGTTGTGACCAGCAGATGACCCCTATTGAGTTTTGGGTCAAGGGGTCAAAGGTTAAGGTCATGACCAGTAGATACTTGATAACCCTTATTAATTGTTTGATCACTGGGTCAGAAGTCATGCATAATAACCTTATCACATGACTAATTGGCTGCTGATAGGGGGCATACATGTTTTACAAACATATCTTGTTTATGTAAGCACTAAGCAGGTTATACTATTGCCTGAATTAGTTTTTATACCCCCACAAACGAAGTTTAGGGGGTATATAGAAGTCAGCTTGTCGGTCGGTCCACGGTTTCCGAATGATAACTAGAATTTGGAATGAGATATTGTTATCAAACTTGGTATATAGCAACCTTATGTAAATACCCAGGTTGATATTGCATTTGGACCCCCTGGGGTCAAGGCCAAGGTCACCGTTACTAAAATAGAAAACTTGTTTCCGGACAATAACTAGAGTTAGGAATGAGATATTGTTATCAAATTTTGTGTATAGCACGCTTATATGAAGACCTGGGTTGGTATTGCATTTAGGCCCCCTGGGGTCCAGGTCAAGGTCATTGTTACTAAAAATAGAAAAACGGTTTCCGGTTAGGAATGAGATATTGTTATCAAACTTGGTGTATAGCAAGCTTATATGAAGACCTGGGTTGGTATTGCATTTGGGCCCCCTGGGGTCAAGGTCAAGGTCACCGTTACTAAAAATAGAAAAATGGTTTCTGGACAATAACTAGAGTTAGGAATGAGAAATCGTTATCAAACTTGGTGTATAGAAAGCTTATATGAAGACCTGGGTTGGTATTGCATTTGGGCCCCCTGGGGTCAAGGTCAAGGTCATTGTTACTAAAAATAGAATTCCGGACAATAACTAGAGGTAGGATTGAGATATTGTTATTAAACTTGGTGTATAGCAAGCTTATATGAAGACCTGGGTTGGTATTGCATTTGGACCCCCTGGGGTCAAGGTCACTGTTACTAAAAATAGAAAAATGGTTTCCGGACAATAACTAGAGTTAGGAATGAGATATTGTTATCAAACTTGGTGTATAGCAAGCTTATATGAAGACCTGGGTTGGTATTGCATTTGGACCCCCTAGGGTCAAAGTCACTGTAACAGTGTTACTAAAAATAGAAAAATGGATTCCGGACAATAACTAGAGTTAGGAATGAGATATTGTAATCAAACTTTGTGAAAAGCAAGCTTATTTGGAGACCCCAGTTGGGATTACAATTAATTGAAATATTTCTTTGTACACAGTTGATGGTTTGTGTTCAAATTTTTCTTCAGACTATTTATTTTTCAAAAAGTCAAAGTTGCTGGTGGGGGTATAAATCACCTTCAGTGATAGGTCTAGTTTTTTATGCTCCCCGAAAAAAATTTGGGGGGAGCATATAGTCGCCGCCTTGTCCGTCCGTCCATCTGTCCGTCCCCTTTTCTTGTCCGGGACATAACTTTGAAACAACAAGAGGTATCAACATGAAACTTTGTAGGTAGATAGATCTCATTGAGTAGGTGTGCAGTGCACAAGAACCGTAACTCTGCCTTGCCTAATTTTTGAATTATCCCCCTTTGTTTATTTTATACTTTGAACTTTGTCCAGGACATAACTCTAAAACTATAATAGGTATCAACATGAAACTTTGTAGGTAGATAGATCTCATTGAGTAGGTGTGCAGTGCACAAAAACCGTTACTCTGCCTTGCCTTATTTTTGAATTATCCCCCTTTGTTTATATTACACTTTGAACTTTAGCCGGGACATAACTCTAAAACTATAAGTGGTATCAACATAAAACTTTGTAGGTTGATAGATCTCATTGTGTAGGTGTGCAGTGCACAAGAACCGTAACTCTGCCTTGCCTAATTTTTGAATTATTTCCCGTTGTTTATTTTTATACTTTGAACTTTGTCCTGGACATAACTGTAAAACTATAAGAGGTATCAACATGAAACTTTGTAGGTAGATAGATCTCATTGAGTAGGTGTGCAGTGCACAAGAACCATAACTTTGCCTTGCCTAATTTTTTAATTATCCCCCTTTGTTAATTTTCACACTTTGAACTTTGTCCAGGACATAACTCTAAAATTATAAGAGGTATCAACATGAAACTTTGTAGGTAGATAGATCTCATTAAGTAGGTTTGCAGTGCACAAGAACTGTAACACTGTCTTGCCTACTTTTGGAGTTATTGCCCTTTGTTCATTTTGACACTCTGAACTTTGTCTGGGACATAACTCTAAAAGTATAAGAGGTATCAACATGAAACTTTGTAGATAGATAGGTCTCATTGGGTGGAAGTGCAGTGCTTAAGAATCATTACTCTGCCTTGCCTTATTTTGAAGTTATTGCCCTTTTGTTTATTTTTACTTTTTGACTTTTGTCAATGCTTAAATGCTTAAAGAACCTAAACAAAGCCTGGTCTAATTTTGGAGTTATTGCCCTTTGTTCATTTTTGCACTTTGAATTTTACCCGGGACATAACTCTGATATCATCAGGAAACTTTATAGATAGATAGATCTCATTGAATAGAAGTGCAGTGCAAAAAAAACATAACTCCTCCTTGCCTAATTTTGGAGTTTTTGCCCTTTGTTCATTTTTTTTATACCTTCCTGTGTCCAGAACCTTCTCGGGGAGCATCACCCGGTTCAACCGGTTCTTGTTTTATTTCTAAATTTAATTTCATTGAATTTGTCAGTATTTGATCATAACTATATCTGTTAATAGAATTAATAATTTTACATATAGAACTATTGATTTATATACATTACAGGAACTTTATTTGTTTTCTTAGAGTTTGATGTCTGTGTTATTGCCCCAGCATAAACGCTTACAGTCACAGATGGAGGAAGTTCTTGATCTAGATCTTATTCAACAGAAGCTTGAGAATGATGCATTTGACATTTATTACTACTCCGATTATGTAGTAGGCATTATGGGTAAATTGTGTGCTCCTGCCAGGGATGATCGTATAGCCAAATTGAAGGAAACGAAAGAAATTGTGCCACTGTTTAAGTATGTTTTCAATTTATTTAAGAATATGAAAAAGGTTTAGTGTTCAACAAAAATGTACCGAAGAAAAACATAGTTTATAAGTAATAAATAACACTGCATGTTTTATTCATAAGTTTCTATACCACTGCTGTTTCAGATAAATGAATTTATATATAAACTTGATTACATATCTATTAATACAAAATCATACAAATTTACATGTACATAAATCTTGAAGCATGCTTTTTTACGGTGTTGTAATGAATATATGTTGTATTCATTTGCATAATGGAAGAAGGATGTTATGATTTTAATTCCCAAATGGAATGAAATAGATTATCCAGCAATTGATTTAAACAACATTTTTTCTCTCTCAAAACTAGTGGTCAAAATTACTCCAAAATTGTTTTCTATGTCAGGATTGTTCAGATAATGAATAAAATGTAATTTATTTATGTCACAGTTTTCACTGTTAAAGTCATAAGTATTTAATGATGAATGTGAAAACTTCAGGGAAATATTTGAAGTTCTTGACCTGATGAGGATGGATATGGCTAACTTCACCATACAACAGATTAGACCATACATACAGCAACAATCAGTAGAATTCGAGAAGAAAAAGTTTGAAGAATTTATAAAGAAACAGCAAGGTTTGCGTTGTAATGTTTATAAATCGTAACATTAGAGGGCAGTTTTATTTTTGTGCCCCGGCTATAGGGGTGTCATTTAGATTTACCCTTGTTTGTCAGAATTTGTGCACCTGGGTATTTTCATATAGATATATTTAGTGTTTTTTGAGTTATTGCCCTTGACTTAGTAAAAATTTGCATTTAACTTGTGTCGCATGTAACTAAAAAAGTATTTGACCTAGAATCATTAAACCTTATAAGAATGTTGATAAGCATGTGTAGTTGTGCACCTGGGTATTTTCATGTGGATATATTTAGTATTTTTAGAGTTGTTGCCCTTGAATTAGTAAAAATTTCCAATTTTCAACTTGTGTCGCACGTAACTAAAAAAGTATTTGACCTATAGTCATGAAACCTTAAAGGAATGTTGCTCAGCATGTGTAGTTGTGCACCTGGGTATTTTGTGCGGATATTTTTAGTATTTTTAGAGTTATTGCCCTTGACTTATTAAAAATTTACAATGTTTAACTTGTGTTGCACGGAACTCAAAAAGTTTATGACCTGTAGGCCTGAAAGTTTACAAGAATGTTGGTCAGCATGTGTACTTATGCACCTTGGGGTTTTCTTGTGGATTTATTCAGTATTTGTAGTATTTGCCCTTTACTTAATAAAATATATTTAGTTTTCAACTTTGGCACATGTAGCCAAAAAATATTTGACCTAGAGACATAAGATTGACAAATTGGTGGAGTGTGGGGGCACCTGTGTCCTATGGACACATATCTAGTTAAATGATCAAATCCCCAGTAAACACCCCCACAATACATTTTGGCGTAAAATCATTATGATCACATCAACAAAGTTCTGACAGATAAACATATTGGAACTAAATGATTGGCTTATTTCCCCTGACCCATTAGGGTTAATTGTTGGGAAGGCTGGCTTTTAATTGACTGATGCATAATAGTTGTGCATTTTTAGCCAGACTTCTCAAAGAAATAACCTGTGTGTCATAATATTTGGTTGAAGTTTTTGGTTCAACTTCATGTGCTTCTTCATTTCTTATCAACTAGTCAAGGTAATCACATGAAACTTCACAAATGTCTTCATATGTAGTGAAGGTATTCACTAGAAATTGTTCTCAAGTGAAGGTCATAAGACCTTTAACTCAGGTGTGTAATTTGACTGAATTATAGCACCTTGTGATCTTAGAAAATTCTTCATTAGGTTTTGCACGCGAGATTACAGCCATTAGAGGTATTTTCTTTAAAATTCGCATTTTTCTTTAGGATTTTGATTGTCATTCAATATCCAAATCCTACGAGTTTTCCATTAATTATGAATTAAATCTTTTCCTCTGCAAATTATTACATTATTCAGGCCTTTATTTTACAATCAAGTATTGAGAATAGTCAAGATCTTTCATACAGTTAGCATGTTTAAATGTTTTTGGATTTTTCATTGTGTATCATGTTTTATGTAGTTCAGTAAGTAAACGTAATTACAATAAAAGTTAAAAACTAATTTTCTAGAGGCTGGCATAGACGGTCTTGAGCTTACAAAGTGTTGGTTGGCAAGAAGTTTGGAGAATTTAAAGTCAAGGCCAGTAGCTCCTGAAGAGGAAGTTTCCCAACCAAACATGCCCACCCCAGCAGCTATTCTAAATGGTGCTTATATGGAATTATTGCAGTGGGATACTAGCAGAATTTTTCCAGAGGTATGCTATGTAATTACAATGTTTACACTAAGTTTAAAGTAAAGTAGATACAATATTTAGTGAATGTTACATTATTATGCTCCCCGAAAAATTTCGGGGAGCATATTGTCGCCGGGTCGTCCGTCAGTCCGTACGAACCCAGAGGTACTTGTGTGACTTGGAGAACAATGGGTAACAGTAAATTCTCTTTGATCCTACTCATTCCAATTTTACTTGTGTGTCTTTTTTTAAGCCTTGTGTGACTAAAAATGGCCAAAGAGATCAAAGGAAAAGTCACATAAGTACCATTTTGTGAGTACATCCGTCCGTACGCACGTACGTCCAGAATTTGCAATTTTCAACTTGTAACTCAAAAATTATTAATATGTACATTTCAAAGTTCGTTTTCAAAAGTCACACAGTGTATTTCTCACGAACACCAAATAACACTGCAAGAAATTAGCTGTTTCCTTTGTGTTAATCACTCAATAAAATTGTTTTGTTATGACATTTCGTCACCTTAAGGACAATTTAGCCCGGAGCGCTGACAAAACAAGGCGCTAATTGCTCAATAATTTCAATTTCTTCCTTAATTTACCTTTGTTTTTGGTCACCATTGTTTTTCTCAAGGTGACAAACTGATGCAGACAAAGTGCCAATGAAGTGATCACATTAACTGAAAAATATGCATGAGACGTCAAATATATGTATGTTGTAAGCGATATCTCGCTAAAACCGATCTCGTTATAAACAATAAAAAATGAAAGGAAAACAGCTGGGACACAGTAGAATGTACATAAGCGGTACCTCGTTAAAACCGATCTCTTTGTAAGTGGAGTAGACTGTATACATAATGTTACTATCATCTCCTAACCAATAGTGTGGATTAACATGATTTCATTGTATACTATGGTACTCTTGACGGTATATTTATGTTTCAGACCCTTGTATTAGACCAAAGTAGATATCTTGAGTTACGAGAACAGACACTGCGTCTCACCATGGTAACATCAATATTACTGGTGACCTTTAACACAGTAGGTCAATCTATAGCTGGTGTACAGTCACTCAAAGTAAAACTAAAAGAAGAGATATGTACTCTGTTAGAAGGTGGAGAAGAAGCAGGGTATGTTCTGTCTTATTATTTTTACTTTCATATACAATTCTGTACACCTTCAGTATGGTATTTTGACAACGCTACTTTGGAATACTAGGTGTGTAATAGAATATTCAATAATACCAGCACAATAGTTAGAATCTGATGATAAGTCCTGAAATTTTCCTGTGAAGCTTTAAAGTGAATTGGTCTAAATTGGAAGGTCTGTAATATCATAAATAATTATGTTAAAATTATGTTTTATCATGCTTGTCAACAAACCATGAACGAATTATATTATCTGATATATCTTTATATAGAGGATATTTGTTTAGTTCAGTGTAAGATCGGAATATATTTCACCGAGTGAGCACCAAAAGGTATATTTCACGAGTGGCGCAGCCACGAGTGAAATATGAACTTTTGGTGTTCACAAGGTGAAATATATTTCGATCTTACACTAAACTAAACAAATTTTCTTTTTATTACATGCTAAGAAACGTTTTAAAAAGACATTAAATCTTATACTGAATGAAAAGCGCTCCAAATAATAATACAATTTGGTACCCAGTACTGTGCACGCTGGTATTTCACTGAAACAACGTAATAGGCTTAAATTCAAAACAGTGAAATTATCAAAGTGGTAATTTCACTGTTTCAAACTGTGAAATTACCAGTTTTATATCACTGATATATTTCTATAAACCACCAAAAAAAGGATGTAATAAATAGCAGATAATAACCTATTGTAGAATAAAATATTATTCATCATATACATGGTCATATTAAATTGTTTAGCACTTTATCATGTGATGAGCAATGGATCAACACCAACATCAACATCAGTTTGAAGCATGTTTTAATATAGTAATGCATGAAGTATCTCACACATAGAACAGTATTTAGTCAAAATATGTTATATAGAGTGTTGTGAGGAATTCTTTCGCACTTTCTTATATCTGTCTCAGAATTGTCGGAATTAGTCTCCCAGATTGGACAGAAATCTGTGATTAAGACATACAAGCTAAATGACTTGTGTTTCAATGAAGAAGTATTGATTTAGAAAAACTCATGCTAAAATGCTGGCACAAATTTAATATTCTGGTTAATGTTACACAAGACATTAAATATTTACATTAATTTTAATAAGTATTTGTTTATCATAAGGATTTTCTGAATACATTTTAAAAAAAAATCATATCTGAAGAAAAATTGCATGTTATAACCAATTTATTTAAACTTTATAAAGTGACATTTATGCCCATCCAAGGGTAAATAGTGTGTGAACAGCTGAAATTAAAAATTACTTAACATTGTCCCATAATTCCTTTAAATTTTATAATTTACTTTGCATGAACGATAGATAACCCATGTGGCCCAATGAAGTTTTTGTAAACATCCTCCGAATTCACCTGTTATGTACAATTTATAAAAAGAGTGGGGCAGTCTTTTCATATTTTAGGCAGAATAATATTTTATCCTATTCATTTTCCAATATTAACTGTTTGTCAATTACCATTATATAAGTCAGTCTTATGAAATAAAAAGTCAATTTATCTCGACTTGACAGTGAAAAAATTAGCATGTCACTTTATTTTCATTAATTACCTTACCTCTCTGGCGTGGGTTCGATTCCCGGGAGATGCTTTGGTAGTTTAGCGCGGAGGAAGGTAGTCTAGTACTGGTGTAACTCTCCAGGAACGATGGTTAGGAAACTACCCGCCTATATGACTGAAATACTGTTGGGAAAAGGCGTAAAATGAAACAAACAAACAAACAAAACAAATTGATTACCTTACTAGAATGATAATTTTTTAATGAAAGTTAATATTGTGTATCTTTGTATCAGGAATATAGAAACAGCCTTAGAGAATATTAGTGAGCAAGTAAGCATGAATGTTGAAGTGTTCCTGAAAGATCACGGTTTCCAACCACGCAGTGAAACACAGAAAACATCTCTCAAGGGACAAATTGTAGCACTGAAGGAAAAAGATAACCAAATTTACACAATAATGTGTGAGTATATATGAATTATTTTAATATTTAGCTTTGTGCAAATTAAGCTGAAGGAAGAAAAGATTGTCAGACCTTTTCAAAGTTTGCTCTCTCTGAAGTCTTTCAGATTTTTACTGCATTGAGTTGTTCATCATTGTATGTCAATTTATGATCTATTTACCATGGTATGTCAATTTATGATCGATTTATCATTGTATGTCAATTTATGATCAATTTATCATTGTATGTCAATTTATGATCGATTTATCATTGTATGTCAATTTATGATCGATTTATCATTGTATGTCAATTTATGATCGATTTATCATTGTATGTCAATTTATGATTGATTTATCATTGTATGTCAATTTATGATCAATTTACCATTGTATGTCAATTTATGATCGATTTACTATGTATGTCAATTAATGATCAATTTACCATTGTATGTCAATGTATGATTGATTTATCATTGTATGTCAATTTATGATCGATTTATCATTGTATGTCAATTTGTGATTGATTTATAATTGTCTTTCAACTCATGATTGAATTATCATTTTTCAGCAAAGCGAGTTATAGACTTCATACAGCAAACATTGTTTTCAAAGTTAACAGAACCGCTAAAAATTCCAGCAGGGATGTCAGTGATGGAGAAAGAACTGTCTCAGATTTGTGGACAATTTCTACGACTCATTTCTCACAACAAATCTGTGTTTGGTCAGTACTATGCTAGTATTATTGGAACATTGATAAAACCATTACAGACTGATCCCGCCTCCACAGATCATGTGTCCTAGCTGAACAAATTTTAATGTATGAACAACTGTGGCGAGTTGTCCCGTATAGTGCATGACATCAATCTGCTATCTAATATGCATTTGTCTCCTTACATAATATTTATGCTTCCATAATGGATGTACATTGAATTTGTTGTATACAGCTTGTATTCAGATTTATTCAGCAGAAAGTTACCAGTTTATGAATTTATAATGAAGTGGGGAAATATGTAAATTATTTATTATTTATAATTAAACTTTGATAAACTAAAGATATTATGAGTTGCTGCGTTGCCAAGTGTTTAACATGTTGCCATGTATTTAAAACGTTGGACTAGTAATCTAAGGATTGTTATCTGCTTGGGTTTAGACCTGTTTGGAGCAAGCCATTGTTTCCTTGATTAAAATTTTTACACTCATTGCTTCGTACTGGTTGTTTCCGGGAACAGATTTGAGAGTGTTTCATTAAGCTTATAGCTTCCAACACAATCACACTAAAATAAATTTGTATAAACTAAACTAAATATAAACACTGTAACATTGAGTTATGATGTCACATATTTCATTGAACTAGTGATGTCAAGATTTTCATTAGAAAATTTCATTTACATACAAAAAAATAGTGCTTTTCATTTGACCAATTCAGCTCAGAATTGAGTATCATTTTGAGCTAATAAAATATATAATGTGTTATAAAAGTTTACCATATTAGAAGGGTTTTTTTTTTAGGCTCTCCAGAGGACTCTCAGTTTTTCATAGTTATCTTTCTTTTTAAAACTGGTAGAATTTTTAAAGCTTGATTGGTTTTCGAAGTATTTATTTCATTTATATAAGTTTTTTTCTTTTTAAATTCTCTAACATATTCTTTCTGATCATTGAAGTTCAGTGTTTTATTACAAAAGTATTGTGCACAACATGTGTGGATATAAATGTATCATGATAATTTATAGAATTTTTCAAAATTTGCAATTTTCCACATTGTTGCTTTAACATGTAGGAGCTTCCTAGAAGTAGAGGTGCCATTTTTTCCCAATTTGATTTTTTCATTTTTTATGAACAATTTTGCAACGTTTGGCAAGTTTTTTTCTGCAAGAGAGCCTTTATCATACAGCATCACCTTTCAACAGGAGTGGGCTGAAACATCTGTGATGAAAGCTTATCAGAATTACCTCAGTGCATCTTCCTATAGGGATTTTTTCTATTTTTTTAATAATGAACAATCAATTTTCTTTATGTGAATTAAACAAGAATGCAACTCTTACAGATAAAACAGATCCTGTGAGGTACCATAAAATTCCTATCAAACTAAATAAATAATAATAAAGAAAAATCCGCTCACCAGTGCTGGAGTAAATCCTTAATTTTATTCAAATCCCTCAGAATCATGTTTATATTATAGCAAACACAAAAATTTATCATATAAACTTTTACACAAATGCACTTGAATGTTATAACAAAAACATATTTATAATGATTTTAGGAAAAACTGTTTTTAAGAAACGGTTCACCCCCCCCCCCCCCCCCTTTGGAAAATGTTAGCCCCCCCCCCCCCAGGGGCGTTTAATAGGAATTTTCCTGTATTTCTGTTACCTGAGTGTTATGTTTGATAGGTCCTACAAAATTTAATGTTTTAATACAAAAAATGATATTGTTGCCATATGAATTTTCCACTTGTTATGCCCCCATTTCGAAGAAAAGGGGGTATATTGCTTTGCACTTGTCGGTCCGTTGGTCCGTCGGTCCGTAGACCAAATGGTTTCCGAGTGATAACTAAAGAACCCTTAGGCCTAGGAGTTTCAAACTTGGTATGGTGATTGGTCATGACCAGTAGATGACCCCTATTGATTTTTGGGGTCAAGGGGTCAAAGGTCAAGGGCACATTGACCTTGTAAGCAAAAACAGTTTCCGATCATTAACTAAAGAACCTTAAGGCCTAGGAACTTCAAACTTGGTATGGTGATTGTTCATGACCAGTAGATGACCCCTATTGATTTTGGGGTCAAGGGGTCAAAGGTCAAGGTCACATTGACCTTGTAAGCAAAAACGGTTTCCGATCAATAACTAAAGAACCTTAAGGCCTAGGAACTTCAAACTTGGTATGGTGATTGGTCATGACCAGTAGATGACCCCTATTGATTTTAGGGTCAAGGGGTCAAAGGTCAAGGGCACATTGACCTTGTAAGCAAAAACGGTTTCCGATCAATAACTAAAGAACCTTAAGGCCTAGGAACTTCAAACTTGGTATGGTGATTGGTCATGACCAGTAGATGACCCCTATTGATTTTGGGGTCAAGGGGTCAAAGGCACATTGACCTTGTAAGCAAAAACGGTTTCCGATCAATAACTAAAGAACTTTAAGGCCTAGGAACTTCAAACTTGGTATGGTGATTGGTCGTGATCATTAGATGACCCCTATTGATTTTGGGGTCAAGGGGTCAAAGGTCAAGGGCACATTGACCTTGTAAGCAAAAACGGTTTCCGATCAATAACTAAAGAACTTTAAGGCCTAGGAACTTCAAACTTGGTATGGTGATTGGTCATGATCAGAAGATGACCCCTTTTGATTTTGGGGTCAAGGGGTCAAAGGTCAAGGTCACATTGACGTTGTAAGCAAAAACGGTTTCCGATCAATAACTAAAGAACTTTAAGGCCTAGGAACTTCAAACTTGGTATGGTGATTGGTCATGATCAGCAGATGACCCCTATTGATTTTGGGGTCAAGGGGTCAAAGGTCAAGGTCATGTTGACCTCTTGGGTAAAAACGGTTTCTGATCAATAACAAAAGAACCCTTAGGCCTAGGAACTTCAAACTTGGTATGGTGATTGGTCATGACCAGCAGATGACCCCTATTGAGTTTTGGGTCAAGGGGTCAAAGGTCAAGGTCACATTGACCTTGTAAGTAAAATCGGTTTCTGATCAATAACTTAAGAACGCTTAGGACTAGGAACTTCAAACTTGGTATGGTGATTTGTCATGACCAGCAGATTACCCCTATTGATTTTGGGATCAAGGGGTCAAAGGTCAAGGTCACTTTGACATTGTAAGTAAAAACGGTTTCTGATCAATAACCTAAAGAACGCTTCGGCCTAGGAACTTCAAACTTGGCATGGTGATTGGTCATGACCAGCAGATGACCCCTATTGATTTTGGGGTCAAAGGTCAAGTTCACATTGACCTTGTATGTTAAAACGGTTTCCGATCAATAACTAAAGAACCATTAAGCCTAGGAACTTCAAACTTGGTATGGTGATTGGTCATGACCAGCAGATGACCTATTGATTTTGGGGTCAAGGGTTCAAAGGTCAAGGTCACATTGAACTTGTAGGTAAAAACGGTTTCCGATCAATAAACTAAAAACGCTTAGGCTTAAGAACTTCAAACTTTGTATGATGATTGGTCGTGACCAGCAGATGACCCCTATTGAGTTTTGGGTCAAGGGGTCAAAGGTTAAGGTCATGACCAGTAGATACTTGATAACCCTTATTAATTGTTTGATCACTGGGTCAAAAGTCAGCATAATAACCTTATCACATGACTAATTGGCTGCTGATAGGGGGCATACATGTTTTACAAACATATCTTGTTTTAAAAGAAGTTTGCATCCTTTATGTATATTGTTCCATGTTGTTTTCAGCATAACAAATAAAATTTCCCGTTAGCTCTACACCTTGTTTTATATATACAGATGCAAATGTTTTTATTAAATTTTATTTTCATCTTTATAACTTATAGATATCAATATATTAGACACCTGTGTACATGATTACACACCCCTGAAGAGCAAAAAATACCAACAGACAAGTCAGCAAAATTTTACTTCAAACCAAGACTGTGAATACTTGACCTTCAATGATAACTTGCAGAATGTTTGTCTTTGCAAAGATGAAACATTACCTCTCCACCAGCCTTCATTTTGAAACCAAGTGGTAAAGTACGAATCGCTTTCAGCTGTGGGTTTGAGTCCTGTAAGAATCAATGAATTCTTGCAGGTAGAGAAGTCAGCATAGCGGAGGTTGGTGTTTCTACTCAAGTGTCCATTCGGGTCAGAAATAACTAAGGGACCTTTGAAAAAATAGGCGGGATTGGATGTTTCTCCTACACTAGCTAGAAATTTAACATAACCTTTTTCAGTACTACATGGCTTCAAAGTTGGTGGCTTTAAACTATCAAAAGTGTTATGTCTGGTTGTTCCAATGAATTTCAAACACCATTGCACATGTATTAATTTATTTCTGTCTTACAAGACTTAGTGAGCACCTGAAAAAAAAAGAACCACATCATTTATAAGATTTAACCTTCAGGGGATTCTACATAATAAATAAGATCAGGTTCTTGGGACTTGAGAATGATAGTTTATATATACATTTGTTTATTGCGTTATTTTAATCATCTGGGACCAACATGTTATTTTTGACCCAAGAAATCACGAATATCGTGATTTAACCTTTTCCCACATATAAGCGTGTTTTGGCGGCTTTTTGCTCCCCCCCCCCCTTTTTTTAGGCCTCAAACAGTGAAAAAATGCCCTATTTAGGCCCCAACACTGTTTTTTCGTTTGAGAAATGTTGTTAAAAAAGTGACCACTTTTTCGGCGCCGTCTCCCGTCCAAATGTTACATCAGGGGGTTGCCAGAAGGGGGGGGGGGGTTTGAAGGGACGGCAGTCCCCCTCATCGCCAAGAAAATTTTAGACATGTGACAGGCTTAAATTGGCCTTAGGTCGATCTTAAGGTAACTAGTAACCGACGCTGAAAAGCCTTTTACTCTATCTCAATTCATTGAGAAGTTGCAGCACTTTGAAATCAGTTTTGATGGGAAAAAACGATGCAAAAGAGTGATTTTTGGCAATTTTGAGACGTCCCCCCGTTGCCATGGTAACAGGAAATTTACGATTAAGCATGCTGTTACAGAGGCTATGGTCTAGTCAATATGTGTGTCAAGTTTCATCAGTATTGAAGCATTTTTCATAGTAGGTTGAACTTGCTACAGGAGGCGGCCATTTTTCGCAATATGCTCATGGGGTAAAAGGTTAAAACTTTTTTGAACATCTAGATATCTAGAAAAGATTATCTTTTCTTCAGAGCTTACTGTAATTTTTCTTGATAGTCATATTCATACATTCATCTGTTATTTAGTTTATTTTATAGCGTATGAACGATCGCTTGCCCTATCTGTTTGGGTTAATGTTCGTGAAGTTAGCCGGAACAGCCGGAACAAATTTTTGTCTAGTCCGGCTCTTCCGGCTTCTCCGGCTAGCCGTTATATAAACTTGCAACTGTGGACACTGGGTCATATAACCTGGTTATTGTAAGCCCATTAATATAATATCCTTACATTATATTATTTTGTCAAAATCTGTCGTACACTCGCACATTTTGGACTAGCTGCTCCATAGAAACAACTTGTTTTGATAGAACGTACTATGTATACATGTCACATTGAAAGTGTCGGTATACTTATAGCAGACTCTTGCGAGCATAATATTATTTTAATCAACGAGTTAAATAAATTCAGTAATGAACATACACCAATATCTTATTTTATTTATCACATATTCAAAATAAAGACTGTTTACAATGAAAAAGAACCACTTTTCACCGACACGCATATAGTGTCTATATATAACGCAAATGACGTCAAGTCAAAATATATGCACGGCCGTGCAATACCGTCTTTACGGAGTCGCAAAAGCGGCACGGGTGTGTGATAAAAACAGGATATTTAATATTCTAGATAAAGGAGTAAACTAGCAATATAGATCTACATATATTTAGAAAGTTTATGTACAATTCTTAAACCTGAATGTGCGTCCTTTGCTTTTGTATCACCGGAATGTCGAGTTTTCTTCATAGAGTTTTTCCCTTTCTTCGGATTGCATGAGACATAGCGTCTGTCAGGGCAGTTGCAGGTAATCGCATACATATTTAAAATTGATTTTATGATTTTTTAAGACATGCGATGCGTGTATAATTAAGTAAAAATAGTATTCAAGAAATGTTACAACTAAACTTAAGGTTTTATTTATTTTTCTTTTGAGCAGGTAAGTATCCGGCGCTGCTTAATTTCTCCAATTTTCAAGTATATCTAGAGGAATTCATATAACTTGCAAATCACATGACATCGTCATTTTAGTCTTCTTCAATATTAATTAAAGCGGGAAACAGCAGACGACAGTTATGACGTAAACACTTATTTTTTATCAAACGACGTCATAACGTAATTTGTTGACAAGATGTCGTCGGCAAAAAATGCATTGATTGAAAATACTGACAATGAACAGGGAGTAGATTCTGAGAGAAGAGAAAACATCTTTCGAAAAGATACCAAATATTCATGGTTTGTCTGTTCCTGCGCTTTCTTCACCCAGATATTTGTACTCGGTGTTTTACACGCTTTTGGTGTCTTTTTTGTCGAATTTGTGAAGGAATTCAATGCTTCTAAAGGATCTACAGGTAATCTTCGAAAGACATGCACTCACTGATTTTCATGAAAATTAGTCTGCACAGTCACAATTTTTAATATTCTTACTGTCTTTCATTAACTGAACATTTATTTAAAGCGTCACATATTCTCATGCTACTTTACAGACCATAGGTGCCTGACGTCTGATATCCCCTTCATATTCAATACTGTGCACAGTATTCTTGTTCTTTTTGGGTCGCTGCGCTTGCGCAAAGCGAGCCAAAGTTATAAGCTACATCTCAGGCTTACTGCGAACCGAATTTCGGCTGAATTATACATGCACGTAGTAAATAGTTCCATATTGTCGGTAACAAGTTAGAAAATCCGTACCTTCATTCATTACAGGAGGGTTATCATACATTTTGAAATGTATTATGATAACGAAAAATTACAGTAAATTTGTGCTGTGGTACAGAAAAAATATCAATGCGCGATTGAATCACGTGACAGGTCACTGAGGTCAGCCATGCTTCTTCCACAGCTTGATTCGACTTTCGTTATTTGATACAGACATCCAGGATATTTTGAAGAAATTGTAAGTTCTTGAGTAATTTTGACAGTTTACCTCGATTAAATAAGAAAGATTTTATGAAACTGAACCACCAGTGAGATTAATTTTTGAAGATTAATTTGTTTATAAATAAAAATTGTCGGTAACAGGGTAACGATTCGCCACAGTGACGATTCGTCCGAATTTAGTGACGATTCGCCCCACCTAAAATTAACAAAATTTTTTAAAATACATTTGGACCTGAAAAAATATTTAAGGTTTGGGTATTTTTGGAATTTGTTTGGTATATCCTTTATATTTAATAGATAACAGATAAAGGTTTAACAGAACTAACAGTATAATAATAAATTATTGAATTAATCTGGATTCTCATTTGTATCAATAATATATTATGATATTTAATATAACTTTCAGAGTTTTAATAAATAAACTAGATAATAGATTGATGTAATAGATAAGTATGATAATATATTGATTTTATTTACTCATAGATATTCGTTTCTACAAGCAGATTGTCATACATTGTATTTTTCTATAGTTCTATTGGCCATGGTATTTGTCGCATGACATTATATAATGGCAGATTGGTGAATCAAAAATTATTGTTTATGTTTACAATGCATATCATAGAGGAAAAATAGAATCCCTTAAGAACACCCAAAATGACACAATTGAAAAATGTTTGCAGGTTCGGTTTGTTTGAGGCTAAACAGTACTGGAAAATGAAAGTTACTGTCCTTGCCCCCCTAGCACATACTGGCTTTAAGGCCCATTATGCCCCAGAAATGATTTTAATTTATTTCTCAAAAGCCTGTTATTGGTGGCCTGTTATAACTTCCAAAAAGTTACTCAATGGGCAATTATCTGAACCAACTTTTGCCTCAGCTGTTGCTTTTTAGCAATCAGTATAGTTAAAGTGATTTAGTATTTTGTATGGAAGTCAAAAAACTACTTTGTTTACATGCAAACAGTAAGGCCTTACATGTAGTAAGTCTGTCCTAGAGGAGGTGTCTGATTATTCTTTAGGCTTCAGTTCTCACACTGACACTAACTGAGTTCAAATATTTTGCAAATTCAGTTTTTATAGTCTAAATTACTCTAATTATTGAAATATCTAAACCAAAGTTTTTGAAAAACGCAGAAAAAAATACACAGAATCTTGAAGAACAGTATCCTTTTTTGTTCAGTTCCCCCATTCTTTTTTTCATTAAGGGAACACACATTGTATTCTTTGGGAATCATACGCCACTTTTCATGGAATGGCACTAACATGTCACATTGGAGGTTCCATGATCACTGCCATAAAAATACACCTGCTAATGTTTCTAATTTAAAAAATTTACCATTACATGTTTAAATGTTGAATACTGCTTAACCTAATGCTATTGGGGTGTGAACAGTAGCATGCACTTTCCAGTACTATCCATAAACTGGCTCAATCAAACTGAGTCTGCAGCATTTTCAATATTGCTATTTTGGATTTTTTTTTAGAATTTCTGTTTCTCTTTATGTACATAATTACCTAGTATTAAGCTTTAAATGAGCGAATAAAGAGACCACTTAGGACAAACACACATGCAAACAACTGGATTTTATTTATTTTGCTCAAGCCCTGTCACTCAGTCATATTTACCTGTGTATTTAAAGAAAGATTCTACAACTAGATTTTTTTAGAAGGTAATTCCTGATCCAGAAGTGTTCTCCCACAAACAAGTGCGTGGTTCCCCATTCTGCTCTATGCTAGTGCATACAAAAACGGACGATAGTACTTAGACTGTGTATCATATAACACTTTATTTACATGATGATTAGGGGGATTTTCTAATAATATGAAAAAATTGTTGATATAAGAAAATATATATATATATATGAAATTAAATTGATAACGTCATGGGATTTGACTGATTAATTTCACAAATAATCATTGTATATTATAAACATGAATGATATTGTCTGAATGGTTAAGGTCAACATTTTACTTGCTTCTGATTTGTCCCAATAGTTTGATGCATTGACCTGTTTTGAGTTGGTATATATACATGTACATGATGTAGCTGATTTGACTATTAAGCCAAATGATTTAGATAACTTTAAGTTGGGAATGCTTTATTGTTGATATGAAAATCATATGAATGTTAAATAAGAAATGCATTTATTTCAGGTGTGTGATATAATAAACTGTTGTGTGAGGTTTTAAATGTGACATGGTCAAGAATACTATGATAGTATTGTTCAGTGTAAGTTCTCTTTAAATGTTTGTTTATATAAGAAAAACCCACATTTATTTTATTGAGCTCTGGAAAATTTGAAACACATATTTGACTTAGTAGTCAAATTTAAGAACAACACTACTGTCATGGAAGTATTTCCTGTACAAAAGCAGTATATACCAGCTTTTTTTGCAATAAATGCTGTTGTTTTTCCTTGTGTCCAGAATGATATGCACATACTATTAAGAAATATATTCAGAAATACATTGAAAATTGTATATTTGTGCTATTCTAATTCTATTCTTTCCAATACATGTATGAATCAAAAGCACTGTTCATTTTTGGGACATTTTACACTATTCAAGTAATCATTCTGGGAAAACAGAGCGAGTGCATGATCTGAAATTTTTGCATATAGGTTTTTTGCCAAGATCTACATCAAATAGAATATCAAAATTATCAATCTTGAAATATTATTTCCATTCTGGTCATGTCAAAAGCCTCAGTGGAGTCCCTTTAAGTAATTCATATATGACATTTACCTTTAGATGACTGACCATCATGGTCAAATACTGAATTTAACTTATTGTCATATTGTTAATATTTATTTGTTTTGTGTTCGCATATTAATTTATAAGAAGAATTCCTTGAAAAATATTTACCTCATTTTGACTGGAAAAGTACATATATTATAACAACCTTAGCTAAAGGTAGTAATAAGAGTATGAGTCTGAAGTTTACAATATTTATGATTTCTCTTTGGTTACAGAGAGAAACAGTTTTTCTTTTTGTATCTTATTATATTGAAAAATGTATAATTTGCTGTCAAGTTGTGTGTTACTAAATGTGTAGTACATTTTACATTATCTTCTGTTCTTAGTAATTAATCTAGTAGAGTAAGTGTATAGGTAAAAGAATCTCTGGTAAAAAATATTGAAAATCTTAAAAGCACATATAATGTGTCAAAGATAAATAATTTTGTAATTCTTTAGAAAGGTCAAATATGTGTTCAATTATGTTTTAATGATGTATTTAGAGCATTTTAAATGTTTTAACAACTGAAAAGAGTAACACTGAACAAACAGTCATGTGTTGTAAAGGTAGCAAAATGTGAGCAAAGTATTATTTTGACTTACATACAAAATACTGAATTAATGTAATTATACCAATTGCCAGATAACTTATCTACATGTACATGGTCAATGAGTACATGTAACTATTTGAGAACTGCAACAAGATATGTAAAAGGAAAGTTTGAAAAATAAAAATGTTATCTTTTCTAAGGCTTAATGGACCTTTAAAAAGTTATTATTTAATATATATTTAATGCAGATATCATATGTGCAGAAAAAATTGTGGTAAAATGATATAACTTGCTTTGTTTAATACTGATTACTTGTGCATGATCTTTAATATATTATAAGACATTAAATTTTGTTTTGCTTTTTTTTAGGTGACTTCTGTCATGTTACTGTTTGATAACAGTGAAGGTACAGTACATGTAGGTTCAGACAAGTTATATACATGTATACAGGACAAGATAGCTCAAACTGGTAGTTTGTTATAGCAAAAAGTGATGAAGTTTCAGCCATGAAGTCTTCATCGTGATGATGATCATCATGATCCTATTTATAGATTCTTTGCAATTATCTGTAAGGAAGAGGTTTCTGCTGCAGAGAAAGAAAAAAATTCATACAGGTTTGTCATTTTTTCAAATAATAAATTTAGGTCTGTTGTTGATTGCATGTACATTAAAGGTCTTTCCTTATCATAAGGTTCTAAGGTTTGTCATCTTGTGGTAATTACTGATCCCTTAGTAATTAATTACAGTCATCAAACTTTTTAAACATGTTTACTGTAATCACTTGTTGCATGGTGCATATGCCTGAAGCCTAGGATTTTTGTGACAAATATCATCATGTTTTACTATTAGATTATGTGGAAAAATGATTAATAAATGAATTATAGTTTTAAGGGTTTTTCCAAATTTTCAACTTGCACCGATGTTGTTGTATATCAGGGTTTTACTTTCTAATGTTTGACTGATATCATTGCAGACCTTTACTAATTCAAAATCATGACAAAGTATTTAAAATTAAAATTTTCCTTTCCAGAATTACATTAATTCATTGTAGGACTAGTAATCATACAAAAAAATTATATATTACTGTAAACATGTTACACTAGAAAATTAAAAAATTGAAATGTATGCTCATAGTGAAATGATCCATTCAAAAGTTAAATTTTCAATTATTTTTCTGAAAAAACAATAACAGATTATGCCCTGCTTCTAGTTTCTTGTATTTGAACAAATTATGCTGTTTAATTGTTTTACTAAACCTTGCTCTCCACTTTGCAGTAAGAAGTTGCCCACTCTGTTCAAATGAAGCTGTCTGAAGTACCAAGTAGAACAATGTATTATTTCTGGAACAACTTAATTGAAGTGAAGCTTACTATGTGAAGGAGTTATTTCTGTATTCAAAAGGAAACTTCAGCATACAGAATACCAATTTAGGTATAGTACACTTTAAATTTTTACTGTTATCCATCTAAAGAAAGCATGAGATACAAAAATAAGCGATAATAATTATTTTCCTGACACCAGAATACACTATGGTTCTGCTTGCAGTTAGAAGTGATGTTCTATTCTTGTACAGCAGCATTAATTGAAACCAATATTTGTCCTATCATTTAATTGAAAGTAATTGACAATATTCTTGTTTGTTTTTCAGCAGCATTTGTAAAGTTAATTAAGTCGGTATATCACACCATCCATTGCTTTTGATTTTCTTGTGACCAGAAACTAGCATTTTACATAGTGGTGTAAGCTTTCTATGATCATTCATGCAAAGATATGATAAAGATATATATATATATATAATATATATAAGAAATATGTCTTCGATTTTACTGGTAAATTGTTATGTATGGAGCACATTGTCTTTATGATGTTGAATATATTCAGTGCCAGATAAACAATTACTTGCAACATGACAAATATATTTTATTTTCAGATATTTGTAGCTTCAGTTATGGGAGTACACAAGATTAATTGAACTGGAATCCCTTCAGACGTTGACATAGCTAAATTTCGCAGTTTCAACTATAAATGGACATTAAATTAATATACATTGGTTTTATTTTATACATGTATTTGTTAATATTTTTGTTTTCCATTATTTCCCAATATTGTTAATTTTGGATAATATAATGCCACAGAAAACTTGTCGGTCTTGGAGTATGGCTGTTTAACAAAAACACTACAGAGTGTTCGTCAGAACAATGAAATTACAGTTTTGCTTGTTAATGAACTAATTTACATAAATATATAATTTTTGTAAGTATGAAGAAATTTGGAACATATCATATAATGGGTATTTGTTTCTTTTGCATGCAAGATCCAAATATATTTCATAGAGTGAACAGCAGATTTAATATTTTCATGAATGGCATTGAAAAAACATATACAATGTATAACTTTGGCACAATGTTGGTAAATGGAGGCTGCTATTTTACTGTGACTGAAAGTAGTTCAGATATGACACCTTATTATGTCCGAGGTCTATAGCCCATCATACAAGCCAAAGAGAGCAGATTTTTTTTTTTTCTGTGTAGAATCATTAATTTCAATGTTCAGATTTGAAAGTGATTCTGTCATATTTTCCTGAATTTGTTTAATTTCCTTCAATGATTTGCAAATATTAATTATCTACTTTTTTATTTATCACATTTTTCTGAGAAATAAATGTATTTCCCACAAAATTTCTGTTTGTTTATAGGCTTTTCATCCTCATTCAAATAAGGGTCTGGCTACTTTTGAAATTATACTTTATTGTGAAATAATCTAAAAGTAATGTCATTTTTTACTGAAAGCATGTTATAAGTTATGGTGTTCAATTGATTTCTGCAGGACAACTTATGAAGGAAATGAAGTGAGTTGACATTTGCCATGTTAGTATCAAAAGGCAGATTTAGTTTCAATAAATTATTTTTGATGCTGTTATGCCCCTTTTTAGCTCGACTTTTTTTTTTAAAAAATAGAGGTATTGTTACAGTCATGGCATTGCCGAGGTCATCCACAAGCTTATACTTTGATCATTACTTTTTAGCTCACCTGAGCACAACGTGCTCATGGTGAACTATTGTGATCCCCCACCATCAGTTGTCGTGGGTCGTCAAAAATTTCTTTAAACAAATCTCCTCCGAAACCAAAGACTGCACAGTAATAAAACTTTGCAGGAATGACCCTACAGTTAGTGCCCTTAATTACTTTTGTCCAGTGCATAACTTGAAAACTAGTACATGTAGTTTGAATTCAATACAAATTCATACAATGGTCAAGCGAAATGAGAGAAAGTGCAGTGTACAATAACCATTACTCAATCTGCAGTATTTATAGAGTTATTGATCTTTTTCCTTGTCTTTCTGGACTTATTATAGAGTAATTCAATAAAACTTCATCAATGGTCAACCACATTGAAAGGAAATGCAACATACAAGAACCACAACTTACTATCTTTAATTGCCCACAAACATAACTCTATTTCAATTCTTTTACAAGGTATTCTGTTACATCCTAATGTCCAAAGCAGTCTTGTGGGGGTATTAATCACATTTAGTGATAGTTCTAGTTTTAACTAATCATACTTTACTTATTGTTTTGTGAGAATTTCATGAATCTCTCTGGATGAAATTGTGACTTTGATAAGTCATGTATTCACAATCACTGAAAGTTTATCCCTGATGGAACACTTATTACTAGTATGCATAGAAACAAAGATTTTTCAACCATTTTCTTTTCGAGTTGTTTGAACACTATCCAGTCTATATGCACATGGGTTGATGATAACTTGAATATCAGATTGATAATAACTATAATCCCCAAGAATGAGCATGTTTTTCATATGCCTTATAAGTAGATGAAATTATCAATGCTTAGTCATTGTTAATAGAGGACTTGGTTATCTACTTCCAGCTTCTGCTTCTGTCAGTAGTGTACTCTTAAAATTTATCCAATTTAAAGTATTATTTTGAGGATATAAAGCAATTTGGTTTTTCGATCTCAACTGAACCACTTGAGAAAAAGTACTGGTTTTTAGTACTTTTGATAAACCGTGTTGTAATTGTTGGATGTCAATGATAAATCTCCCTGAATAAAATCATATGGCAAAATATTGCACTTTCCTTTGTACTCAGTCATTTCCACTTGAATATGACTTGACCCTTTAAAAAAAGTTGCAAAAGGACAGGAAATTTGGCCTTTCAAGTGATCACCAGCAATATAATGTCATATAAATTTGTCAGCGCAAGCGACCCTCCAGTGCTTTCAGTGCTTTGATTACAACCTGTGTTCCTTATACACATGTATATGTATACGGGTAGGTTAGGGTGTGTGTGTTAGACGTCATGCACTTGTGGTACAGACAAAGCAAATTTGTGATGATTTGAATTGGTGTCAGGTTTCGTGACTGCTATAAAAATTGTAATATTTTTCTTAAATTTGAAATTTTCTCCAACATAAAATATCTCCATATGCTACATGGATTTTAATTGGACAGAGAGGAAATAAGTTCAAGTGAAATATGAAAGTTTCTTCAAATGAAGGATTTCAAAAGAACCATTTTATTCTTCGCTTCGACAAAGTAAGACGTAAACTATGAGCTACCGGGTCAAAATTCCGGATGTCCACCGTGCACGTGCAGATTAAATCATGGATAATCACGCTAATGATTTTGTTTTCTCTTCACTTGGAAAATCATTTATATATACTTCATATAAATGTCTGGGTTTGACTTCAGGTAAGATATATCTTTATGTTTGATGTAGATTTGCTCATTTACTAGTAAAATGAATAAAAAAGAAGGGGATTTTTTATGATTCCGAAAATTTCTAGTACTTGGAAGAAGATCAGTGGAATGTGTAAACCATTTATACAGACAACTTGGAACAGCAACCTTCAATATGTACTTTCAACTTTTTGAATTTCGAAAATGCGGAAAACGAAGCAAACAAGCCCAGACATTTATGTGATTTTTAACCTAGCACTAACTTGTCATAGTCGTTCTCCTGAAACTTCTCGTATTTTCTTAAATGGATTATTACTTTTCTAAGATTCGTCTTAATATTGTTAGAGATAATGAAGTATTTGTTTGATTCAATGGTTTCAGCATATGATCTAAAGTTTTTATAAATTTTATAAACATTTCAGAGGGGATGGGGTTTTTTAGCTAGGGCCCTTTCTATACTTTTCGTCCGTCAAGTCATTTGTTGACCAGTTTTAGCTACAGCAGGTTTATGATGGCGGGGGCGTTTTATTGTGATATCACTTTTTTTCTCGTCATTTGTATCCTCCGTGAGATTGTTATATTTTACCTTCTCTCTGTTCTACGGCATCGGAACCTGCATGTGCACGGCACCAACAATGACTATAACACCCGAGTATTTCGACAAGTATATGAGTATAGCTACGGGGATAACAGTTTCTGGCAGTAGCTTTGGAACGCTGATCATGGGACCGCTTTCACAGTTTATCATAGACAAAGCGGGCTGGAGGACGGCGTTCCGTGTATACGCCGGGCTTATCGTCATCACGATTTTGCTCAACTCGAGAATCAGGGCGCCCCCGACTGTTACCAAGCGAAAGCTTGAGGGTCGTAGCTTCATTAAAGACCTTGAGATCTGGAAGAATAGGGTGTTTGTAGTTTGGACAATTGCAATAACGCTGGTCATGTTTGGTTTCTACATACCCTATGTACATTTGGTAAATATCTTTTCTTATCTTATGACGGTGTTAAATACATGTACTTTATTATATACTTATGCATGAAATATTTAGAAAAAACGATGAAATGAAAATGCGTATTTTTATTTTCCATATTTTCACTGTAAAACATTATTTTTCATATTTTCCGTATTCACTGGTGTCTTGCCGGACTACTTTCTTCTAAATTCAGCCAATACTGTATATAAAATTAAAAGGAAATTCCTATTCATAAGGTTAAAATAGAGAAAAGGTTTTTAATAAACAGAAAATTCAAGTTATTTCTATAAATATAGGATTGATTTTCATCTTGTGGTATGAATATTATCATATTTCACGGGTGGCTATACTGCCATTCGTGAAATATCTATTTTCATACCAGTCGATGAAAATAAATCCTGTATTAATAGAAAAAACTTGAATATCCTCTATCTATTGACCAATTCATCTGTTATTTTGTGTCAGTTATCATATATGTTGTATAAACGGAAAGAAATCATAAATTCAGATATAAAAGGGTTATTTATCATTATAAAATTAGAAATAATGTGTGCTGTTTGAATATCCGGTCAGTTGTATTAATTTTGATGATATCTTCACACACGCAGTTAATGTAAAATTTGTTGCAGTCCATTTTCTTTGATTATGGTGACGCAAATTTCACATAAGATACATTTGCAGGTTTCATACGCGGTCGATCAAGGTATTTCACCAGACTCAGCATCCTTTCTAATGATGATTCTTGGAGCAACTACGGCAGTAGGCCGTATCATGTTCGGAAAAATTGTGCAGCTCGGAATACTGAAACGTCTTCATATGCATCAGTTGTCTATGGTTGTCACTGGCACGGGGGTAATGATGTTACCACTCATTACATCTTACACAGGTTTGTAATATTTTTTATTAGTAATAGGTCTTTTCAAATTTTAAATTAAGCCTAATTCATGAACAGTTAGGCACTAAAACTAATCATGCACGTTTGCTGATGTATCAGATTTGAACCACTATGTCGAACTATGTAGGAATAGAGGTTAATTGACCTTTTTCCGTGTATTAACATCTGCAAAAGCACAGGGATTCATTTGAAACCTGAGCATTCAGAGACACTTTAAAACTTATCATACGTTTTGTTTGTAGGTCAATATTTCGAACTAAGACACCAATATAGATACTGTTTATACTTAATTCAAAATGCGCCTTTCGCTCTTTTGAATTGCCTGTAAGGCCAAGATGTGTACCATCTTTGATGGGCAGTCCTAGACCAACTTCATTGATTATACAGTCAGGCCACTTGCCAAGTTTGTTATTATATTGTACTTAAGAAAATGGATATGTGTATTTCAAAATTCCAATGGTAACACTGGGTGACTACAAATCCAGGGACTGTCAGTTCGAATACCATATATTCCAATTAAAATTAGTATTCAAATTATTCAAAACAGACTTAAAAACTACAGGGTTCTTAGCAGTTGTTTCTCCCGTCTGTATCCTTCGTATTATCTTAAAAATTAACGTAAATCACACGTAACATTATTGTTATATGTTTTATATTGCTTATATCAATTATACACTCGGCCGCCACTTTTTAGGAAGAGTGAACAAAAAAGAGATTAGGGGAAACTAAAGGCGGGTGGCTGAATGACCATTGCTTTGACGTTTCATCTGTTCCTTTTATGCCGGGACAATGCGCTGTCTTCTTGACGCCAAAAAGACCGTGCAATCGCTTCGCGGGTTTATAGTTTCTTTCTTTCCCCGCAGAACGTTAATTGTTTTAACCAGGTATTTGAAAATTCAATAGTCAAAAGTCTCCGCTATTCTACTTGATGGGGCCTTGAACTCAATTGACTGGTGATACTGTTGCATAAAAATGCCGTTTTCAATATGACGTATAACATTTCACTTTCCAGGGATAGTTCTATACGTTATAACGGTAGGGCTTGTTGATGGGTGTTTTGTGGTACTTCTACCAATTATGACCGCATCACTGATAGGAATAGAAAAGAGTGTGGTAGCCTGGGGATTCCTGATAGGGACATGCTCGATTACATTCACACTGGGTCCTCCAGTTGCAGGTAAACGTTTAATCCTTAACCTAAGGATGTTGTGTTATGGATTTCTCCAGCTATGAATTTGGAACAGTCCATTAAATGATCGATTACAGTATGAAATCAAGAAAAGAGCCAGGTCTGAACGCACAGATGTACAATCTCGCCTGGCTCTACTGTATATATTGATGGCAATTTTAAGCTAATTATTTTCGGTTTCAGCGGGTTATAATAATAATAATAATAATAATATCTTTATTTAAAGAAGGTTACACATTAAGAACATACAATAACAATCATATATATCTTATTTCCAAAGTGGCCTTCTGAAAAAGAAAACAACAACAACAACAACAACAGGACATTCATAGGTAGAAAAATGAATATATATTGTGCACAACTGTACCTGTACTTATATATGTCCAGCATCTATGCATTTATTACATGCCTTTCAGTAGATTGCTAAAATAAATTTTTAACAGTAATAAGAATATTAACGAAAGTTAACAGATTTTGAATGTCAAAAGTTGTTTTCTTGTGAAGAACTTCTATAACTTTGATGGCGGGAAACTTACTGAGATGTAAAAGCGACCTTGCGACTTCCGCTAGGTATGCCGTAAGGGTATATATACCCCTCATATATTCAACAAAGGACTTATGATGCTATATAAAGACTTCAATTCTTGTCATTTATGTTAATCTATTAAAATACAGGCACAGTATGATGTCACCGAATATTAAGCAGGCATATATTATTAGTTATAAAGATTTTTGAAAAGTTATATGGCCCTTTGTAAACGGTTGTTTGTTCATATAACTAGAGCTGCCATGCGAGGGTTACATTGCAAACAATCGTTTATATACGGCCATATAACCTGTCAGGAATCATAATTCAGCAAACTTCATTTTTTCAGAGGAAAAAATGTAATTTCTTCAAAAATTGTATATAAAACTATATAAACATAATGATTATCCAATGAAAAGAGACCTTTAAAACGTGCATTATTATAAAATACAAGTATATTTTCAAGCTTGCAGAACACTTACAAAGCTGAGGTTACAGACACGCAAACATTTTAATTTTTGTATCTAACATACATGTTCATGTACCGTTTTATTTATTTTAACTTATGCATAAAACAAAAAAGTATAGTATACTGGTTCATTTGTTTTGTACACAAGCATTTTTTTACTTATAAAATATTGTTCTCCGATTGATGTACTGCCCATATCCAACAACTGATAAGCACAGTTGCTATGTTTGAAGAGCCAGTTTTATTTCTCTTTGCAGGGGCTCTGTACGATTTAACAGGTTCGTACAACATTGCGTTTCATTGTGCTGGAATACCAATCGTGCTGGGGTCCGTTATACTGTTTCTTATCCCATGGGCTCAGCGTACATCTAAAGGAACATATGGTCTAGGTGCCCTTACTGAAATCACGTTACAAGCCTCCAGTCAAGATGGCCCGAGTAGTGTATTCCGTACAGATAGCGGAGGTACCATTTGTGGAGATGAAAAAATCGTGAAATCCGTGCACATAGGCTCAATAAATGCAGCTGTACAGACGGTGATCTCTACCCCAGTCAGCACGATGTATTATTCAGGTAATGATAGGTGGAGACTGAAATATTTTTAGGAATTTAGAATGAAACATTCATGTGATTTTAGAATTAAACATAATCTAGCATAAAATAAATATACAGGGATTTAGTACGTGATATACAGGTACAGGAATTTTGAAGGAAATATGCCAGTACAATAGCCTTTTAGGTATAATACAAAAGGTATAATAAAATCTCCCCTTTTTCCAGATGGTTAAAGCATAGTCTAGCTTATCTCAGCAAAACAAAAACTGCAGCATAGCATACACTTTATTCTTCTTAGCATATATCTAACATTGCACTCTTGAAAAAAAAATGGAAATTTTCTTTTCTTAGTGAGATATATTCCATATTATGTATATAAAAAAAACTAAAACAAAACAAATATCCTCTCTACATAAAATAACAACATCCCAGTAGTCTTTTCACCAAAAATGATTGCACTATCAAAATTGTGAAATCATACGCATACGTTTAACAACCTGAACTCAGTTCAATCCTTAAAAAGACAATCGGAGTAATTTACATAGAAATGAAGTTTTTTCATTGTGATTATCCTAGGTATTTGATATATAAGACTGATTTTAATTACTGGTCCTTATTCAAACTTATCAATTTTTATATAAAAAATGCCAAAATGTTAGTGTATTTACGGCACTGTGATGCATACATTATCTATCTTTGTGGGAAATTTTGAAACTAACCTTTCAGAAACTCTTGTTACAATGAAAATGTTGAATATTTTAGATAAGTCAACATCTACAGATGATGTATCAATAAACAAGATATCTTTTGATTTGTCTGATGCTGTCTCACAACTCAGTTACAATAGTCCTGTATTTGATGATAGATTGCTTCAATCTTTGAGTAGTGGTCAAAGCCAGCGAGCCTCTTCAAATGATTCAAATGAGGTAAGTTACTTCTCATCATAATTAAGGTAAACTTCACACTTTATGGAGTAGATTTTGGATAACTTCCCATCTTACCGCCAACGTTGAAGTTCATATAACAGGGACGTCCTTGGCTGAGTGTGGAAATGGTTAAGGTCATTGACTTCCAGTCATCTACCCCTCAATGTTTTAGGTTTAAATCCCATAAGGGAATTTAAATGCCTTTCGCGTGAGCTATCCAGCTAGCTTACGGACTTCTCAAGTGTCCGGTGGTGCCTAACATTATGCACAGATGGGCACTTGAGGTCTTTCTCAACTTGTAAAGCTTGAATGTCGCCATTTGACCTTTTAAATTGTCAGTGTGACTTAAAATCCAAAGCAAACAAACACAATCTGTATAAAGACAAGTTATCAATTCCTTCCGTTACAGATGAGACTAACAACCTAACTTATAGTAGAACTACACAGACTGAAATGTTTGGCTGACTGGTACAAATATAACTGTTTATTGGAGTAATCAATTGGCCATACTTAACAGAAACCCAAGAGCCTTTGACGACAGCCAGTGTGTGATTCATCTTCTTGCATATTTTATATAACAATTATAATAATTCTAGTTTAAAAAGAAATTTCGAAAACTAATTTTCCTATCTAGCACTTAGTGTGGGTTAAGTTGGCAACTTGAGTGCGTTTTATGACATCATTCCTCAATGTACTATAATGACAATTTTACCACTTATTTTCTTAATTCCAGATACCAAAGATCCCTCCTCCATCTGAACAAGCCCATCATCATCGTCATACAAGAGACAGACATGACATGATGGGCGCGTCTGTCAAACCAATCAAAAGTGAAATTAATGAGATCCTCGACGAACATGGACATCCCCACAACATAATAATATCCGGTTCTATGACATCAGAGCAGAGTTTCACTCATTCATTGTCTACTTCAGAACATTTTGAAAGAAGCTCGTCATTTCGGCAAATGGATGGTAATTCCGTTTACTTAGATCAAAATATTCTTCAAGCTGGAGCCATCTCTTCACATTCAATTCTCTCAGATTCTATAAATAGCTCTGTTCCATCCTCAAGTCATTTATTTCCATTGCCGGTTGATCCGCTAAAACCTACAAGAGCAAAACAACCGAGCCCAAGACAAGGCTCAGTGTGTAGCAACCAGTCGGTCGCAGACGATAATATCTCTAAAAAACCCAGTAACTTTGATCAGACAATTTCAGACCAGGTTAACATGCTAAGAGACACTTTAAAAAGTCCTTCTCCAGGTTCAAGTAAAATGGAAGAAGCAGAACTCGAATTTAATCTTGTGGCGGGTAGTCCAAGGCCAGAGGATCTTTCAACTTCAGAAAAATGTTTGTCCCCTTCTTTGAAAAAGCCACAAGCAATAGCCGGGCCATCAAACCCATTCCTAGAGGCAGAAACTGCCCGGTCTGGAAGTGCAACAATCCAGCTTATTGAGGAAGCCATGCAAGCAAATGACATCAAAGAAAGTGACAGTTCTGAACATTCATATGCAAGCAGTACACAAATGAACAGTGACACATTTAACAGTGATAATCAATTAACAGTTATACCTGCTAAGAATCCATTCACAACACACAAATCTAGCCAGAGTCGTTCAAAACTTGCAGAATTATTTAAACCAATCGCTGAAGATGACATTGTTCAGAAGAAAGCATCGTATGAAGTGCTTGATACAGAGTCTGGAGATCAGGTTCAAGAAACCTCTAGTCAAACTGGTGAGTTGGACGTGTTCACTCATTTATTTCAAGATGAAGAAACACAATAGAAGATATGTAACGGAGTTGAGCAAAGAAGCCAAAGGTAGAACAAAGAAGCCCAATAAGAGCCTGGAAAACTGGAAGCACATGTGAAAGAGACACAATCTACAAAGTTCACAATGCTCTAGGAATTAACCATGAAAACAATAATTGTTTCATCTATAGTCGATAAAAAAGTATTCTAGATTATGTATATGTATTTTGTTTAGCGCTGATTTCTCACATGTGCAGCATATGATTTCTCACATCATACTTCCAATACTGGTACTTTGATATAGCTATTTCTCAGCATTATGACTGATTAGTGGTGGGACACCAGGGTCTTACAAAAAGACCCTATGGAACACTTACAAATATAATGTTTGGAAAACGGAAATGCAAAAAAAAAAAAAACTCAAAGAAATTAAATGTGTTTTCTTTACTATTCACATCCAACAGCAATGGACCATGCTACAGCTAATCTTGTCTTTTTTTTAAACGACTAATAATGCCCAATACATGGTATTTAGACATCTCAGCTATTTCAATAAGCCATCAAAAAGTTTTATTCAAAAATACATGTAGGGCTATGCGCAGTTTTAACAAAGAAATATTGGCAATATTGGCGACGCCGATTGACCAAATGACACCAAATAAATTACTCCTTTGCTGAACATGGTTCACGGCTGAAGAATGAGCTATAATTAGCTTTATCCAGCCATATGTGAACGGTAAAAGGTAGATTAATGTAAGAAAATGTATATTACTGTACATCTTAACTGGAAAGTGCAAAATTGCATCTCATATTTAAAAAATGTATGCCTCCAGATGAGTCAAAATATTTCAAGATAATTTAACTTGGTAAACTGTACTAATTTTTTAAGAAAAGTAAACAGATAAAAGATTTAAAAATGATAATTTATATCTTTTGTGCAATTAATGAATATTTTGGAGTATTTAGCATCATATCACTAATATTCATGGAGTATGAAGTACTTTAATTTGTATACAGAATGGGTAGTGATAATAGGACAATTGTTATAAATAATGTTAATTTAATTTGATTTGATTAGATTCGGGTTTAAAACACGCAAAAAAGAAGGTTATGATCTATAATCCGTGCAAACATAGGTATTAAATTAAGATGGGTGATTCTAACATACTAAAGTTAAAACTTTTCTACTCTTCTGCGCATCGGTCGAATGTTTCACTAACGCTCACTTCTTCTGAAGTAGCGTGAGTGCATTCAGTAAGCTGCGAAGGGAGCGTAGTGTTTGTGCGAAATAAAACCCAACCAAAATATTTTAACTTGAGCCTTTCTTGTGATGTCAATATCACTCAGATGTGACATAATTTCATATTTTAAAACTATTGCCATGAAGATTAAAAATACATTATGTGTGAATGGAATCTAAAACAATGAGTGCAATGTCTACGAAAAGTAACAAATGCTTGGTAGTAAATTTGTTAATATCATAGTTACCTCGCCTTGGTCAATGCCTAAAACTGATGGTTAACGAGACAATATCATTACCAAACAACTAAGCAAGAATTTATAAAGTTCGGTAATTCATGCATCAATCGTTAAACTTAAAAATGGCAAAACTTTGATAATTGTTTATACTTACCGTTGCTTGTTTTTGCTTCGAATAAAAGGGTTATGTATAAGTTTATATTGGTACTGATGTTAAAAACGTTTTAAGTTTTACTGCATGCCTAGTTTAGTCCTGAAATGTTTTCCTTAATGCTCCCACTGGGACTCTTAAACAAAATTTATCCCCTTAGCAAGACAGTATAACTTCAAACGTTTTCTTTTTAATTATATCAAGCACTAAAGTCAATCTTTGGTGAACTACAGATTTTTTTGATATTCTTTAAAAAAAAAGAAGAAAAAAAAGCAGCCCGACTGTGAGCATGCGTTCCCGCCTCGGCCAATATCGTAGCAAATCGGTTATTTTCGGAAGATTTTTTTTCTTCAAAATCTTGGGCATTCACTCTTGTCATAAACGGTAAAAAATTATTGTATACCGAACATCGTGAAAAATAACGTTCCGGAAATGACCGATTACGTTATTGGCCGATGTTAGACATTTTTTGGCGTGATAATGCTAATTTTTATTAAAACTTTGAAAATGTATTTTAAAATAAGATATTGTGAAGTGAAAAAAAAGTAATTAACACATTGCAAAAAGCACTTACAATCCACGTTTTAATTACCTGTAAAAAGAAGTCAAAATGTGCAACATAGCCGTTACTGCACGCAGTAGAAATATTGTGATAGAGTCATAAATCAAAATCAAAAATAAAACTTTTTTCTCAAGTTTGATTTTCTTGAAATATTTTAGCTGCTCTTCAGGCATGCATCTTTAAAGATTTCAATCTTTACCGATCTAAGTAATACTTAACGGAATATTGAATTTGTTATGTAATCACTATGACCGTAAACGAACTGTTTCAATTTGTGTGGCCTTATCGATCTGCACTTCTTTCACATACACGAGACAACTCAGACACTTCGAGCACAGTGTACATAAAGGATAACGTTGATAACAAGTAAGTTTTCATAAGATTTATTGATACAAATTGTTTTAAATGTTAGATCTAATAAAATTTAAAAAAAACACTAGGCAAATATACAGCTGATCTTTATCTGTTTATTATGTAATTTTGAAGAGTGTATATTGCACTATATAGTATTACATAACATACTGCCGTGTAATAACGGACTGATGTGCATAATCCAAGTGTTGAGTACAGTATACAACTTCATGTAATTGTTATACTTACAATTTTTTAGTCATCTATTAAACAGTCTTAAACAGTTAAAGAGGAACATCAACCTTAAGACTGCAGTCTGTTCTTTAAGCCCTGATGTTATTTAAAGATTGAAAAAATATATCTATATTTTATATTTGAATCCTATTATCTTATAACTGTTTTCTTTTCAGTGTCGAACTATCAACTAGTCTATTTTCCTCTTAGAGGTATGTTTATATTTAAGTTTTTTTTTTATTGAACATTTGGCGTGGGTTCGATCCCCGGGAGATGCTTTGGTAGTTCAGCGCGGAGGAAGGTAGTCTAGTACTGGTGTAACTCTCCAGGAAACTACCCGCCTATATGACTGAAATACTGTTGGGAAAAGGCGTTACAAAATGAAACAAACAAACAAATTAGAACATTGAGCGGATATTAATGGAACCCGTGACTCTTCAGTAGAGCTCACCGGTTGACCTTGTGCATTAATCAGTTTTAACCACGACCCCATTCCACTGGGAAGGACGGGGGATAAAAGGCAAAGAAGCTTTCGCTCGTACCCGCACTTCATGATCAATGTTTGTTGTATTTTTTTGCGCCAAAGTGGCCGGGAACATGTCTAGATTGCAGTGCAGGGGTTTTAGCGGGATTTTTTCACGACCGGGGCTCTAAACGGGGTTTGAAAATCCTAAATAAAAGTCCCGCCAATCCATATGCTGGGTGTCTTGCTTACAACTGACTTCTGCGTAACTGTCACATTTTAGAGGCTAATTATTCATTATACCTTTATCACATACATTAGCATAAATTAATGCCTTTTAAAATGTTGACTTGTTTTTATGTTTCATCAGGTTTGAAAATTCCAACCTCTAATGAAGATATAAATGTACGTCCAATGTAGGTTTGATACGGGCTTTGGTGACACAATGCTATTCAGCTATCTCGAGCTTTACACTGATAAAGGGAGATTTTTATGCAACCATGTATGACTTGAATAAATTAAGTTGTTCTATCCAATAAGCAGTCAGGGTATAAGTTTTGTCATAAATTATATACATGTGCATTGTATATGATTGCACCGAGGGTTCTTATTTTATATGACATAAACTGCATCGAGGGTTCTGAAATTATTAGTGTTATTAAATAAGCGTAAAAGATTTCGTCCATTGTACAGATTTTTTCCCAAATGTTTTGCAAAAAAGGACATCAGCCGCCCGAAATTATGTCGATGTCTCTTTGTATCATAATAAGCATTAAATGCACAGAGGACTGTTAATTTCACATAAAATGCACCAGGGGTTCTAAAACTCTACAACTTTATGACATGAAATGCACCAAGTGTTCTAAATCCGTACATGTTTTTTCCTACAGGACATTAACAACATTTTTTTTCTAATTACAATTTTATTTTTCTTTACAAAATACACAAGGAAAGGTTGTGGAGTGACATGTAAGATTTGATTTTAATGAGATTGCAAGTAATCTAGTGTCCTTCTGCTTTAAAATGGAGTCACAGAGCGTATATAATGCAAGCATAATTTAGATACCACAGATACAAAAGAAGTGTACACTTTCAGCTTAGTTTATCATTGAATGAAGCATATAAGGAGCTTATATAATAATACATTTATGTGCAGACCAAGCGATGCATATAACTCCTTTTATGAATACGACAATGTCCTGGTTTCATATTACACGTTGAATGTTGAATGGACATGTAATCATATTCATTTGAAAGCAAGAAGGGTGATACATGTCCTTGTCTAAATATTTCGACTGCAAGATCGACCGATTTTACAAACTAATATAACATAGATGTCGGTCCATCGTCTAGACTGGTGCCCAATTTGTTGGGCTATTCTCCAACGGCAACCAGTATGCCCGTTTGTATAGCAATATATAATAATAAATTGAAAAGGCATTATACATATTTACATATTATTATCATATTGCCTCTATTGCTGCAAACGAATCTCATTCCCCTCACTAGTTTACTACCCCCAAACTTGATTATTTCCTTTGAAGATGCTATTCCGCTAGCATATCTGTATATTGGACCCTTCTGTAACAGTAAAAAAAACTGTATGGAAAGTAGTCATATGACTTTCAAAATGTCGGTTTTGTTAAAAGTCAATAATAAAATAATGTATGCGTTAAAAAAATTGAACACCTCCGCGTCCGTTCTTCCATCCTGCAGTCTGGCGTTTTACAAACACCTTTCAATTACTACATCTTACACTCTCCTGTAAATAGCGCTGATGTCCCTTATAGTTTGAACTTTCTGTATAGAAAACCTTTAATGGAATCATAAAGTCCACTGAACATATTTCAAAATAAAGTAATGGATGTGCAATTTGAAGCTTCAACAATGGGATTCAGGTGAGGGATCTAGGACTTTTGGTCTCTTCTTGTTTGTGCTTTAAAAGCGGAAATTTGTATTCATGCTCTTTATATAATAATTATGTTCGTACTTTTTTGCAATAATATAGATAATTTGATGTTTAGTATTACAATTTCATTCATTTTTGCATCGTCGAAACCCAAAATTATGCTTACTACATTTATTACGGATATGAACGCGTAACGGCTACTCCTGGTTCCTGTGTTATTAAGGATGAAATTTGGAAGTCTCTAATTTAGTATTTACCTTCTAGGACGTGCCCA